CAACAAATAACAACGCTTAACTACAACAGATAACACATTACAACAACACAACTTCAACACATAACTACACATAACTACAATGCATAGGAGATATCATCTGATTCAGATACAGCTTATCAAACCTGAGTATGAAAGAAATAAATGAGACCAGTAAAAACATTATATCATAGAGGAGATTTCATCAAACTTATACTGACTGATATCAGTGTTGTCATGAAGGTGCTACACATCCTACTATTAGCATTATGTTTACTGTATAGCATGCAAGGCTGCTTTACATTGGCCTCAAGGTCACAAGACTTACATTGGCATCGAGGTCACAAGGTGAACTTTGACCTGAAAGGGGGGATGCTTTACTTCACCTTTGCCCTCAAGGTCAGAATGTCTCCTTCAACCTAAAGCCTAGGGCAAAGTTATTTTTTGGCTTTACGGTTACAGGGTTAACTTTGACCTTAAGGTCATCCTAAAGCCCAGGCTATTCTACAGCTTCCAGGTCATAGAGTTTAGCACAGGGTTATTATTGACCTTGAGGTCACAGGTTAAACTTTGATCTCAAGGTCAAAAGGTTTACTTTAACCCTAAGGTCACAGAGATTCCTTCAACCTAAACCCGAGAGTTTTCTTTGACCTCAAGGTCACAGGGTTAATTGCTATTTATGGTCCAGTATCATTTTTTTCTAGTAGCTTTTTTAAGGATATATTGGTCACTTTGATGAGGATGGAATTCACTTTTACACAGGAATTAGTTAACTTTTATTGAAGACTGGTTTCACTGCAGTGAAAGATTGGTTGTTCTTTGGCCAATGTTATAAACATATTCAGAGGACAGGATTGTCTTTAACATGTTTTCTCTGTAGTAGCTACAATAAAGGGCCTGACACTGTCTGTCTTCAGAAATTTGTAAATTATGGTGCTAAACTGTGGAGATATCTTACATTGATAGAGATGTATTGTTCTAGGAGTTTGCATGTTGATGAAGTTATACAAGGGGAGTAACTCCCCTTTTTACGAAGTTAAACATAGGAAGTAACTTATGAATTCTAGTTACAAAATTATGCAAGGGATGTAACTCCTGATTACTAAATTGTACAAGGGGGTAACACTTGATTTCGAAGTTAGGTTAGGAGGGTAACTCCTGATTACAAAGTTATATAAGGGGAGTAACTCCTGATTACTAAGTTATACAAGGGGAGTAACTCCTGATTACTAAGTTATACAAGGGTTTTTGTTGTATTAGAATGGTAACTTCTGAATACAAAGTTATGCCAGAGAAGTTAATATACCATGGTATACATGTATGAAGTGATATCACAGACTTTCTATCCAGTACCCTAAACTTACATTAATTTGGTCTGTTTTATTACTTATATTTATGTTTGTTATACTTTCATATTTGTTTTGAAATTTGATTTTATTAAATTCCTTGATTATTTATTTTATGATGATTTATGTATTTTTCCTTAGAGTCTTGAAAAGAAAACTATTTCATAAAGCAAACATTTTGAAAAAAAAAATTCAACCTGTTATTTGTATATATATGTCTTGAGAAGATAAAATAATAGATCATGAGAGTACACATATTTCAAGTTGTTAATCATGTATTTCATTATCAATGTTCAAGTGTTTTTATAATAGGTGTCATTATTTGTGTTCAGCCACAGATTCCTGAATGGCAGTGACTGCTTATTCAAACAAAGTTATTTCATTTTCTATCATTGCCTAGGAAATGTAGTACATTTTCAATAGAAAGATTTTGTAAAATGTGTTACATATATTGAAGTATCAATTGATGTATCATGGTCATATATCTTGTTATATATATAAAACATCAACATTTTATATATGTTTTCATCATACCCAGCCTAGAATTCTATTTTATTACTATATAATAATTTCACACTGTGTAGTTGTACATTGTGTTTTCAAGTTTCATTATTGTTCATGAGCTCAAATTTTTATTTGTAAAATGATATCGCAGTACACAAAAATATCTTCTAGAGAAGACGTTCCATACACTCGGTCAAAATGTAAATCTGAGTTTACTTTAAGAAGTCATTAAGCCTTATATCCGGACTCCAGTCCTAACTCATACGTAATCCTGACTCAGAAATGGGAAATTTCCTTATTACAGGGCGGTATGATTGCTTTTGTGTCTTTTTTATAAACTGAAATGGACATCAGCAGATTTTACTTGGTCTGGGCTTATAACTTGATATATACAGTATGGTATCTATCTTCCCTCGGACTTACCTTTTGTATTTTACCGTTTTCAAAACAAAACATTATTTTGAATACTAATGCATACAGAAGCTGAATGTAATATTTCATGTGATAAAAAATCTGAAACAGAAGTAGTATAAAGGGGTTATCCTAAACTCTCCAACCCAAACACACTTCCGAAATTCTCTTTAGTCCCAGACAGTTCTTTTTACTGTCACAACCTCACAGTTAAGGGTGAAAGTGATCTGTACATACAAGGATCATATCACTATCCTAGGTTTTATTACACAGAATGGACTAGGTTCCTAATTAAGGACATTTTGACATCATGTCTTCTATTTACAGATTAAATCTTACAAACAAGCAGGTCTATACTGTAGATATTTTATATTTTGTTTTTAATGCAAAATCTATGTTGAAGTTATTTAAAATCATTCAGCTGATTAATATGAAATCTTTTCCACCAAACATCATATGCAAGACTGAAGGTTTTGATAGATTTTGTAATGACTCAATACTATGCACCAGAAAGGCCTACTTTATTTGTATAAAACAAAATAGGAATGTGTAATAGGTCTAATGATTGAAGTGAAAGACTGCATGTTATATTCTTTAACAATCTAGGTCACTTGGTTTCAGTGTGATATTGTTCAACCTGTTATGTGGTTTTGATGATCTCTTGTTTCAGACGAAGATTTGTTGATGTTAAACCTGATATGTTGAATATTACAATACTTGCATATAAATATAGACCTATGTTTATCTCAACTTAAAATGGGATTTTTTTCTATAAACCTTTTCGCATTTAATTTTTTTGACAATGGTGTTGAAAATATTCAACTTATTCAAATGAAAAAAATGTAGTTATTCAAATATTCGAAACTTATTTTGTTAAAAAAAAAAAAAAAAAATGTAACTGACCATGTTCATCCTAACATGATTCAACCTCTCTGTGAAGAAGGAGAGGCATTACACAGTTATCATAATCTATGTACATGTAAATCAATGTGATATCCTGATAGCATAAGTTCTCTCATTTTGAGATCTTTTTGTGATATATATTGCTGAACTATTCCAATAAAATTAACTTTTAAGTAATTCACCAGTGTTGATGTTATTTTATGTATTGTCCTTGTGTAGAGCTGATTTAATCCATGTTCAGCAACGTTGATATCAATCTCGAGCAAGTTTGTTTCATGAACAACAATTCTCCTTTATCACGGTAACAGAGGTCATTATTAATTTCAATGCCTCCACTACAAATCGAGCCCGGGACCCCTGACTTACTAGTCTGATGCTCAACCAGTCAAGCTAAAGTGAAGTTCGCGAGTGTGCAGGAGTCACAGTCATATTTGTGAAAGTAACACTGGTGGGCAATGGCTGAGTACTATTTCTGGGTTCCTACATGGGTGCCAATGTAACTGAGGTCATTATTAATTTCAATGCCTCTGCTAGGAATTGAACCTAGGGCCCCTGGCTTACTGCTTAACCAGTCAAGCTAAAGAGAAGTTCTCTCCAGCCAAGTGGTATTTTAAGGCTAGTATTTTACCAAAGTAACATCATTATTTTTTAAATGCTGGTAATGTTGATTTAATCCTTGGCGGATGTTATTTTCATCCATGGTTGTATAATATGTACTTATAGTTTCAATTCTTCAACACTTTGTGAACAAATTCAATATCAGTGACATGTGCAAGCCACATTTAGAGATTGATCAGGAAAACTCTGATGATGTAAGAAAGTACAAATTTTACATAATGTAGTTGTACATGTCTCAATTTGACCATGGCTGTCAGTAGCCATTTTGATTTTGTCATTCAAATTTTGCGATGACTTTTCCTCACAAACCATTTTCATAAAATTTCATCAAAAATGTGGAGAGAATGGATAGCATTGGTACATACTACATTTTTAGTATGGCATGATTCAATATTCTAGATAGCTTATATGTTGTATTTTTGTCATTTTGAAGAACACCTGAAGAATCGTCCTGGAAATCCATCAATAATATAAGTAAGAGAAAAATACCTGAGCCTTAGTAGTGCATACATCAGGTTGATCATGATTCCAATTTGAAGATGGCGGCGAGAGGCTATATTAGATTTTGTTATCTGAATTTTGTTATTCTCTACTTTCAACCAAGGACAGAATCATCTTGAAACTCAATCAATATAATAAGTATAGTTCTTTGTTGTTCATGTCACATGATTTGAGCTTTATCTGGATTTTAAGATGGCCAACAGCCACCATTTTGACTTCTGGTGATTGAAATTAATGAAGGGATCTTCCTTGAGCTCCATCAAAAAAGAATTAGAGTGTGTACTTGTTCGTCCATACCACATTACAATTTTCTTTTAAATTTCAAAATGACAGTTGCCAGCAGCTCTTTTACTTTAATTTATGACATTTCTATGCCCTTGTATTACAGGTGTATTTTCAAATTGCTGGTTTATTACCACAACACTGTGGAAAGGACAAAAATTTCATGATGTAACACTTTTGATGTGAATTATCTCCCCTATGTCAATTTAGCATTTATATTTTTCATACACAAGTAAAGCATTAAACCCGTTTTGGTGGCATGGAGTTGAAGAACAAAAAATACAAAACGCTTAAACTAAATCAGGTACGTATATCTAAAGCTGGTAACTGCCGTATTTTCAACTTTAGCTTTCATAATCGTAAATTGGTTCATTGGAAGTCCGACACGGCATTTAGTTGTATGTTATATCGCCTAGGCGCTTTGAAACATTCATCTGACCCAGATGAGCACCGGCAGCTGCCAACATGGCGAACGCACAACCAGCACAGGCGAGACCGTGGAATCCGAACTTCAAACATACAGACAGGGAGAGGTAGGTAGAAGATAGTTCCTATATCCCGACTTGCTGTTATCATTTTTCCGTTGTAAAAATCACATTACTCTTTCAGTGACTGAAATAATTTAAAGAGACTGTCAATTCATATCGACGTTCCGGCATATGGCGTTCTTCAAAGAAGTTTCAGAACTCCATCAAAAGTGATGTTTCCGCTTAGTTGTGCACAGGAGGGTAACTGGAAATGGTTCTTTACATTGATTTTTGATAATTCATTATTTAGTTATTTGAGAATAAGGTAAAAATGATAAAAAAAACTCTCCTAATGTGTTGGTGTGCATGGACTACGTGCTTAGAGCCAAGGATATGTACCATGAAGTCATGCAGTTCATACGTAGTGTACTGTACCGCTGGTGCAGGGAAGAGGTTCCACTGTGTCGTTGTATGTGGGAAGAAAGAGAACCTGGTATTTATATGTATCGTTTGTAGCTGATATGTGTCTACAAGTGATAGGGTATACCATTGGTTTTTGGGACTGTGATATTAACAATCTCATCAGAATTTTGGAAATAGTTTTCTTGTCTCAGTTGAAAATAATCCTACAACAATCCTGATTAATGCTGTTTTAGTAGCATGATAGTTATTTTTGTAGGATTATTTTCAAGCATGTCTTGGACACCAATTCCAAATTTTTTATTAAGACACAACACAGAGGGATATAGTTGGGTCTTTTTGTCACAAACAAAACGTATGGTGCTGCAGAGTAATCAAATATAGTGCAATGAGACAACCAAGATATACAGAGTAGTCAGGATCAGTAGATAAGGACTTTCTCCACCAGAAAACAGAATGGAAATTAAGAACATCATATCATTATATTCTGTAGTGAACCACAGGTGTCCAAAAATAGTTAAAATCTTTCATCAATTGATACTATATTGTGATTAGCATTTTTATCTTTACATTGTGATGTCAAATATGTTACAAAATACTGAAAGATAAAAAAAGTTATGTGATCTTGAACTTGAAAAACAGCATTTTTCTAGCATTTTTTTTTAAAGATATGACAACTTTTTGTGGAAGTGAAGCACATACTACTTCAGTTCATAGATTGGGAAAAAAACAGAACACCTTAAAAACATGTAAAATTATGTACAAAAATAGTTATTTCCTCTGGTTTGTGAAAGACTTTAATGCTTTCAGTAAGTATTGCTTTTCAGTAAATGATATAAAGTGTTTCAAGAAGGCTTTCTGACTAATAACCATTTTACAAATTTTTTTTATGAGTCAAGAGCACCATTTCCAAAAATTTGTATTAAAGTCTACAAAGCGATATAGTGGGTTCTCAAGATTTGGGGTGTCCTACATGTAAAGCATGGTGTTCCAAAAATCATTGAGACAGAGAACTATGGTTAGTGATAGTATCATACTTTGCAATATTTAGATCAAGTTAAATGTATTTTGGCTGACGTTTATTGTGACGGTAATGCTATCTCATGTTCTGTTACAAAAGGTGGATATGTGTATACCCAGCCTATATCAACAGCAGGAAAACTGTGAAAGAAGGAAGAATTTTACCAAAAGATGTTGTGAGTATGCTGACAGTGAAAATAAATTTATTGTTAACAAGAGGCCCAATGGACACACACCGCTCACCAGGTATTAATGTTCATACATTTAAAAAGCCACCGTTGACATTCAAAGTGGGCACATCCAATCAATTTTAACAGATTTCCTCAACAAACTTAAGTTTCTAACACTAAGCTCTAAACAGCGACAGCTGTGACCTAGATTATAGGTAAATATTCTAAGCCCACCATTTAAATAGCCCTACATCCTTGGTTTGTCATCTGTCCTTTCGTCCGTAACAAAAAATTATTGTTATTGCTATTTTTTGAGTAGTACCCAATGGATCTGACTCAAATTTCCTATTTAGGTTCCTATTTGTTCCTAGTCGTGCCCCTTTAATTTTTTTACTAATCAGTAAAACAAAATGGCTGACAAATGGCCATCTTGAATTATGACTTTACAAATTTGTTATCATTAAGTACTTGATGGATCTTTCTTAAATTTCATATGTAGGTTCCCCTTGGTCCCTATTTGAGTTTGGGACTGACCAAAAACACAAAATGGCCGACAGGCAGCCATCTTGGATTTTGCAAATTAAAGATTGTTATCCCTATTTCTTTAGAAGTACTGAATGGAGCTTTCTCAAATTTCATATGTATGTTCCCATTGGTATCTTCTTTGTGCCCATTTGATTTTGGGACTGATCAGAAAAAACCATCTTGGATTTGGCAGTTAAAGATAATCATCACCATTTCTGGAAAGGAATATTCAAATTTATTATCATTAAGAACAAAAACAGAGAAGAGAAAAGATCCCTTGTGATCTTGAATATGGGTAGATGTAATTTCTGTTCTCATCACAATTATTGTCAAGTATCATCCTAGCAACCCACCAGCTAAAAACAGTTATTGAGAAGAAGTTGTTTAAATGTAGAAGTTGATGCCACACATATGCCACACATATGCCAGACACCATGCTATGTCATGAGCTCACATAACTCTTGGAGTCAGGTAAACTAGAGATGAAAGTTTTCTCTGTTCAGACATACATACTGTTGAAAAAAAAGTATAACTAATATTGATTACCAAATCATTTAATTTCAGACCAATGTATAAGTATGAAATAGGGATGTCCTTTGTCTATAATGATTCTTAAGTCAAATGAATATGTCATTTTTGACTGTAGAACATGATCAGCCCCTTAAGGTCGGTAGTGACAAATTTTATCTTTCATCTGTTTCAGTGTGTAGATAATCCCCAGACCCTGGAGATCAGAGATGTACTAGGAACAAGTGGGCTTGTGATTGGTGTAGAGGTGAGTGATACATGTATTTTTTTCCTAACACGTTTTTGATTTTCTAGAATGAAATATTTTTTGCAATGTTCTAAACATCCAGTGAGTACAAAAAGACTTTGAAAGTTTTGAATGACATAAAAATTTGATTTGCCTCACAACAATTATTTTAAAATGGCAATATTATTCTCTACAAGTTCTATAAATCTTCTATTTAGAATAAGGTTTACCCAAGGGAACTTGATCATCGTGACATGAAGACGCGGGGTCGTGTGAGGGTGCAGCTCAGGGGGGAGAATGGTGAACCCTTGATGGAGAAATTTCCTGATCGTAAGTCTCCAGCTAACAGAATGTCCTGAAAACACAATAACCATGTCCCCCTACCACATGTTTCCTGATCGTAAGTCTCCAGCTAACAGAATGTCCTGAAAACACAATAACCATGTCCCCCTACCACATGTTTCCTGATCGTAAGTCTCCAGCTAACAGAATGTCCTGAAAACACAATAACCATGTCCCCCTACCACATGTTTCCTGATCGTAAGTCTCCAGCTAACAGAATGTCCTAAAACACAATAACCATGTCCTGAAAACACAAATAAAACACAATAACCATGTCCCCCTACCACATGTTTCCTGATGTCACAATAACCATGTCCCCCTACCACATGTTTCCTGTCGTCTCCAGCTAACAGAATGTCCTGAAAACACAATAACCATGTCCCCCTACCACATGTTTCCTGATCGTAAGTCTCCAGCTAACAGAATGTCCTGAAAACACAATAACCATGTCCCCCTACCACATGTTTCCTGATCGTAAGTCTCCAGCTAACAGAATGTCCTGAAAACACAATAACCATGTCCCCCTACCACATGTTTCCTGATCGTAAGTCTCCAGCTAACAGAATGTCCTGAAAACACAATAACCATGTCAAATAACCATGTCCCCCTACCACATGTTTCCTGATCGTAAGTCTCCAGCTAACAGAATGTCCTGAAAACACAATAACCATGTCCCCCTACCACATGTTTCCTGATCGTAAGTCTCCAGCTAACAGAATGTCCTGAAAACACAATAACCATGTCCCCCTACCACATGTTTCCTGATCGTAAGTCTCCAGCAGCTAACACAATAACCATGACCACATGTCCTGAAAACACAATAACCATGTCCCCCTACCACATGTTTCCTGATCGTAAGTCTCCAGCTAACAGAATGTCCTGAAAACACAATAACCATGTCCCCCTACCACATGTTTCCTGATCGTAAGTCTCCAGCTAACAGAATGTCCTGAAAACACAATAACCATGTCCCCCTACCACATGTTTCCTGATCGTAAGTCTCCAACTAACAGATTGTCCTGAAAACACAATAACCATGTCCCCCTACCACATGTTTCCTGATCGTAAGTCTCCAGCTAACAGAATGTCCTGAAAACACAATAACCATGTCCCCCTACCACATGTTTCCTGATCGTAAGTCTCCAGCTAACAGAATGTCCACAATAACCATGTCCCCCTACCACATGTTTCCTGATCGTAAGTCTCCAGCTAACAGATTGTCCTGAAAACACAATAACCATGTCCCCCTACCACATGTTTCCTGATCGTAAGTCTCCAGCTAACAGATTGTCCTGAAAACACAATAACCATGTCCCCCTACCACATGTTTCCTGATCGTAAGTCTCCAGCTAACAGATTGTCCTGAAAACACAATAACCATGTCCCCCTACAACATGTTTCCTGATCGTAAGTCTCCAGCTAACAGATTGTCCTGAAAACACAATAACCATGTCCCCCTACAACATGTTTCCTGATCGTAAGTCTCCAGCTAACAGAATGTCCTGAAAACACAATAACCATGTCCCCCTACCACATGTTTTTACACTTTTTACTGAGGATTTATAGAGAAGAATTCTTTTTTTGAAAATTGTTATAAAACTTTTAACATTAAGTTTGGCCATGTTGCAGAAACATCTTTTTTTATTTAACCTCTTTTTATCGTTTTGAATCCATTAATTTTTTTTTTCATCACAGGTAAGGCTGTGCTTAAGTATGCGTGTGAAATGATCCCCAAACTAAAGACTCGACAACAATCTGGTAGTTCTACTCAATCTCAGACTCAGCCAGCACAAGGTAGCAAGAGTCAGAAGAAAAAAGGAAGGAAGGGCAAGTGAGAAATGGATGTGTATAGACGATGTGATAAAAGTACAGTTGGCTAAGGCAATAACCAAGGCAGGACTAAGTATCAAGAGAATAGAAGTTCTTATAACATAACCAGTAGAAAGTAAGAGTGTGATGTTTTCATGTCAACCTGGTGTCATTAGTCCATAAAGGTGATTGTCATCAAAAAGTCAAACTCTAATCTTGTACTGGTTGTAATAATGAATGTGACTGTGAAGTCATTGAAATGTCACACTCTAATCTTCTAGTGGTTGTGTCATAAGAACTTCTATTCTATTGACGTTACCAACCTGAAGATATTGTTCCAAAAAAGCACTTTATATCAGACTTGATAAACTATGGTTGATTCAGATGAATCGTCATTATAATCATCCGTTTATGAACATTCATTGATTGAAAATTGGTCATGGTCATATGGATGTTTGTTGTCACTGGAAACTTTGTCATACATCAAACATTCATTGTCCTTTGATTGAAAATTGGTCAAGGTCATATGGTTGTTTGTTGTCACTGGAAACTTTGTCATACATCAAACATTCATTGTCCTATGATTGAAAATTGGTCATGGTCATATGGATGTTTGTTGTGATTGGTATCGAAACAAGACACATTGATCCTCTTCACAATCTTGGGGTGAAGTTCACTATGAAGGAGGATATTTTATTTATGAGAGAAGAATTGCGCGTCTGTTGGAAAATGTGGTTGTATGAAGGGTAAATGTGTTTGGATGGTAGATACAAGTATGATGCATGTATAATATAACTAAGGAATATAAAATTGAATTATCTACGAAAGTGTGTGAGAACCAATCTGTGTACATGTTCACATTTCTCTGACTGAGAACCTGTCTGTGTACATGTTCACATCTCTCTGAGTGAGAACCTGTCTGTGTACATGTTCACATCTCTCTGAGTGAGAACCTGTCTGTGTACATGTTCACATCTCTCTGAGTGAGAACCTGTCTGTGTCCATGTTCACATCTCTCTGAGTGAGAACCTGTCTGTGTACATGTTCACATTTCTCTGAGTGAGAACCTGTCTGTGTACATGTTCACATCTCTCTGAATGAGAACCTGTCTGTGTACATGTTCACATTTCTCTGAGTGAGAACCTGTCTGTGTACATGTTCACATCTCTCTGAGTGAGAACCTGTCTGTGTACATGTTCACATTTCTCTGAGTGAGAACCTGTCTGTGTACATGTTCACATTTCTCTGAATGAGAACCTGTCTGTGTACATGTTCACATTTCTCTGAGTGAGAACCTGTGTACATGTTCACATCTCTCTGAGTGAGAACCTGTCTGTGTACATGTTCACATCTCTCTGAGTGAGAACCTGTCTGTGTACATGTTCACATTTCTCTGGAATCACAAAAATGCTGCATTCTTATTGTTTTGTTCTATTTTTATTTCCAATCTTTTCCTTGTTCTGTCTTTAAGAATATACATTGGTGCAAAAATGTACTTTATACATTAAGATAAATGTAATGAAAGCACAATAAACATTTCAACCATCTCCAATGTGTTCTTGTTAATGTTTTCACTGTAAGTTTGAAATTTCTAATTATTTTAGTGGTGTTTATACATGTGATTCAAATAATTCAGACATTTTATCAACTTATTTTATAGCAATGTCAACCGAGGCAAAAGTTGATTAAGTTGGCAAACACAAGACTTGCCAAATTTTTTCAATTTGATATTATTTCCCGAGAGTTTAAATCCCCCTAACTCACCTGGGGGTGAATGTTGTTTTTCTTTACCCTGCTTGCCTGATAAAGTATGCGTTTTTGTTGTCACAATATCAACAGCAGGAAAACGGGTAAAAAATTTTACACACAGAATCTAAAAGATCAACATCTACACAACCTTCCTCAGTAAAACATCAACAAGCAGATTTGGGACTTTGAATCATTTTTGAGGGATTTTTTCTTACCTTCTAGTTCCAAACATGTCTCTTCGTTTTTGTTTTACCTTTTTATAATTATTACAGAAATGTTTTGATTTGTGTAAACAATTTTATTTTGAGTTAAAGATAAACAATCAAATCATGTTGGACAACATTTAGTGCTGACAAATACACAAAAACAATAAATTTGTAGATTAAATTTTTAAAATTCATTTTTGATATATTTCTTTAAAATTTAACTGAGATTTCCAAATGTCCAGCCAAGCTTACACATTTTACCTAACTCCTGTATCAGACATAAATTCAATCAAACATGACAAAGTTTGATATATTGAAATCTTGTATTTGTTTTAATTTCCCATAAAGTATAAACCTTTGACCCAGGATTTGGTGGAGTCACCATGAGAGATTAGTTATAGATAACCTTATATTCTATCATCACTTAACAAACAATTCCCATTAATAATCCATCAAAATATCAACAATTTGATTCACAATCAGAAATCTGTCATCCATACACTTACTGTAAAATCACCAGTTTTTGTGGGTATTTAATTTTCATCAAATTTGTATATACTCTAAATCCACAAATTTGTATTTCCATGAAATGCTAAACAGTTAAAAGCTGGCATGAATTACAGAACTAGTGGATTTCCTGAGCAAGATTTACTCAAGAAATCAAAGTACCAGGATTTTTTAGAAAACCATGAAATTAAAATCCCATGAAAATATCATTTTACAGTATGATACAATGTCATTTGTCTTATAGTTCATCTCCCATTTGTTTGAAACTTAGACTTATTCAAGATCAGGGTTAGAAAAATCCACTCGTGCGCTCGTCTAGACCAGTCAAAGCTACTTGCGGAAGAGTGATTTGTTTCAGCTACTTGTCCGGCGGCGAGTGAAATTTGTAGATCTGACTATTGAATATTCCATAATGAATGATGCTCATCAACTTAAACACTCTTAAAACTAATTTATATCCACTGATAGTCGATCAAATACATCAATGTAGTATCCTTCTTTACACCACGTGTCAAGACTCGGGCTGATCCAGACTACACGAAAACACATTACGTGACCACAAATGTTGTAAACAAGGTTGTTTTGTGTACGTAGTTACTGTCAAAAAGTCGATGTTCTCGCTCGCATTAACAGTGAATTAAATATGAGTAAAACAATAAAAGCAAGTGTTGAGTTCAAACATTTGATATAGAAAATGATAATAAAATTTGTGTTCCTTAAATTATGTTTTGTTGCCTTTTTTCTTCGGGTGAGTGAATATTGGATTCAGGCAAGTGAATTTCAAGTTTCACTTGCCCGACAGACGAGTAGCTGAAAATATTTTTTTCTAGCTCTGCCAAGATGAAAAAATCTCAATATTTTGAGACACGGCCAGTTTACACCTGATGCCACTGTCTATAACAACTATGTCTTATGGCACAATGTAGTTTTGTTATTTACATGTTAATAATTAGTACTAAATGTCGTACCTATCTCAGTCTGATACATATACAAACAACAACTACTACAATCATTTATGGCACAGGTTAATACCTCTATACACAAACTATTTTACAAACTGGTTATGTCCGACTCAAACGTTTAAAAAAAATCGATTCCAGTTTCACCAGAAGAAAGAATCCCTATGTCCACTATATATGACTTTATTCAGTCTTTAATTAATCATCAATTGGTTGTATAATTAGGGCCTATTGTAAAAAGTCACAAATGTAAGGTATCGGACTCTAGCGTTGCCCACTATCAGTGCTGAGTTGCTGACAAATGAGTTTTTCCTCCAGCGTTGATTTTCCCAGATCTGAGTTAATGACGGATTGACGTTGAGCTGTCCAGGGTCAAACAGCTAATGATATAGTACCGTTTCATCCTGTGATAAGTTGTTCAATATGACAAATTTTACTCAGCAATTCAGTGTTGCAGATAATTATATATGACAATGAGTAACCAGCAATCCACATGATGACAATACTTTACTCGATGTTGAGTCGTCAACTGAGTTTTTTTACCATACAGTCACAATCGTCTTGCTGTTCACATTTTGTTTTAGTGTCGATAGAACACTGTGTAAAAGATTTGTTCGTGCCCTCGGAGTATTTACCCATTTGTAACATTACATCATTTCAAACACCATGTCAATCTGTTTACAGTTTTAAACACAACTTAATAGTTCAAGAACACTGTGCTGATCTGTTCAAACATCTTGATACAAAGACAACCCTATTTTTCGAACACAGTATAAATTATCGACAAATTTAGACACTACATTGGCCTCTTCAAAGTTTGCGTCACAATATTGAATCGTCTTTAATTTCCGTGATTTTGTCCTGTTCATTTGTCTAACCAAGTGTTGACCCATTAACAAAAGTCTGCGCACTGTCTCCAAGTTCATTAAACATCCGCAGTGAAATATGGTACATTGTTGATGGACCTACAAAAGAGGAACACAATTAAAAATTGACTATAAATGATGACCTGCAATTAAAGACAAATAATTTAAAGTGAATGACAAATATTTATATCCATCAACTTTACATTCACAATTAAAACTACAACGTCTATCAGAAGCAGCCGAAAAAGTTGGTTGATTCCGTACCATATCGTACACTACGTACGTCAGCGCTAGTACGTCACTCATCTACTGGTTGTGGTATAAGATGAAGGTGATCGTGTAGTCATAGGTACGCCACACTAATCTTCTACTGGTTGTGTTATAAGATGAAGGTGACCGTGTAGTCATTGAAATGTCACACTCTAATCTTCTACTGGTTGTGTTATAAGATGAAGGTGACCGTGTAGTCAAAGAAATGTCACACAATAATCTTCTACTGGTTGTGTTATAAGATGAAGGTAACCGTGTAGTCATTGAAATGTCACACTCTAATCTTCTACTGGTTGTATTATAAGATGAAGGTAACCGTGTAGTCATTGAAACGTCACACACTAATCTTCTACTGGTTGTGTTATAAGATGAAGGTAACCGTGTAGTCATTGAAACGTCACACACTAATCTTCTACTGGTTGTGTTATATATAAGAACTATTATTCTATAGCTATCAGAAACAACAACCCACCAGTGTCAGATCAACAATCATTACATCAACATCAGCTTTGTCAATTAACAGGAATATACAGTCTTTCAAGGATTTTGTTAAATTTTCGTAGTTTTACCAAAATCCTAAAGCAGAAAGGAACCAATGACTTTGGTTTTCTACATAAGTTTTTATTTAAAGGGATCTTCTGTCATCGGCTAAAAGTGCAGAAAAAATTCCTATGAAAAACTAATCATGACTGTATTATTAATTAGTTTGATTTCATGTGCCATCATTAAACCTATACATAACACTATCATATGTAATGATACTCGTTATCTATCTCAATGCCTCTGCAAGGATTTGAACCCACGACCTCTGGCTCGATTGAGGGAAAGAAAGGTTCTCTCTTGCTGAGCGGTATTTTGAGGATAGTATTTACCAGGGTTACATACAAACTAGACAATGCCCTAATGCCCCATGGTATTTACAATGTGACCTTTGACCCTTAAACATTGACCCCTTGATATTATCTAGTGTAGTACTTAATGTAAAGATACTAAATATGAACAAACTCTTTTGAACGGTGCTCATGATATGGTCCCCTTCCAACCTGCACCCAAAATAAAATGACTGAGGCATTTTTTTTTTTCAATTTTTTTTTTCTTGTTCAATATACCATAAAACAGGTTATAACTGGGTTTTTTTTCGCTATTTTTTATGATAACTTTGGGCAGCAAATATTAAACATGCAAATATTAATTAAGAAAGAGTTACATAAAACCATTTTTCTTCCTACTATTCACTGGCAAAAATTTGGTCAAAATTGGATATTCTGGATTTGACACCAAATGGCAAAATTTCCATGTAGAATATTAAATCCATGATACGTTATATATCAAATGAGGGTATATACATGTTATTACTTACTTAGGTTTTCCAGTGTGTATGAGTTAATGCTAACTGGTACGATATCCTGTTTCTCATTTGCCTGATCTATGCCATAACCAAGAATGTACCCTCGGATCACATGAGAGTATTGGGGAGGTGGTGGAAGCCATTTGACCTGGAGGTAATCGGTCCCTGATGACAAACTGGTGATGGTTGGTGTAGGTAAGATATGTAGGCTGTTGTCTGAGAAACAAAAACAATACAATATGGCCAACTGAAGTCCACCACGTGATCGTCCTGACTAAGTATAAATTATCATTTCACTGTCACACTGATTCTAAACAAGAAACTATGATATACTCTAAAGGGTTGTAAAAAGTGAATAACATCTCCCAGTAAATAATTATAGATATGTTTATATATAACGTAACTACATCAGAACTACGGTTTGTCATTCTAGTATCTATCTATTCTTTGTTTATCTTATCTGGGGATAATTCAAATGTAACAGATCATTTATACAAATTTCCTGCTCCAGTTCTATTGCAGAGCCAATACTAGAAACAGATCCTTTGCCTGTTTCTTGGACATGTTCAACAGTACCTGGTGGTTTGGTTTTATAAGCTACAACTCCAGAAGAAAGTCCTGTGGTATCCTGGTACTGACTCTCAACTCGGAAATAATAGGTCGTGTTGAATTCCAGGTTTTTCAGAATGGTGGCCTCATTTCTCTCGTAAACAAATGCTTCATTCTCCGCAGAAAATGTTGGGTCTGTGGTGTAGTAAACTAGATATCCTACAATAAACAGAGGCTAAAGTTATCTCCCTTTAGGAAAAAGTCTTACATTATGGAAAATTTACAGGAAAGTAAATGATGTCAGTAAGGAATCTTTATATAAGTATGTGATTTATTGACTTATCAAACATATTAAATCATTTTGAATTACAGGAGTGTGATATGAATTTGGAGAATGTGTTAAATACCTTAATATGATACAAACAGGACAATTTGATTTTATCTATAACACATTGATGGTCGGGTGGCGCAGTGGTAAAGCACTCGCGTTTCACCTAGTCGTCTGGGGTTCAAGTTCTAGAATGGATATGAAAAGGTATATGGGAATATTAATCACTCTTGTTGGCCCAGATAGAAATGCTCGAGGGGTTTTACTGCAGGAGGAAACCGGAGGACCTGGGGAAAACCCACGTGGTCTGGCAGGTGACCCATACCTTTTCACATCTGTTCTGGGAATTGAATGCAGGACAGCTAAGTGATAGGTGATTATCAGTGTAACTGATACACACAACCAATGTCATGATCAAAGCAAGTTATGCTTCAGACACAAAAAGATGGACGGAGAGATGAACAGAGAAAGAGAATATGTTCCCTTGAAAATATTTGAGGAGCAGAATAACCACAGCAACATCATATCAACATTAATCACAGCTAACAGACACTTTTCTGGTTATCATCTGGCAGGTCAGTAGTTCCCAATATCATTTTGAGTAGAATTTGTATAAACAAGAATTACAGGTACCTTTATGTCACCAGATTACCAGGACATGTCAGTACCTATGTTATACCAGAATTACAGGTTGATTACCAGATTACCAGGACATGTCAGTACCTATGTTATACCAGAATTACAGGTTGATTACCAGATTACCAGGACATGTCAGTACCTATGTTATACCAGAATTACAGGTACAGGTTGATACCAGAATTACAGGTTGATTACAGATTACCAGGACATGTCAGTACCTATGTTATACCAGAATTACAGGTTGATTACCAGATTACCAGGACATGTCAGTTATACCAGAATTACAGGTATGAATTACAGGTACCTTTATACCAGATTACCAGGACATGTCAGTACCTATGTTATACAAGAATTACAGGTACCTTTATGTCACCAGATTACCAGGACATGTCAGTACCTATGTTATACCAGAATTACAGGTTGATTACCAGATTACAGGACATGTCAGTACCTATGTTATACAAGAATTACAGGTTGATTACCAGATTACCAGGACATGTCAGTACCTATGTTATACCAGAATTACAGGTTGATTACCAGATTACCAGGACATGTCAGTACCTATGTTATACCAGAATTACAGGTTGATTACCAGATTACCAAGACATGTCAGTACCTATGTTATACCAGAATTACAGGTTGATTACCAGATTACCAGGACATGTCAGTACCTATGTTATACCAGAATTACAGGTTGATTACCAGATTACCAGGACATGTCAGTACCTATGTTATACCAGAATTACAGGTTGATTTACCAGACATGTCAGTACCTATGTTATACAAGAATTACAGGTGTTACCAGGACATATATGTTATACCAGAATTACAGGTTGATTACCAGATTACCAGGACATGTCAGTACCTATGTTATACAGAATTACAGAATTACCAGGACATGTACCTATGTTATACAAGATTTATGTCACCAGATTACCAGGACATGTCAGTACCTATGTTATACAAGAATTACAGGTACCTTTATGTCACCAGATTACCAGGACATGTCAGTACCTATGTTATACAAGAATTACAGGTACCTTTATGTCACCAGATTACCAGGACATGTCAGTACCTATGTTATACCAGAATTACAGGTTGATTACCAGGACATGTCAGTACCTATGTTATACCAGAATTACAGGTTGATTACCAGATTACCAGGACATGTCAGTACCTATGTTATACAAGAATTACAGGTACCTTTATGTCACCAGATTACCAGGACATGTCAGTACCTATGTTAGTTATACCAGAATTACAGATTATTACAGGTTGATTACCAGATTACCAGGACATGTCAGTACCTATGTTATACCAGAATTACAGGTTGATCACCAGATTACCAGGACATGTCAGTACCTATGTTATACCAGAATTACAGGTTGATTACCAGATTACCAGGACATGTCAGTACCTATGTTATACCAGAATTACAGGTTGATTACCAGATTACCAGGACATGTCAGTACCTATGTTATACCAGAATTACAGGTTGATTACCAGATTACCAGGACATGTCAGTACCTATGTTATACCAGAATTACAGGTTGATCACCAGATTACCAGGACATGTCAGTACCTATGTTATACAAGAATTACAGGTACCTTTATGTCACCAGATTACCAGGACATGTCAGTACCTATGTTATACCAGAATTACAGGTTGATTACCAGATTACCAGGACATGTCAGTACCTATGTTATACAAGAATTACAGGTACCTTTATGTCACCAGATTACCAGGACATGTCAGTACCTATGTTATACCAGAATTACAGGTTGATTACCAGATTACCAGGACATGTCAGTACCTATGTTATACCAGAATTACAGGTTGATTACCAGATTACCAGGACATGTCGGTACCTATGTTATACCTGTATATATTTACCTGTTAGTTGTCCTGTCAGTACACTTGGCTGGTCCCATGTGACCCGAAGTGTCACTATCTCCTCGTTTATTTCTTTCACTTTCAAATTAACCGGGGCACCTGGTGTGTCTACAACAAAATCTATTTCATATCAGTGACAATATATCTATAAACATGACGTCTGTTTCCATCCTTTTTTGCTTCAAAATTTTGAAACAAAAAAATTTTTTACCATCCCAAAAAAATGTATTTTGGATAAAGTTTAAAGATAGATTGATCACAATCTAAACATACACATACTTGTATTTTTATTGATTTTATAAATCTGTGAATTATTCATGACATAAAAAAACAGTGAAATTAAGAAATAACACTGTTATCCTTACCACCTGTAACAGTAAACTTAGGTATAACATAACTATACTTACCAGCTATTTCTGTTACAGCTTCAGGACCAGGTGTAGTTGTAGGATTAATGAAAGATGACTGACTGCCTAAACCTGACAAGGAAATATATAACAGCTACATCTTCTGTGTTTCAAAAATAATTTCTTTACAGAGAAATTTCAAAACAATTTTTGAAATAATGAAGAATAATCGAGAAAAAATTGAATAACATCTTGAGTGTATAACTGCTTATTGTATATGATGGAAGTAATCACGCTTTCCATATTTGGTAATGCTTAAAATTTAAAGACAATTTACATGGACTGTTACATTCCTTTTTTTAAATGTATGTGTTTATTTTTACAGTAACAGACAAATATGTATACATATTTACAAACATATATACATATAGATTTTACAATGACTTACCTGCTCTGCCCATTTTGAAAACTGGGCGACTTTCTCCGATCGTGTTAAAAGCTCTCACACTGACAATATACTGACTATTTTGTCCTGTTAACAATAATAACATTGTATCTATGATAACAGTGTAAACTGTACAAAATTCAATAGGGATCATTCCTGATTTATACATGTAAACTGTGTACAGAATTATTTACTGTGTACAAAACGAGCTAACATAAAGGGAAAATTTCATACAAATTCCAGCAGCCTGTTGCACTCTTCTCAAAAATAATCTGAATATTGTTCATGGATTCTTTGTGATATTAGATTTCACTCAATCCATTTATTTCCATAGTAAATGATATTTTTTCCTGTTTTAAGCACTGCTTTGTATTTTCTCTGTGAGATGATGAGATAAAAGTGCTTCCATGTTCAATTGTACCTAAAATCATTCTTCCATCTAATGGTTCTACAATATTTCTATAAATCTCATTTTCCACGTCATCATTCCTATTTTGGTCCGAGAAAATTTTCATTTCTGTTCATGAATACATAAAATCATATTTGCTGCTAAAATCAAGAGTTGTCAGATTTTAAAAAGTTTTATTAACACTGTAAGTATAATTTTATAATCTTACAGAGCGAGAGATAACAACAATGGAAACCTGTCTTTTGTTTCACTCTGTTACACACTGCTATAAATTACAAATGTAACTGAAACAAACCAGAAACTACAGAGACTTAAGTCTCACTTACCACAATATAGTGCCCGCCAGTATCTTAAAATTGTTTTTGAAATTAATGAAAGGCAAATGATGATCATGATGACGATGAAAAGAAATGAAAATATTGCAAAACAGAAAGAATAAGAAAGAACAAGTCATTCTATATAGTATTATGTTATAAGTAAATAAGACATACATAATTAAACATTTATTTACGTACGTAATCCAGTGATAGTGTGTTCTGTCTGTGCATGATCCAAGATATCTCGATAAACTTCCGGTATAAAGCGCCCATATCCTACGACGTACCCTGTCACTGGAACTCCGCTGCCAGCAGGCGGTAACCAGGTCAGGTGTAGACCCATACGATGTGACATCACAGATACATTGACAGGAGGAGAGGGAACCGTTAGACTCACTGACGTAGAAATAAATGTTTATACAAGTTTGACATGTTTATGACTTCATCAATATTTCTACACGGACAGTAAATTATCAAACAGTTAAACATGGTTTAACCTAGTGAAGCTGCGGCAGCAGACATTTGTGTGACTTTTCATTATCTACCACGCTCAAAACAAATCAAATTTTCTATGTTCTAATTAAAACTTGCTTCAGAAATGCTTATTACAGCATGACAGAGGATGTGTGCTGCTTGCAACACTAACTGTAAGCTCGTTATTGATTTATTGATATAACAGGTATTTATGTAACAGGTTTTACGTCCACTATTACGACCTTTTGACCTTTCAGTGGACTACCAGTAGTACTAGTCTGAGGTATCTATTGATATCACGTGTACTGTTGAGGTTATAAACTCCACTTCAGAGTTTTGTTTTCTTTAGTAGTTTTGTATACGTCTGCATAGGTTCACTTTAAACTGTTAAATTCTTTGAGGACATGATCTAGAACTTATTCATACATTACAATGTACTATACTGGTACAATGGTACGCAGATGTCCTTCACTTACTGGGGTCTATTTCCGTCATAATCTCCATCCAGTCCGAGGCTCGTCCCGTTCCATTCACATTAATGGATGCTACAGCCACCTCATACAAGACCCCTGGCCGAAGATCTGTAATGGACATGTTATTTCTGATAAAGACAAGTATTTTTAACAAGTAATTTGGGATCTATATGTTACAACATCATCAATAACACAGTCAACCTCGGTCAGTTTGATGAGACAGATAGTTAACATCCGTTTTTCAATAATTCAATGAATTTCTGTTTGGTGATAGTTTGAACCCTTTTTATATTTATTTTCTACTGTGTTTATGTGAATAGAGTGACCACACTGAGTCACCAATATCAACAGTTAGGCCTTAGTATGATGTCTTTATTTGTTTGAACCATCCAAATTGTTTACTTGGACAGTAAACACATGAGGTAGTGGGTTGTATATCTTTATCATATCGTCAATCATTTGCCTATTTATATCTTCATCAGCATTACTGTGATTTCTTCTGTCTTGAAAAAAAATGAGAATAATGAGTGAAAGGCAAAGAAAACAGTAATTCCCCTGAAAATGATTGTGTTATCAGTAATACACAAGATGATAATGGATTACATTTAACATAGTATTCACAATCTTACATCATCACAATGATTAATGATCTAACATGACGTAAAGTATACACACACCTCTTTACCATGAAGTAGGATTCGCGGAAAACACAAAATACTTATGTTTTATGACTAAACACACGATGTTTTTTATACCATGGATTAGTTTTAACACATCTATCCACATGGAACAAACATCTTAAGTTGTTGATATTACCCGAAATTCTTTACCTTTGATGATGTATGACCTATCTCTGATGCTTGTGACATTCTTTTTTGCGACCTTTAGTCCGACCTCTCTGTATATCACCATGTAGCCTGTCAAGACACCATTCCAAGAGGCCGCGGGAGGGGACTGCCATGTGACCTCAATAGACTATACAAAAATAGGTCACAGTCAACACAAGATCCTTAATGAGCCACATTATGTTAATCAGTCCTTCATATACACAAATACTTAATGAGCCACATTATGTCAATCAGTCCTTCATATACACAAATACTTAATGAGCCACATTATGTTAATCAGTCCTTCATATACACAAATACTTAATGAGCCACATTATGTTAATCAGTCCTTCATATACACAAATATTTAAACTTGTATTTATGATTTCTTGATGGGGTGTGACTGCATTTTAGTTTTTTTTTTTAGTTTCTTTGACATGTATCAGAATGGCTTCATTTACAGTCTGTTGCTGTATACGACACTACTTACTGTGATGTTAAAAAGAGTGGCTGACACATTTGAGGGTGGAGCACCAGGTATATCACCTAGCGTTTTGACGTAGACCGTGGATGTGTTGCCATTAACATCATTGAGATAAGGAATGACAGATATAGCATATTCTTTACTAGGAGTGAGGTCCCTGATGACGTAACGATGATCTGCACGAGGTACCCAGTGGTCTATGATATCAGCAGGGCTCAGACCAACCTTAACGTTGGGACGGTGACGCACCAAATATCTGTCAGATCAAATCAAACAACAATTAAATGTTTTCTGTATCTCTAGTAGGTAACTTAGCTTGATTGGTGTAGTTTATTGTAGCTTTATGTCCAGGGTCAGTGTAGGGTCAGTGCCAGGGTCAGTGCCAGGGTCAGTGCCAGGGTCAGTGTAGGGTCAGTGTCGGGTCAGTGTCGGGTCAATGTAGGGTCAGTGTTGGGTCAGTGTAGGGTCAGTGTCAAGGTCAGTGTCAGAACCAGTTTAGGGTCAGTGTCAGGGTCAGTGCATAGGCCAGTGTCAGGGTCAGTGCCAGGGTCAGTATAGGGTCAGTGTATGGTCAGTGCCAAGGTCACTGCAGGGTCAGTGCCAGAGTCAGTGTATGGTCAGTGTCAGGGTCAGTGTCAGGGTCAGTGTCAGGGTCAGTGTAGGGTCAGTGTCAGGGTCAGTGTAGGGTCAGTGCCATGGTCAGGCCAGGGTCAGGACATGGTCAGTGCTTGGTCAATGTCGGGGTCATTAATGATGATATTGATATGTGGTCAGTACCTGGCGACTGTCTCACATGTAGATCTCACCTTGAGGTGGAAGGCTTGTTACCTTGAACATCCATTATCAGTTACATACTCCAGTTCATTAGATCATTTCTTTCAGATATATAATAAATCCTTAGATTAGACATACATAGTCTTCCACCAGTTTTTATACATATGAGATTTATGAAGTCTTAGAACATGTTATATCACTCTCTTGCAACATAAAATTAAACATTTAATACAAATTTCAGATTTTGTTTATCATATAAATTCAATATGTCTGTATCATTCATGACATGATAATTACTCTTGAAAAGTTACAAAAAAAAAATCACTAAAGCTGGTGAAAGATATCTGACTTGTGTGAAAGTAATACCATAGTAGAGTAAAAGACTTAGTAATAATTCTCTGATGGAAGTAAAACTTACCCACTATAGCACATTAACATATAACTAATTTTTACCATGAAACAAGAAGAGATCAAACACACATTATGAAGACATTGAAAACTAAATAAAATACATTACCAAGCCCAGGAGAAATGATTCTTTATACACAAAATCCTTACCTGGTGAGTTCGCCAGAAGTAGGGGGAGACCACTCCACAAGAATTTGAGTTGAACTAATTGCACTTGCAGTAAGTGACGTCACAGAATAATCTGATAGCTCCTGGAAATCTGGAAATAAAAAAAAAGTTGGTTCGAGCAAATTCTGTACTTTCATAAATTTACAACCTTTAACTTAAAGCAACATACAAATTATATAAACATTATAAGTCCTGACTTTATCAAACTTTATGTACACAACACAGGGTCATTATTGTTTTGTATCACACACTATCGACCACCTCAAGATAATAAGAATAATTCCATCAATATCAAACCAACTGCAGGATAGAAATACCAAAGTTTGGGGAAGCAATGATGTTGCTGTTTAGAAATGGAAAAATCAACACATTTATCATTTAGCTGGATAAAGCCAGATAACTTTTAGTACTTACCAAGAGGCTTGTACACTCGCGACACCTCGTCACTGATTCCTGCTCTATTGGAAGCACGGACAATGGCCAAGTATTCAGTAGATCTATCTAAAATGGTTTAATATTGTATATAGAAATGTCGTAATCTATTTTTGAAAATTGCTGGTTCATTTTTAAAATCATTAACGAGTCATATCAATTGAAAAAAAATGAACAAGTACTTGTCACTCTGAAATAGGATTAAATGAGACTATAACAGCAATTAACAGTATCTGTAGAACAACATTCTAAGGTTCTATACACTATAATCACTACTAATCATTTCAATATGATCATATTCTAATATACTGATTATGATGATCAATAATTAAACAATATCATCAATCTATCCTTGTATTGTAATTGACATACATGCTGGGACGATCGTGATGTTTTTAATGTCAGCAGTGACCCGTCGTCGCTCAAGAACCTCTCCCTCTTGGAACACCTCTATCTCGTACCATTCTACTAGTGTATGGTATTCTGAATGTGGTTCTAACCAGGACACAATCAGTGTATTGTTCTGAATGTTGATGTAGACATCAGCAGGTGGTGTGGGAGGTATATTGGCTGTTACACAAGTTAAAAATATAAACTGCGTTACACATGTCTGTTCACAACAATGATTTAACACTGATAAACACAGCAAAATTTAAAATATTTTGTAAATCCATGATACTGTTTAATTTTGCTGGGCTAACATTTTATAGTCATTCCAGTTTCAGGACAGTTTCATTCTGTACATGTCTATACACTAGTATCCCTCATATTTATCATAAATTTTGTTATATTTTAATTCATGTTTACAGGATATTTAATTTCCTGCAATTTTGAAGACCACAAATATAGTGAAATTAATCCCCTCTCCTTCCTCTCAAAAATATTACCAACTAAACAGTACATAACATAATTGTTATTACAGGTTTATGAAAGCATGTCATCGGTTCCAATTTCTCTTTTTCAAAATCTCATTAAAATAATAAAGCCCTTGGGTCAACAAGCATCGAGGAATGTTTTTTTGTAGGCGATATTTACTGCCTATCACCATCTGTATCTCCTACATCAATTTCTATATACAATACCCTAAAGGTTATACCATTAAGGTATGCATCTGGGTAGGTGGAGCCCTCTACAAACACCTTGCTGACTGTGTTTTCTTTCCTCCTCATCTCTACACAAATGTTGTACCGCTGGTTGGCAAGGAGACCTGGGAAGGGAGATAATTCATACATATACCTTTAGTGGTGAAACATGAGAAGAGTGATCATCATAAAATTTTTAACGAGGTAACCTAGGAGATATAATGTGACGCGATGCGCTATAGCTAACATTTTTTAAAAATAAAATGTCAACAACATAACTTTTTTTTGTAAATTTGTTTGCATATATTGGGACAGAAAGCAATGAGTTATAATTAGGTCAAGCTTAATTATCTCTGGAGGTAAGAAATATCTACCCTTATTATCTATGGTCTAAGAGATCTCACCTGTGATGGTAGCAGTCTCTTCGTGATCAGTGATGTCCATCACCTGACCATTAGAAGAGTTATTGCCCTTTACAGTGTATACTATCCTATAGGTGACGTGACTACGATACTGGGAGGGGCACTTCCAGGTAATAACCAAAGTCTGCAGAAAACGATGATGATGATAATTAATAATTTTGTGTATCACCTCATGTAGTATATAATCTTTTGTAACATCAAGTTTGAATAAAAATGTCATGATCGCATAATGGAGACTACAGAATATCCTAATTTAAGTGTGTTTTCCTAAATATTTGCTAAAGTAATAGAGATCCTGGGTTGGAATCGAAGTGGAGGCATTGAAATAAGTAATGATACTGTTACATATATAACCCCCACACCAAAGTGAGGGGTTTATTAACAATAAAAATTTGACTACTACACAAACATCACTCTGTGAGTCCGAAATATCATAGTTCATTAATAATGTATTGCAGTGTATTTACTGAAGAAACATTTCCAGGTTAAAATGCTTATGTTTTGACAGGGATTTTTGTATTGTGTACTTACTGAAGAGTTCACAGCCTGAACAGCAACATTTTCAATGTCCAACAGTAAAACTGCTGAAGTTGTAAAAGTCTCTGAATGATTTTTAGCTCCTGGAAATCCTTCTGCTTGGACATATACGGTGTATGATGTCTCTGGCTCCAAGTCGTCAATGTCATAGTATGTCTTCCCTTCATCGGAGTGATATCGAGGACGATCAAAGTCATTGTACAAGATGTAGTTAACAGACTTGCGCCGGAAACGTCTGATTGGAACTATACTGACTACAGCACTGAAAGCTGTGATAGAAGACACCCCTATTTTCTTGATAGGGTCTACCAGGTCTGTAACAAATTAAGATTGTCTCTTTAATTACACATAATGAACTGAACTGATGTTTATAAAGATACTAGAAAGATTATACTGGACCAAAAAGTTAAAGTTCATAAAATTGAAATCATAAAATTCAGTCTATAATTACACATTTGGATTCCATGTTTGTCTTTTGCTACCAAGAGCAAGTGTTACTAACTTTAAGCTGAAAATTTTCTTTAAACATTGAAACCAGATTTCACCTCTTGTCATTGGTCAAGGCATTTTTTCACACCATCAAGTCCATTAGAATAGTACAATGTAACCTCATGGTGCACATGCATCCTAGCCAATACTTAGTGCATACATTGAACAAAATACAGATATGGGCTAACCATTATGTACACCTGAGAATATATTAATATCTGAAGACTTTAAACAAATTGAAGCTTGTGTCTGCTGAATTTATCGCCAAACGAACAGCCAGAGTCATGGCATACCATCCAGAGCAATAATGCTGAAGCGTCTTGTCCAATGACACAACCACCTGACAAACACATAATGCTACAGGTAGGGAGCATCAAACTATACACCTCAAACCTTCACCTAAGGTAACTGAGTTATTGTGGCCACTGTCACTTTGAATATTGTCTTTTCTTCTCCAAAACTTAGCTGGGTTTCATTTCAAAAACCTTACAATCAAATATCATTATTCTAGACCTTTGTGTTAATGAGAAGACCTTTGAAATTTTAACATATTTGACCTCTGTGACCTTGAATAAGGGTCAAAGTCATCTCTTTTCACAAAATCTATTGGACTCCATCCCAGCAACTCATATCCTGATATTAGGGATTTTTTGGTTAATAAGAAGATTTGAAGATTATGAAAGTTTTGCGAACTTTGACCTCTGTAATCTTAGATACGGATCAAGTTCCCTTTTTTCCCGAACTTTATTGAGCCAGGAAGTTATCAGCCATACATTATGATTTTAGGTCATAAGGTTAATCAGCAGTTGTGTGAATGTTTTAAGTACTATGTCCACTATGGCCTTGTAAATGGGTCAAGGTCATTTCTTTTCACGAACATTACTAGACTTAATCCAAGAAGCCACAAAAAAATCTAGATATCACAAATGGTTCTTGTTCCCAGTCTGCCTTTGACCTTTTGGTTGTTAAATGTTGTTTCAAGGTTTTAATTGTACTCCTCTGATCTTGGATGAAGATCAAGAATATTCCTTTTGTTTTTTTTCCTGACAACAGATGACGATGATGTATCACAGCATAAGCTCACTTCAGGCAGGTGAGACAATACTCATACATATGCATGAGTCAGGTTGAGTGTTTCTGTCTGTCCTGTTTGTCCTGTTTGTTAAAGTAGCAATTAACTGAGTAACAATGAAGCAAATAAGAATACACCTGTCAGTCCAGTATGACTGTCTGTCCTGATCATATGTTAGGTGTCTACCTGTCCTGACTGTCTGTTCTGATCATATGTCAGGTGTCTACCTGTCCTGACTGTCTGTCAGGTGTCTACCTGTCCTCATCATATGTCAGGTGTCTACCTGTCCTGACTGTCTGTCAGGTGTCTACCTGTCCTCATCATATGTCAGGTGTCTACCTATCCTGACTGTATGTCAGGTGTCAACCTGTCCTCATCATATGTCAGGTGTCTATGTGTCTTGATCATATGTCAAATGTCTACCTATCCTGACTGTATGTCAGGTGTCTACCTGTCCTGATCATATGTCAGGTGTCTACCTATCCTGACTGTATGTCAGGTGTCAACCTGTCCTCATCATATGTCAGGTGTCTACCTGTCCTGACTGTCTGTCAGGTGTCTACCTGTCTTGATCATATGTCAAATGTCTACCTATCCTGACTGTATGTCAGGTGTCTACCTGTTCTGATCATGTCAGGTGTCTACCTGTCCTGATCATATGTCAGGTGTCTACCTGTCCTGACTGTATGTCAGGTGTCAACCTGTCCTCATCATATGTCAGGTGTCTACCTGTCCTGACTGTCTGTCCTTATCATATGTCAGGTGTCTCCCTGTCCTGACTGTATGTCATTTTTTACCTGTCCTGATCACATGTCAGGTGTCTACCTGTCCTACCTGTATGTCAGGTGTCTACCTCTCCTGACCAATGTCAGGTGTCTACCTGTCCTACCTGTATGTCAGGTGTCTACCTGTCCTGATCATATGTCAGGTGTCTACCTGTCCTGACTGTATGTCAGGTGTCAACCTGTCCTCATCATATGTCAGGTGTCTACCTGTCCTGACTGTCTGTCCTTATCATATGTCAGGTGTCTCCCTGTCCTGACTGTATGTCATTTTTTACCTGTCCTGATCATATGTCAGGTGTCTACCTGTGCTACCTGTATGTCAGGTGTACACCTCTCCTGACCAATGTCAGGTGTCTACCTGTCCTACCTGTATGTCACGTGTCTACCTGTCCTACCTGTATGTCACGTGTCTACCTGTCCTGACCGTATATCAAGTGTCTGCCCTGACATAATGGTTTACGTACCTATGAACTGATGAGATTCTGATGATCTGTCCACGCCGTCCGCAGCAGCACATCGGTAGCGACCCATGTCTGATGAACTAGCATTAACTATAGTTAATACAGACACAATTCGATTGGGTGGGAATTTCTCGAATGTGAGGATATATTGATCTCTCTGTAACAGATAGGATTACTGACTAGTGTACATATACTATAGACGCTATGAACAATACCTCTTCTCTAGAACTGCTTAAATCAATCTAAACAACAAGTCATTTCAAGAGAATGTGTTGATTATGCCTTGTCCCTATCTATTTTTATTTGTGCTTTGTCATTATTTAAGTTTTCTTTTTCTCATTTTTTGATGCAAATCAATATCTGAGCATCAAAAGACATATCATTATATAGAATTAATGAATTCTAATTATTTTACTAGTATTAGGAGGCAAACATCAAACACACTTTGATTGGATCACTGCTGGTGGTGTCACTTGAGTTCCAATATATAATACGACTTCCTTTCTTCCATTGAATTGTGGGTAAATTGATGCCAATAGCCTCACATTCCAGACGCAGGTCTATATTTTCATCGCCTTCAACAGATAGACCCTCTAGCTGCACAGTGAGTGATACTGAAAATAGTTATTGTTACATAAAAATGTAATACCTGGCCGGAGACGACTGAAATTATTTATATAAAGAGATGATAATTAGAGACAGCTAATAAAGATCTTACAATAGTTTGGAAATGGTTAAAGTTGTTGCAATGTAAACAGTGAAAAGTTTGATGAAATTCCATGAAATGAAGTTACGAAGTAGTTAAATTGGATAAGTTGATGATTTTCTATATATAGCAAGGGTGACCTTGTCTTTGACCTTTGGCACCTGAACCACAGTGATGTCTGAAGTATATTCATAATTGATCTTTGTATAACATTTGACAAAAAACTGTGAAAGAATTAAGTTGCTAAGTGTTAAAATGGAATCAGTTTAACTGTGGCAAGGGTGGCATTTTGCCCCTTCAACTCATTAATGTCCATTGTATATCCATACTTAATCATTGTTTAACATGAAAGAATTAAGTTGCTAAGTGTTAAAATGGAATCAGTTTAACTGTGGCAAGGGTGGCATTTTGTCCCTGCAACTCATTAATGTCCATTGTATATCCATACTTAATCATTGTTTAACATGAAAGAAATAAGTTGCTAAGTGTTAAAATGGAATCAGTTTAACTGTGGCAAGGGTGGCATTTTGCCCCTTCAACTCATTAATGTCCATTGTATATCCATACTTAATCATTGTTTAACATGAAAGAATTAAGTTGCTAAGTGTTAAAATGGAATCAGTTTAACTGTGGCAAGGGTGGCATTTTGTCCCTGCAACTCATTAATGTCCATTGTATATCCATACTTAATCATTGTTTAACATGAAAGAAATAAGTTGCTAAGTGTTAAAATGGAATCAGTTTAACTGTGGCAAGGGTGACTTTTTGCCCCTGCAACTCATTAATGTCCATTGTATATCCATACTTAATCATTGTTTAACATGAAAGAATTAAGTTGCTAAGTGTTAAAATGGAATCAGTTTAACTGTGGCAAGGGTGGCATTTTGTCCCTGCAACTCATTAATGTCCATTGTATATCCATACTTAATCATTGTTTAACATGAAAGAAATAAGTTGCTAAGTGTTAAAATGGAATCAGTTTAACTGTGGCAAGGGTGGCATTTTGCCCCTTCAACTCATTAATGTCCATTGTATATCCATACTTAATCATTGTTTAACATGAAAGAATTAAGTTGCTAAGTGTTAAAATGGAATCAGTTTAACTGTGGCAAGGGTGGCATTTTGTCCCTGCAACTCATTAATGTCCATTGTATATCCATACTTAATCATTGTTTAACATGAAAGAAATAAGTTGCTAAGTGTTAAAATGGAATCAGTTTAACTGTGGCAAGGGTGGCATTTTGCCCCTTCAACTCATTAATGTCCATTGTATATCCATACTTAATCATTGTTTAACATGAAAGAATTAAGTTGCTAAGTGTTAAAATGGAATCAGTTGAACTGTGGCAAGGGTGGCATTTTGTCCCTGCAACTCATTAATGTCCATTGTATATCCATACTTAATCATTGTTTAACATGAAAGAATTAAGTTGCTAAGTGTTAAAATGGAATCAGTTTAACTGTGGCAAGGGTGGCATTTTGTCCCTGCAACTCATTAATGTCCATTGTATATCCATGCTTAATCATTGTTTAACATGAAAGAATTAAGTTGATAAGTGATTACATTGAATCAGTTCATGATTTTCTATAAATAGTAAGGGTGACCTTGGCCTTGACCTGGGGCCCTGAAACACAACAAAGTCCAAAGTATACTCACTAATTAAACACTTTGTTTAAAGTTTCACTAAAATCTGTCAAAGAATGAACTGCTAGATGATTACATTGAGTTAGGACAGGGCTGAGCACACTGTGACAGGAGAGATGTGGGCAACGCTATAAATGTTACAGATCACACAAGATTAATGTGTTTACCGAGAGTTGTAAACTGTTGAAACTGCTGCAGCACAACCCTAGTTCCTGCCATAATAGTAATCTGAAATGTGACATTGTATTCTGTATTTGGCTCCAGATCTCTGATAACATTATAGCCGTGAGTCCCGCCGGACACTTCCAAGATTTTCTCGTATTCCTCACCTGTAACATAATAACACCTTCAGCCTAATGTTTTATTGAAACATTTAAATGATTTGTCCTAAACAGAAATGAAAAGGATTACAAATCAGGAAACTCAATGTAAATGTTTCCTTTGTTCTTTTGCCCTTGTTTAATTAATTCAGAATTTTGTTAACCAGTGTATGTATTCATGTGTTTTTGTAGACATGATAAAGTGTACAGGTACAGTATGTGATGATAAAGTGTACAGATACAGTATGTGATGATGAAGTGTACAGATACAGTATGTGATGATAAAGTGTACAGATACAGTATGTGATGATAAAGTGTACAGATACAGTATGTGATGATAAAGTGTACAGATACAGTATGTGATGATAAAGTGTACAGATTCAGTATGTGATGATAAAGTGTACAGATTCAGTATGTGATGATAAAGTGTACAGGTACAGTATGTGATGATAAAGTGTACAGATACAGTATGTGATGATAAAGTGTACAGGTACAGTATGTGATGATAAAGTGTACAGATACAGTATGTGATGATAAAGTGTACAGGTACAGTATGTGATGATAAAGTGTACAGGTACAGTATGTGATGATAAAGTGTACAGATACAGTATGTGATGATAAAGTGTACAGATACAGTATGTGATGATAAAGTGTACAGATACAGTATGTGATGATAAAGGGTACAGATAAAGTATGTGATGATAAAGTGTACAGATACAGAACGTGATGATAAAGTGTACAGGTACAGTAGGTGATGATAAAGTGTACAGATACAGTAGGTGATGATAAAGTGTACAGATACAGTATGTGATGATAAAGGGTACAGATAAAGTATGTGATGATAAAGTGTACAGATACAGAACGTGATGATAAAGTGTACAGATACTTACCTCGTGTGATGATAAAATCGTAAGAGACGCTGGCATTGTTCTGAGCTGGCCATGAGATGTTGACCGCACTATCTAGTGGTGTTATTCTGGGCATAACAGATGTGAAGTCTACAAGAGGTATAAAATCTTCAGGAATAGGTCCAACATCTTCCCCTGTAAAATCATTATCATCATATCTTCAAATCCCAAGAGTGGACACAAGTCATACTGATGAAATGATTTTTGTTAATGTGAGAAAATAAAACAGCTTAAAAAAGACGATGTATTTTAAGACATGAATGCCCTTTCTCATTTACAAACCCGAGTCTATGAAACTAAATACCTGGTGATTATCATGGTTCAAAATGTTCAAAATTTAAAGACAAAATGATATTTTGACGAATTCAAATTTAGCAATCTGTGTTATTAAAGGACTCTACTACACTCGTGTCTCATTATTTGATTAAATTTTCGCGATCACATTTACATACCTGAAGAATCCTAAATGACCTTGAATGTTGGTGGGGCAATCAGCCCAGTCAACAATGACATCACATCAACAAAAATCATTTGTAGTATAACTACAATATATTATCTGTATATTTCTTGTAAATGTTGTGAGAAAATTGTATGTAATGTCCAATTATGTAGGGAGCAATATCTTGACCATAAAAGGTCAATGACTCATTCTGGCACCACCAACCTGAGGCAGTGGCCTTTATTTCTGAAAAATAAAAATAATCTAGTTTTTGCCAGACATATTTTGTTTGTGCCCATTCATAGGCGATCTCATGTTGTTTTTTCCCTTTAGTACAGCTGACCTGTACTATGTACCATCTACCTTGTGTTGGAAGCGACGTGTTTGTCAGGGTGTCTGCAGACCCTTTCTTGTTACGTTTATAATTGTTGAGGTCAACGACAATCCAGGGTGTGTAGGGACTGGTCTTTTCATTGATTCTGGCCCCGACTCTCACCTTATAAGCCTCGTCTTTGTAAAGGTCTGTGAAAACAAATATAAAATCAGGATTTTAGTGTAAAACACAGCTAAAACTGTTTTAATAGGAGGCTATTTAATAAACACCATATACCTAATGCTGGGTTGCCCCCTTAGGGGCTGGGAAAACAAGCGAGTGGACGGGGAAAGAAAACTTATCAAGGGACATAACTCTGATAAAATGACAAATTACAGTATGTGTAATATATGCCAAATTTTTCCAATCACAGGCCTATATGAAATACCTATTTGTGACCTTGACCTTAAACCTGATGACCTGAGAAGTTTGTTGCTGTGTACCTTGCATCAATGCCTATAATTTTCTAATGTATATTTGTATACAAAATACCTAATATTTCTGAGATAATAAGGTTTTTCAAAACTGTTATGCATCTGAGACCTTCGACCTTTGACTTATAACCTTGGAAGACTCAAAGAAGTTTGCATCAAACCTTTTCATTCTCTAATGTACATTCATATATAAAGTATATTATATACAAAATACCTGTTTCTGAGATAATTATCCATTTAGAACTGTAATAAATCTGTGACCTTTAACCTTTCACTACATGACCTGTAAGTATAGCTTAAACCCATGCCCACCATACTGTCAGGTACATAAGTATACAAAATACTGTTTCCCAGATAATTAGTCATTAGCACAAGAACAATTTAACTAGCAGGGTCAAGGGCCAGCAAGGGACATCAGAGACAGGTTTTGATCCCCGAATGGGACAAAATTTAAGTATAACAAGAGAACCCAGAGGGTGCTAAGGACCCACCATTGTTTGATCTTTATATGCTCTTTGAAAGTTGGATTTTTTCTCTTCTTTTCTCAAAACAAGCAATGAACATCTCTACCTACCAAATCCAAGTTTGGAAGCCATTTTGTTTTTTCTGATCAGTCCCAAAATCAAACTTGCACAAGTAGAGGCCATATGGAACATGCATATGAAATCTGAGAGATATCCATTCAGTAGTACTTAAGAAATAGCAATAACAATCTTCATTGAAAAAATCAAAGATCAAGCTCAAAATCAAATGGGAAAAACTAAGGGCCAAAAGAAACCGCTATATGAAATTTAAGAAAGATACATCAAGTACTTCTCAAGAAATAGCGATAACAAACTTTCAAAGTCAAAATACAAGATGGCCGCCTTTCAGCCATTTCGTTTTTCTGATCAGTCCCAAAATTACATGGGTACAACTAGAGACCAAGGGGAACCCACACATCAAAACACAGAGCAATTCAATTTGAATAGCCAACCTAATAATATACGTAAAAGTTTAGCCAAAATTTATGTTATAATCCTTAGCGGAGTAGGTGGTACAATAATGAGTCTACAGACAGATGAACAGACAAATAGACACACTGATTCCAGTATACCTTCTCCCCAAACTTTATTGTGTGGAGCATCATAATGATGTTTTGTCTTAACAACAAGAAATGTGTTGACCATCTCCAGATCCAGAACTAGAAATCAAGGCCACAATAAACTTTTCTTTGACAGTTGATAAAAAATTCCTAACATCAAAATTAAAAATTTCCGTGATAGATGACAGATAAGCTTACTACACAAGGTTAAATATAAATGAAGGTTATGGGAAAGTTTCATGGTCGGCACCCGATCTTATGTAGGAAATATTCTATTTCTTTGTCAGATATGATTGATAGTGGTGGTTTTATTGTCGTTAATCTTACTATCATCTGAAAACATTACATTGGAAGCATTTACATGGCCAACATCATTTATGAAGCAGAAAGTGCTTACCCTTGTGAAACACTTGGTCTTTCTCTCCTTTAACATTTTTTTAAAAAGTTTCCATCTAAGCTTTTCTCTCTTTTTTTTTATCCATAAAATTGCTTCTGGTTCACTGATTATGAGAATGAGATAAGTTTGTATTAACAACATGTCACTAGATTTTGTGATCACATGAGTTTGTGTTTGTTTTGCTTTGGGACAAAACAAGGCACAAGATATAATCAAAATGACATTGGTTTATATGGAAACAATTAGTCCTACCTGTTATCACATATCGGAGCTTGTCAGCATCAGTGAACACAGAACACATGTCCGCCCGTCGTAGCCCTTTACGTCTGTATTGAAGTTTGTATCCAGTCACATGACCTAGACTCTCCACTGGTGGCTGCCATTTCACCAGGATCTTCTGAAATGATAATCAGAAGAAAGAACATCAAATACAGAAATTGATTATCACCTGAAAACAGAGAGCACAAAACACAGAGCACAAAACACAGAGCACAAAACACAGAGCACAAAACACAGCACAAAACACAGAGCACAAAACACAGCACAAAACAGAGAGCACAAAACACAGCATAAAACACAGAGCACAAAACACAGAGCACAAAAAAAGCACAAAACACAGAGAGCACAAAACAGAGAGCACAATAAAAAGAGAGCACAAAAAACAGAGCACAAAAACAGAGAGCACAAAACACAGCACAAAACACAGAGAGCACAAAACACACAGAGAGCACAAAACACACAGAGAGCACAAAACACACAGAGCAAAAAACAGAGAGAGCACAAAACACAGAGAGATCACAAAACACAAAGAGCACAAAACACACAGAGAGCACAAAACACACAAAACACACAGAGAGCACAAAACACACAGACAGCACAAAACACAGACAGCACAAAACACACAGACAGCACAAAACACACAGAGAGCACAAAACACACAGAGAGCACAAAACACACAGACAGCACAAAACACACAGCACAAAACACACAGAGCATAAAATACAGAGCACAAACCACACAGAGAGCACAAAACACACAGAGAGCACAAAACACCGACCACAAAACACAGAGAGTACAAAACACAGACCACAAAACACAGTCCACAAAACACAGAGAGCACAAAACACAGACCACAAAACACAGAGAGCACAAAACACAGACCACAAAACACAGTCCACAAAACACAAAGAGCACAAAACACAGTCCACAAAACACAGAGAGCACAAAACACAGACCACAAAACACAGTCCACAAAACACAGAGAGCACAAAACACAGTCCACAAAACACAGAGAGCACAAAAAACAGAATGCACAAAATCAATCAGTAACAGGTTTGTATGTTTCCCATATGAAGGTTTTTCTAACACATCTCTACTTGTCCTGAGGTTCTGCAGAGATGGAATGTCAACACCATAATGATCTTATAGTGATATTGTTCATGATACAAAGACATTTTTGGTGCTGATTTTGTTATTTTTTGTCACCGTGGGAACAGCCATGGTGATTTAGAGAACTCTCCTTATAGTAGCTAGTTGCTACCCTACAAGAGGCCCATTACATGCTGTCCAGAATAACTGGGGTAAAATTAATGTCTTACACAAACATGATGGCCAAATATTTCAGCTTAACCTGAATAGATATCAAAACAAGCAACTTGGATTTTCACCTTGGAGTTACTAAGTCTGAAGCTCTGCCAGCTTAACCTGAGAAGGGAAATGCAAATTACGATGCTCTATCACTTTAATACTGGCCAGGAAAGGGTTTTTCACCTCTGAACTTTCAACTTATGACCAAATTTCTAGATTTTGTTGCAAAGGGTACAAAACATAATATTGTATCTATTTTATCCCTAACTTAGTGCTACATTGGGAACATAAGTCATCAGATAGAGTTATGGTTCTTTAATTGTGTACTTTGTGATGTAAGTATTTGACAGAGTTATGGTTCTTTAATTGTGTACTTTGTGATGTAAGTATTTGACAGAGTTATGGTTCTTTTATTGTGTCCTTTATGATGTAAGCAGACAGGCATAAAATTGATTTTTTTCTTTCTAAATTGTGTTGATTCATTGTTAACATGTTATCTTAATATCTTGGAAATATTGCTCAATATTGGTCAGTTAATCTGTGGTTATGCAGGATTTTTTTACAGTGCCATTTTTGTATATGACACAAATTGTCCTGTTTAAAAATGGTCTGTTTGTTCAATGAATTATTTGAAATGCCTCTGTCACATTGAATCATTGGATCATTGAGAAATTTTTAACTGCTATAACAATAAGAATAATGTAAGACTTTCAGATATTTTAAATCTTTACACAAGTGATGTGTTGTCATGGTTTCGGGCCCAGTTATAGCATATTTAGGACGGAGCTCATTGTCAGTTGCCAGGAGTAACAAGCTGATTACAGTGGTACTCGACACTTGTTATCTTTAGGACAACTTTGAAAACTGGAATTTAAAATGATAATTGTCAATAACTGGTAAATTTCAAATTTATTACTTAACTCACTTTATATATGTATTGTCCATTGAACTTATTGTAATATGCTTAAAGTGACTATTTAGTACCAGCAGTTTGCATATACATTCAGGTTTTTTTAATTCAATTTGGTTAAATTTAACATAAAATCTAATTTAATGATCAAAAATCAATAGTGAAAGAGGGGAATTTTGTATCACATGCAAAAGAAATGCATAGCAACACAGGATTTGAATAATTTGAAGAGCCTGTTGTTGCTAATGAGTCTCATTAACAGAAGGGCTAGTAATTAGTTGTGAAATTGCACCACATCCTAAGGACTGTAATCACAGGATTACTTTTATCAGCTGGGCGTTGATTTTAGCTAATATTAATGGTAGTTAGAAGATTACAGTTCATTACTGTATCCATTACGAATCAAACTATTTCTTTTTTATTTCAGAATATTTTATTGTCATGATTTTACTGAGAAAAGGAATTGGGCGACAGGCATAGCTTACAAAAGTCCTCTCCTTGATATTATCAAGAAATACACACATAATAACAAATTAGTACAGTGATATTTAAATAGTAGTTATATGACTCAATGCCCGGGTCAATGATCAGTCCGAAAGTCATCTTACATGGAAGGCAACAAAGGCAAATTGTCCATACATATTCACCCCCCTGATTCCAAACAGACAACAACCAAAAACCTAACCCAACAATGTATGAACGGAATATTTACTGAAAATAACAGGCCCCTGGTTCTTAGCAGTCATCTGACTACAAACACAGCAGGGAAAACGGTTATTTTTTCTACTTTGAATGAAATCTTACTAAGGAGCTTTTTTTCCATGATGTAGATGATAGTTTTGGTGAGGAATAGGTAACTGTAACAAGTGTTACCTTTTTCGTGACAGTAAAGTTGAAGTTAAATCCAACTTGTGAAACTTGAGATGAAGTTTGAAATAGATGTTACACAGGAAAACCATTATTGTACAATCATGTTACAAAATGGCATCCCTGGCTGCGGTAGATCCAGGTCAAAATATTACAACACTTTGTTGGCTACCTTTCCTTTACACCAATGTTAACCTCAATGGCACCAGTGGAACTGGAGAAGAAGTTTAATATTGGTTTTTCAAGATGGCAGCCATGGCAGCAATCTTGGATTTCAAACATACCAAAAAATAACAACACTTGGTCAGGACCAACTCGAGATCATGTCCTGCAAGTTTGAGATCAATCCCACTAGTGGAACTTGAGAAGAAGTTTAAAATGTGAAAAGTTTACGCACAGAGTATAGTGCACAGAGCACGAACGAAGTACGATGACTAAAGGTCATCATGACCCTTCAAGTCAGATGACCTTAAAAAATGTCTAGTATCAGTAATAAATCTCAAATCAACTCAAGGACAGAATTATTTGTAACTGCAGCTAGTGCATGGCGTCCATTTAGAAATGTTTTGAGAAATATGACCGCTCAGGCCAGAAAGAGAAGTAAAATGGAGTTGTCTTTGGTGAAAAGAGGACGATGAAGAAAGACGTAAGAACAATCTTCAACTGGATCATCACAGGTACAGGTATTCTTATTGCCTATTTAACGTCAATACATAAAACGTCATTAGGGCCACAGGTACAGGTATCCTTATTGCCTTTTTAACGTCAATACATAAAACGTCATTAGGGCCACAGGTACAGGTATCCTTATTGCCTTTTTAACGTCAATACATAAAACGTCATTAGGGCCACAGGTACAGGTATCCTTATTGTCTTTTTAACGTCAATACATAAAACGTCATTAGGGCCACAGGTACAGGTATCCTTATTGTCTTTTTAACGTCAATACATAAAACGTCATTAGGGCCACAGGTACAGGTATCCTTACATAAAACGTCATTAGGGCCACAGGTGCAGGTATTCTTATTGCCTATTTAACGTCAATACATAAAACGTCATTAGGGCCACAGGTACAGGTATCCTTATTGCCTTTTTAACGTCAATACATAAAACGTCATTAGGGCCACAGGTACAGGTATCCTTATTGTCTTTTTAACGTCAATACATAAAACGTCATTAGGGCCACAGGTACAGGTATCCTTATTGCCTATTTAATGTCAATACATAAAACGTCATTAGGGCCACAGGTACAGGTATCCTTATTGCCTATTTAATGTCAATACATAAAACGTCATTAGGGCCACAGGTACAGGTATCCTTATTGCCTATTTAATGTCAATACATAAAACGTCATTAGGGCCACAGGTACAGGTATCCTTATTGCCTTTTTAATGTCAATACATAAAACGTCATTAGGGCCACAGGTACACGCAGGGCTAATTATTAAGTGGGAATTCAATAAATCGTCACTCAAGTTACCATCAGAAATTTTTAACTGACGTAAAGTTATATTTATTTTCCTGTCGTCATTAACTTTAAAAAACAACCATAGTGCATTGGTGTTCGGCATCTACAACAGGTTGAAATAATCAAATAATTCTGGTTTTGTAGACAATATTTTGATAACTATTTTACAGAAGTGATTCATTGCTAATCTGTATCTAACACAGAGAAAAAAAGTGACATACTTTTATTCCTATTTATATTTTTTGTTCTTACGGAAATAAAATCTGTTTATAATCATTAAGATTCTTATTTTACAATACAATTTTTTTGGAGGGATGCTTCCCCAGTTTTTATATCTCATCATGTTGACAAGCTATGGCACTAGAAGTTTTATCCTGACTTGTATACAGATCCTATCTTCTTTGTAGTTTAGCTTCTCATACCTGAGCAGTGCTAGATTTTCTGTTTTGTTTGATCTGTCCGACACATTTACGTGATGTTTGGTGCTAACTGCTAAGTTATATTCAAATAAATTGTCCTTCTGATGAGTAACTTGTAACGAGGGCATAATCTGACTGAAACAAAGAATGTACAACTCCATGAAACTAGAATGAGATATACAAGTAAAATGATCTTTAGCTTTATATTATGACATCAATTTATCTCACACTCAAGGTCTGACATTTTTTAACAACTTATTCTCAATTCCACTTTGAGATTTTGTTACAGAATGTCTGCACTCAACTGAGATTAAATAGTTAGGCAACATATTTTGTTATTGGACAGTGCTATACACAACAAGACCAACCACCAAATGACAGTGTCCACTGAATCTGAAATTATATACAAATTTCAGTGATATAGATCAAAGGTCAAAATGTAGGTCAGAGTGACTTACTTTTGAAACATGACACTTTGCCTTACCAAGGTGAACCAATACCCCAAGAATGAAGTTCAGTGATAACTGGTGTAGATAATCTGTAACAACTTTTTTTCTTTGATATAGGTCAAAGGTCATAATGTAGGTCACAGTGACTTTATTTTGAAATACAATGAACCAATACCTGAAATTTACTTCCAGTGACCAGCAGTGTTGGAAATACAGCCTAATTAATGTTTTCTTTGATAAAGGTCAAAGGTCAGATTGAACATCAAAGTGACCTACTTTTGATACATGACATGCTACCTCAACAAGGTGAAGCCATACATCAAGCATGAACAGGACATGGATGAATATATATACGAACGTACATACCAGTAGATCACTATATACCCCTGACTAATTTGTTGCAAGGATGTAATAAATAAAGTTTTTATTATTAAGTACTTGTAGTCAAAAAACGACGAAGAAAGGGAAAAGAGAGAGAAATATGCAAAATTCAACATTAATTACAAATTGAATTTAAAAAAAGAGCTTTCAAACCTTTCAAGTCCAACAGAAAGTGGCGTTTCTGACATACGCACCGTCGTTCCTATAGCTTTTGCTGTCAGGTTTTTCGGTGCTTGGTTCACGTGCTCTGATTCAGTTGTAAAGTTGACGACAGAATAGTCAGACATCTTGCCGTCCGATTTGATTGTCTGTACACGGACAGTGTAGGTAGAATTAGGACGGAGACCCTCAAGGATATAAAATCGCTTACTTATGTTAACTGTCCGTTCCTGGTTTGGGCGTCCATTCGTCCAGGACACACGGTACACACTTATGTCCGACTTCTTCATTTTGGGGCGCCGCCATTTTACCTTTGCTATTGATGACGTCAGAGATCTGACCTCTAACGTCCTTGGTTTAGACACTAGGTTTTCCTCTAGTGAAGCTGTAACCAAAACATTCTGTATTGTAATGTATGTATATTTAATGCTAATCACCTATTATCTCTTTACTTCTGATGTCACTGTCACCGACATCCTTGATTTAATGTCAATCATAAATGTTTATAGATGTTCAATTTTATTCCGAGTAGAGAAAGCTGATCTACTGACATCAGATCCCAATATATGTGTCACAAAATCAGTATAATCATGTCATGACATATATAACCATCAATTTTGCCGTTTATGATGGCGCAATGTATACAGTTCACAAGTATTTCTGATATTTCACAACTGAAATGTGTGGAATAAAAAACTCTAATCAATTCTGTGTTTTGTGAGTTATCGCAGCTGCTGGGAATACTTCAAACTTAACATTTGGCACCCCAAGGAAAAGAAATCTGTGCCTGGCGATCTCCGAAATATCATTACATACGGCCAACGGAGCCCTGGTGGGATGATCGGGTTGTCTGGAGTGTTACCAACCACATATCTGATGAAAAGGTGTTTTTGTCAATTAGTAGAACAAGAGGCCCAAGGACCTTAACGGTCACTTAGGTCACAATGGTTCTTTTAATAGGTCCCGGAAATTATGTTGTTAAAGAAAGTAATATAACTTTTATCTGTACACATAATACAAATGTAAATTGTGTATACGCTAACTGCTGTCCGATGTTAAGGCTTCTAACCAAGTGTGAATTAAAAGAAATTACACTCAAGATTTGAATTTTTATTTATAAACAGGAACAGTAGAGCATCTTTGAAATTTCAGTCAATTTGACCCATTTTTGGCAATATGTACATCTCATCCAACTGTTAGCTTACACTAATAAAATAAAAAATCTGACAATGTTTTAACTATTTCTGAAAGAAAATAAATAAATCATGCACAAAAAAACGTAAATTTTAACCCTATTCCAAGGGGAAATTTGATACCCTGGGGTCATAAAATTAACAATTTTTATCAAGCATCGCAAGACACTTCCATCTGTGACGAGTATTTGGTTCTACATTATCTGGGTATGAGAAGAAGATTTTTGAAATTTCAGTCAATTTGACCCATTTTTGGGCCAGACTAACAGCCCCTCGGCATTAGCTGAGGTCAATATATGCATCTCATTAAACCATTATCTTACACTAATAATTCTAACCAGGTCTGAACTATTTCCAACAGAAAATGAACAAATACTGTTCAAAAATATTATTTTTCTTATATATAAACTATAGTAAACATTACTCTCCCCCGGGGAGACCCTGAAGTAATGAAATGTATAATTTTGGTAAAGCATCTGAAGGCCTTTTCATCCAGGATTTAAATTGATAATTATTGAAATCGGTTTATGAGTTTTTCCAGATGAAGTCAAAAATGTTGAAAGTTTATGACACATGACATATGGCACATATTGTCAAACTAAAGGGGATCACAATAAAAACTTACCTTCTTAAACAACACTCGATTAATATTTCCATTCTGCATATGTTAAGTTGATATCATATAATTACTCACGATTTGAATACAAAACTGTCTTTCTAACTCAGCATCATCTCCACCTTATCTGTAGCTGTTCCTCACTTCTGTGAAACAATGGACTCTTTCCATACGGTTTCCATTTGTCATTGAAGATAACTATACATTATGTTTATTACAAACTTCCCAATCAAAGTAGAGGTTGTGCACTAAGCCTTCCAGTGATAGACGCACATGCCAGGAACGCAAAGGCTTACAACTGTCACCCCAGGCGTTGATTTCTGCTGCTTGGGACTAAGGTCTTGATTGTTCAGGTAAGGCCGGTTTTCAGAAGTGATTTTCGTTATATTACTATAAAATCAGACATAAAATCTATGTGGCATTTTGAATTGAGAAGGATTGGAGGGAAGGTTTTTATTACTATCATCAACTCGGTCAGTTTCAAGAGGTGGTCGGTTTCAAGAGGTTTTCTGTTTAAAGAGGTGGTCGCTTTCAAGAGGTTTTCGGTTTCAAGAGGTGGTCGGTTTCAAGAGGTTTTCTGTTTAAAGAGGTGGTCAGTTTCAAGAGGTGGTCAGTTTAAAGAGGTGGTCGGTTTCAAGAGATGGTCAGTTTAAAGAGGTTTTCGATTTCAAGAAGTGGTCGGTTTCAAGAGGTGGTCAATTTAATTGAGGTGGTCGGTTTCAACAGGTGGTCAGTTTCAAGAGGTGGTTGTTTTCAAGAGGTGGTCGGTTTTGTACTGTGTCTCTGTTTACATCATACACTGCATTACTGATTCTATTTATCTATGGGAACATGGTGATGGCTGGTAAAACACTCACCTGGACACTCTGAAGAACATACATCAAACAGGGAGGTGGTGTTAAAAATTGTTCCATTCTCGTAGAGTCTGGTACGTGTCCTCTGTATTGTCCCCATCCCACACGTGACAGAACATTCTGACCATGAATTCCATTCCCCCCAGCTTCTGGGGGACACAATGTCATGTCCCAGACCTGGAACTAAAAAACCAGAAATATTTAAATAAAAACTTAATATCACTGTCTTATTTACTTCATTCACTGAAAAAGTAGATTATACCGGTATTCCAACCAATATTCAGGGTCAGCTTGGAACTTTTGGAACTTTCTAGACATACTGCAAATACATGTGAAGCTTAAAAAGTGTTGTTTTCCATTGTATGAGCAACATACAACTAGTATGGCACAATTATTTTTCTATCAATATCTACAATAAAGAGACCCAAAATTGAGTGCTTCAACAACAATGACCACTTTGATCAGGAATATATAGGCCAAGGTCATATCTTTAAGCAAACTTTGTAAGACCTCCTTCCAGGAACAACTCAAGATTCTGATCTGGTCCTTATTGTTGATCAGAAGAAGTTTTAACAAATTTGTCCATCGACTTGTTACCTTGAATATGTCATTTCAATTTTTAGCAATTTTTAGTTGAGCCTCATACCAGCTTAACAACATGATTCTTGGCTTTATAGTTAATCAATAAGTTGAGGTTTTTTAACAAATTTGAGCCCAATTGCCTTGAATATTTATCAAGTCCTTTAATCTTTTACTACAAACTCTCTTGGGCTATGTTGGGCTTCAGTTCCGGAGCCTATCTGTCAAATATCATGATTTTCTGGCTTTTGGTGCATAAGATGATGTTTATAACATGTTCGACCCCTGTGACCTTAAATATCAGTCAAAGTCACTTTTCCCTTAAATATTTTCGTGCTTCATCACAGGCAAATACCAGGCAAATATCACCATATCATACTTTTTGGTGTTTAATCTGAAAGAATTCGTTTTAACAAATTTGCATCAAATGACCTTGTAAATGGGTCAAGGTCAATTCATTTTGCTAGCTTTATCGGTCTTAAATCTTTATCCAGTATAAAGACTGAAGGAACTTTAAATAATCCAACCCTTGATTACTGAGAATAAATGCACTCATTCCGATCTGATATGCTGCTTGTTTACTCTTTTAAGAAAGACGTAATCAAGTCTGATAAATTTTGATTGAATTAGGTCTAATCTGTTTTTTTTTTTTTTATTATTTTAAGAAACGTTATATTATTATGTGTTTTATTACCAATACTTACCATCAAAAGGTGAGGTAGTATTTTTAACTGTAAATGACCAACGACTCCGCTTCTTGCCTTTAGAAAACTTAACAGAGAAGGCGTATGTAGTATTAGGTTCGACGTCGGTAAGTAGGTATTCCGGCTTTACAGCGCGTGCGTACTGGTATGGAATCTGTCCGCCACTCCTGGGTCGATACCGCAAAGTGTAAAACGTATCATTTTTGTCTCGTTGGCGCTTGTGTTCATCCCACGTGACTAAGATCTCGTGTGACGATAGTACAATTGCCTGTAAATTAGAGGGCGCTTTGAATGCATTGGCATCTGTAATGAGAAGGAAGTAAAATCAAGTGAGTGAACATTTGGAAGGACTGCTTGTAACGTTGTAGATTTCTTAAAATGTTTTTTTCCACTTTTTTTTCTTTTTCAAATTTTATACTTCTTTTCATTTGTCATTTCCTACAGCAGCAAACATGAGACATGATAGATAAACGTACTTGATATAGATACACGTAATGTGTATCTTTCAATGGGAGTGTTGCGATATATATATATACATAGTGCCTTGCAATATATTATGTTATTAAGGAAAACGATTTGAAAGTACATTGTTTTCCTATGTGTGTTAAACTCTCATGTCATGAAGATAAAATGAGAGCGTGGAGAGCATGCATGCATCAACACATATATTTCTCACAGACCATCGCAAAGTGAAATTTATTTTTAGAAAGGCCTCACCAGGGACGTATATAGCATACGTCCCTGGCCCCACATAGTGAACACTTGCCTTAATTACATAACTACACTGTTATCAGTGTATTGATATCATTACATTTTTTCTTATTTCACGTGTGTAAAATGACCCAGCGGATCAGTGATTGGCTAACGGTTCCCATTGTGTGCATTGTGACGTCATACTTTCATGCCACTAGATGCGTCGTGACGTCACCAAAGGAATACATATATGGATAGAGACTGGCGCACAGTTACCAGAATGTAATCAAATGTCGGTTTTATGTTTGCAAAAATATTCAGTTGGATAATTGAACAATTCAGAACGGTACAGAATGCCGATATTTCCCCTTGATTAGAGTATTGAAGGTTTTATTTTAGGCACAATATTACAATCTTATAGTCTCTCATAAACCAATTATGGCTTGATATTGGTATCTGTTTGTTTTTAACTTAGGAATTTATTCTTGTACTATCGACATATGACACTTGTATTGCGATATTTTTACAAAATGAGGTCTTCAAGCTGACAAAAACTGAAGAGGTCAGCTGTGAACATTGAATCAGATTCGACATGATGTTTTGATTATATATAAATCAACATATGCTGATCTTATCTGAAGTATCAACGTCATTCTCCACTTGTTCTAACATATTTGATCAATAGATAGAAGTATGCCATTTTATACCAACTTGGAATCTGTCCTTTTGCAAAAACAGTACAATTCAGACCTGTCAAACTGACCAAGGAATCCAAATTTTAAAACCAAAGAGCACAAAAAATCTATCACGTATTGAATTATGAAAATTATGTAATATATACCCTTAAGGACGACTTTGGTATTAGCTTTATCCCTTACTGAAGACTTAATTAGAAAGTAAATACAATCAAGGAAGAACTGGGTAGCATATACCCTTAAATAGAATTAAATGAAATGTAGTATATACCCTTAAATAGAATTAAATGAAAGGTAGTATATACCCTTAAATAGAATTAAATGAAAGGTAGTATATACCCTTAAATAGAATTAAATGAAATGTAGTATATACCCGTAAATAGAATTAAATGAAAGGTAGTATATACCCTTAAATAGAATTAAATGAAAGGTAGTATATACCCTTAAATAGAATTAAATGAAAGGTAGTATATACCCTTAAATAGAATTAAATGAAATGTAGTATATACCCTTAAATAGAATTAAATGAAAGGTAGTATATACCCTTAAATAGAATTAAATGAAAGGTAGTATATATACTTAAATAGAATTAAATGAAAGGTAGTATATACCCTTAAATAGAATTAAATGAAAGGTAGTATATACCCTTAAATAGAATTAAATGAAAGGTAGTATATACCCTTAAATAGAATTAAATGAAAGGTAGTATATACCCTTAAATAGAATTAAATGAAAGGTAGTATATACCCTTAAATAGAATTAAATGAAAGGTAGCATATACCCTTAAATAGAATTAAATGAAAGGTAGTGTATACCCTTAAGGAAGATTAAATAGTATACACCATTACTTCTTTGTTTATTTCTGACGTATTACCAAACTACACATTTTCTTTCTAGTTTCCTTTAAATTCTCATTGATTTATCTATGGTTGGGTATCGTACCTTCTTTAACCTTTGAATAATTTCTATTTACTTTCTAATTCTTTTGATTATGGAGAAATGATTCCTGATTTGTTTACCAAGCTAATGATGTGGAGGTATTCATTCTATAAGCGATTCAGTAAAGGTCATGTTTAAGAGTACAAGAGCTCGGAGTTCAAACAATGCTAACCGACATTCCACTTCCGGATGTGTCTAATTAGAAGCCTAGTGGGGTCAAAAGTCAAGTCGACCGCCGTGTGACGGGAGCTACACTGTAATGTCGATGTTGTTGACGAGATCGGATTAAAAGAACAACGGCTTTGATGAGCAGAAAAGATATTGTAAAAGTTTGATTATTGCAATATTTTAAGAAGTGATTCAACAAAAGGTGGATATATGATAACACTGGCATTGAAATATAAACAACCTTCTACGACCTTAAATAACTACTGAACACGTTACCTATTATGGCTCTATAAAGTTTTAACACTATATCAATCGTGAACAGATAAGAACAATGATGGGTTCGCGTGTTCGCATTAATTTAAACAACAGGCGACATACAGATGTATACTTTTCTATATCTCTAGCATGAAAAGCATGTACGGTTAAAGGCTGTCCATAGAATGTATATTTCATTTTCTAGAATTATTTCCTATTCATTGTATGTATTTTGAATGGGTTTCAAATTGTTCCTATCCCTGTGTGTTAAGTCAACATGAGAGTGGCTCTGTTTATGTCGTATAAACTATGAACGCCTATAACCAACATCTACAGAACTGATCCAAACTCGAACCATTCAGAAGTTCTCTGGTCTTATCAATCACACCAACTCTATGCAGATTACATGATATGATTGAATATATTACATTTTAACATCACAGCTTATAAGCATTCAGAGACCACCAACACGAGACCATTTTTACGTCCACTGTTGCGGCCTTTCGGACTTCCAGTAGACGAATAACTTTCCTTTTATATACGATATGTTCGGAACCCCTCTACATTTCCCCCTCTAATCTGAAGTCTTTGTTTAACCTCTGTACACTGAATCCCTATGAGATAAAATCGTTATCATGATATCCGGATTCGTAGGGTCTGGTTTCCAGACGGATTCCGTCCCCATTCCAGTCAGTAGATAGCACACGTCATTTAACATAAGAAATGCAAGTGTGTACACGTGGATTTTGAGCACACATATTCCGGGTTATCTGGGTATCATCAATTAATTCTCAGACTTTATTGTCTTGGATGTACGACAGAGATGAACGATTTAGATTAGTTAAAATAGTAAACACACAAACTAATCATAAACTATATCCAATTGCTATACAGTAACGTGTGTGATGCGATTTAGGTTATCTAAATGTACAATAGTTTTGTTAGTTCTGTGTAAGTTCGCGTAGAAGGTTGTGTATGGAATATCCATTCAGTAGGGATGTAAAATGTAACGTTATGTTCAATGATAATGTATGACTTAATTAGTAATGTAGGTATAATGGTAGCTGATGTATAATTATAAGATATAGTATCATTATAATTACTAGGATTATCTGACAATAAGTTTCCACTCAAATCAGGTTAGGAAACCAGTCTCAGAGCTCGCTATCCTGTAAAATAAAAAACCCATAAAAACCGAGACGACATATCAAATTGAAACGACTGCAAGATTCTCGCAGATGCATTCGTGAAAACAACATTTTATTTGAATTAAATACAAGCTAAATTGGCCACATTCTAGTTATTTCCCTTTTTCGAGAGTTATCTGCCCTTTGGAATAGTCATTGATTGGTACGTCATAAGTTTGTGTGCGAAAATTACGTCGTTTTCTTATGACGTTACTCTCACAAATACATGACGTAAGAGCAGTTTTCTACGCATCATGAAAAGACGGAATACACCGTCCATTGATGAAATTGCAAAGCATAAAGCATTCCAATATGTTAAACTGACGACAGCGTCACATTGACGTCACAAGGAAACAACGGGAACGTTCAACCAATCAACGCTTCGCTTGGTTGAAATATTTTTTATATACATTATCGTGTATTATGACAATCTCTCCCTGACTGTGACGGTTAAGGAACGACAACTCTGGTAGAGATTGGTAATATGAGTGAGAAACAATTGTTTCTGAAATTACAATTCAATATGTTAAACGTGAGTAGGTAATCATACGGCTATGGAACTAGAAGATATAACTATGTGTGATTCAACATTTCTACATTGTAAAGAGTTTGTCATCTCGATTACCATTGTATTTAACGATGTCGACGTCAAATCTATAAAATGTTCCTGATAAGAAACAGTTTAAGTAGAAATCATTTTATATGTACATGTGCGTACCCTCACTGGAATCTCGCGCTCAAGTTTCAAGGCAAATTTGAAAAGCGAACATATCCGCCTAAAGTGACCTAACTACCAGCAGGTCAGAATTTAATGATGTCACCGTTCTACTACAATCTAGAAATGCCAGTTCAGTTCATTAAAGTTACTTTTATTGTATTCTGATTGCCTGTAACAGCATTAGACAATTTATTGTTACTTGTGACAGCCTTGTCTAAAAACCCGTGTGACCCGACATGTTCTGTTATACTGTTATATGCATCTAACTACACAGCACGGTGCTTCAGAAAGCGTCATATTATATACAGGTCGGCCAACACAACTAGATTACAGTGATCATATTCAGCTCACTTGTGTAAATTCTGTTTGTATTTTGTTTCGATAATGAATCCTCATCATCTTCCTTCTATCACGGCAGTTGTTACATAACTACAACACGACATTTTGTCAGAACTGTTACATCACTGCGTTCATTTTTTTCTATTTTATTTCATTCCGTATGCATCACCCCAATAAATAATTCGTATTTAATAATTCTTTAATGATATAAGAGTATAAGGTGAAGGATTGGAATACTTTCATTTCTAGTATAATATATATATACGATTATAAAATAAAGTTTAAACTAAAATTGTTTACTTAATTAAGTTGAACCATAACACTACAGAAAGTATATGGTGTTTACTGTTATTTAAAAACTTTTAAATTTCTATGGAATGTGTTGTTGATGTATTCGTTAGTGAACGCTGTGGAGTGACATCTGGTGTACCGCCGTTTATAGTATCTATGTTGACTTTTGACCCAAGTGCCATATCACCAGTCCTAATCGTGTCTACATTGACCTTTGACCCGAATGCCGGATTGGTAGTTCTAATCTGTTGGTTGCCATGACAATGAAGGTCTGTATTCTGGATCGTGCTGGAGATTAAATGACTCCTCTTTCTTGTTTGTTTGTTAATTGGTATCTGTTTTTATTGTGACACAGTAGACACATGTACTAGACATTAATTACGACATTTATTGATGTATGGGACTAGTGTACATTAACATCTAGATTTTAACTTTTCTTTCGATCGAAGGTTTCTAAAGTCATGCCCTAAACATCACTAACGAGTCCTAGCAGGGCGAAACAGCTATATGATGCAGTGTCATCCATTGAATAACTCTGCTGTATCTAACTCTAAATTTGTATTAAAAAGTGATATTCACTTGTGTGTCTTTTGTAAAACATTCGTTTTCAATGATAAAATTCTACGTAGTCTGTTTGGATAGATTTAACTATAGGATATATAACTGAAGGGTTATTTGAGTATCGTCGAAATTAATGTCAATGGAACTATATTTGTATCGATTAATTTGCATATAGATTTTATTAATCAATCATTTTGTACTCTTTTTAGGGGGGGGGGGTCCGTTTCATATAGCATTTGTATTGTTCAGTATTTATAGACGTTAGAAGTATATCATTATCACGTGCATATGTTGATAATGCTTTATTTGAACTTTAATAGAAATCAAAGGAATTTATTAAGGATAAACTGTTTCTATAGCATCAGAGTAATGCCATGGTCGAACCCATGCCTCGCATTCAGTTCTTAGCGTAGTGGGGTTTTTTTTTTGCGATGATTCCTTTTATTGTGTATACAAGATATCACAGGTACCCAAGATTCTCAAATTGTATCCTAGGTAAAGAGGCGTGTGCAGAACCCAAAATTTGTCACGCTCAGCGGATATAAAAAAGCACCTAGATTGAGAACAATAGCTTTGTATCTCGAACGTGTCTATCATAGCTTGCTCGATATACGTCTTACTAGCACACATGACAAGAAGAACTCCTTACCTTCATTATCTCACTCTATCATATTTTTTTCTTTGTTTTCATCATAATTGAATAATAACCGAATGTTTAGGAATCGCCATGATTTTTTATCTATTTTTAGATTTAGATATCTTTAATGAAAGCGTATTAATCTGATGATATCCATAAGGATCAACGATATGTAGGACAACCTCGGAGTGAGCTCTATGACGTCACAACCAAATTGATTTCATTGGCTGCAGACATCTTAATCATGATAGCAATTAAATAGTACTCACCTCGTACAATTTTCCAGGAGATGAGAAAAGCGAATGTAAAACGTAAGTCCATTACGGTTTGCTTCAATAGTTCCGTGCAATCCACACGTATTTCTGACTACGTAGACAATTCTGGGAGGCAGACGACACAGCATTGACGTCCCGCCGCCACTGGCACAACAGTAGGTCACCACTGTCGAATTCTAGTGGCTCAAGTGTTGTCTCTTCCGGCGGCCCAGCTAAATACGCCTGAGCTCGTCTCGTCTTCACATTCGCTTGTTTTTGGTGGAAGACGCGGTAGTGATTTTATCTGATCGAATTCCTGTTTGGTCTGTAAATAAGAGTTTCTGTTTGATCCAGACTTACGCGTACGTAGCTACAACTACACGTATTTGAAAGACCGCAGACTTTGTTAAATAAACGTGAAAATGGACATTCTACTGAGTATGAACATGCTTAACTTCTAAACTGTATACTACAGGGATCGGAGAATTTGTTTAATCAACTTTAAAATGGACCTAACCCAGTCTGTTTAAGATCATAGGTTCATCCTGGTCACCAAAGTGTTTGTACATCACAGAGGATCCGTGTCAGTTTAACATAAAGTTGTTAGTTATATCGACAATTTATGCAATTGTTCAATTTCTGTCCTCAAATGTTTTATCCTGGCAGGAGACCGAAAACGCTGTATGAACAATGACCGAATTACTTTCTTAAAATATCACAAGGTTTATATAAAGGGACGGTTATATGAATGTTCATGTACCCTTTTTGCGATCTTTCGGGAGTGACCAATCCATAAAAATATTGTGTTCGAACGAAATACATACTGTTGTGTCTGAACATATATATATATATATTGTTCATATATAAACATTGCGTATGTACATAATTAAAACGTCACATCGGCTTAACATGTTGATACTGGTAATGCACCTGTATTTTACAGAGAACAATTTTACTCATTCTTTCCACGTGTATTGGACGAACATTAAGTTCCACGCGCGATATCAGCTTTACTGATAATGATAAACATCACAACGTTATGAACTAGTTTTGATTGTCATGTTACACTATTTCTATATACACTATGTTAGTTGGACTTCTATATTTTCTAACGATAAACATTGATACTAGATGAAGTCCTTCGTCCTCGATCTACGATTTTCTTTGTGATTAGTAACATGACGAGGTAATTAGATTGATTAACAATTGACAAATGGCGCGTCCTTCGAAATAACTGACCCTATAAACTCATGATAAAATGTGATTTTTTTTTTCAACAGATATTGTTAAACTGAATTGTAACTCTCTGATTTTTATAATTGTAGAGTTTGAAATGTAAACGTTTCTTTCAAAAAAAGAAAGGTGAATCCTGTTTGTAAGTTATTATCAATGCTTACAGACATTAGTCTTCATGTTTGACACGAGGGACAATCGTCCAGTGTCTTTCAATCATTTTCGAATTTGCATCTTGGCCTTCCAAATATTCGTTTAACACCTTAATATGCCTGATGAGAGGAATAAGCGCGATACTGTTGTAAGGTTCGGTATATAGGACAAAGTGACGTTAGAATGGTTCCTTTAATATCAGAGACACGCCCACCATCCGCTCTTTGGTGTATTACTTATGTAGAGGCCATAAAGCCGTCCGGGTGTGTTTACACTCATTTGCATACATGTTACAGATTCACTTAAAATTCAATGCAACTAATAAAACCAACCTGTCGAGAGGTATTCATGTTTAATATAACAAATTACATCGCAATATTTTCACGAAAAATCTGAAATATGGCGAGATTTTGAAGTTATTGTGTAAATTTTCAACTACATTGATTTATAGGGGGATACTTCGGGTTATGTCCCTTTAGCGGTAGTCTAGTCGTAAGCACGTGAACGCACAGGCAGAATGGTTCAGTTATGGATGAGTGATTTTACCAGACTTGGAGACCCGTGCAGTCATGGTCTGATAGGTATATGTTGTAGCCTACACGCCCACAAGTCCGTAATACTACAGTACATAACATGGCGGACTTATTTCACATTTGAATCCGTAATAGCATACATATCCATGTTCAAAATCATGAAAAAAATAACCACTTTCCATGATTATTATAAAACTCAGTGTTACAATACAGTTCAACAGAATAAAAACATCACATTTTATTATATGGGTGGTCAGTTATTTCGAAGGACGCGTCAGTAAACCCCTATCTGAGAACCCCTGTAGTTTACTGGACAGGTGTGAACTATATCCATCTCCTTCATGGGCTAATTTCTTATCGTCTGACTCTATGTCCTATATGATTTCACACATTACTACAGTCAACATACGAAGAAGTCATCTAATTTGGTCAGATTGTGTATGATAAAGACACATCTGGATTTGGTTTAAAACAAATAGTAACAATGCAGTTACATTGTATAAATATGTATCACAAAAGAAACTACAATACAGATTGTCTAACAGAAATTTATACTTTATACACATTGGTAGTAACAACTACAGTCCAGATTGTCCAAACAATACTTGATATTAAATATACTTTGGTACACTGCAGTTACAATGTATATACATACATAATAGAAAATCAAAGTACTGAAAGTACTGAAAGGCTAACCAGATTTCCATATATGTGTACAAAATTTACAATATTTTCACTATAGCTACTACTATTTCTGATCTCCAATGCATTAGATAATGTCACCATGACACGCTAAATGAATAAATATGTTATGGAAATATTTCGTTCTAGTTAACTGATAATTATAAACATGAATATTTTGCGTTTTGTTTTATACGCGCTTTGTTTGAAGGAATATTTTCATTTCAAGGAACTTTGATACACATTAACAAACCTTGAGAAATCAGCACAATCAACCTTCATCAAATAAAACTAAAAGACAAAAAATATAAGTTATAACAGAGTCAACATCATGATCAGTACAGTATTAAAATATATTATTCATAAATCATGAGCACCAAATGTACCTTGCCTACAACGCGCAAACTTTTTATCTTTAAAAACTTGAAAACGTGTCATGGCGGTGGGTGTGAAAAACCTGAAAAAGTGTCATATCGGCGGGTGTGCGCGTGGGACGAACAGTCCTATTCGGTGACGTCTACTGAGGTAAAGTGGTGTTATATATTAAGACGACCTTGCCACAACGACAAGGATTAAAACAAAATTGATGTTCTGTTTGTAAGTTTTGTTTGTTTATAAGTGCTGTTAGTTGATAATTCAAACCAAGCCCCCAGACTAGCTTCTTATCAACTCGCACTTACAGTGTTCTGTACGCTTACGTCATGTCGAGAATTCCGTAAAATATATTGTTCAAAATTTATCAATAGTTCAACAACGCTGTGCTTCTTTTTTTAAATATATAGCAATCGTAATGTTATTTAAAAAATGAACTAATTTTGGATGCTTTATAATAGAGATTTGAAAGATCGCGGCATTATTTACGCAGAAAATTGCCGCTAGATGGCTCTAACTCTTTTCGATATTTCAGCCAATGAGAAGGCCAGGATCGGTAAATTTTGTCTGAAAGGCCGTCGCAATAGGCTATGCGTACTGAATACGTTTGGCCTAAAAACTAGATTACATGATGGCCTTACAGAAATGTAGCTATTTTTTTCCGATAAAGAAGCTAACATTGCTGAGTAATTCAATATTACATAAGGTAAACATTTTGACACTTTCGAAACTCATCAACATTTGATTTACCGGTATTAACCGTTAAATCTTTTAAAATGTTTTTTAAGATTTTGGCGTATTCTGTAAGCTCCGTGGCGTTTCTGAACACAATGTCATTTGCGTACATTAAATGGAACACATTTAGAGTCGGATAGAATTTCCATATAAAAAGTGTTAGCAATTAAAAATTGTATCTCACTTTAACTTGTGGTCAATCACATTGAAGCAATGAGACATTTTTAAGTGATGTCCCTCCCTACATAATGACAAACGCTGTAACAGTTTTTGTGTTTCCACAGAACGCAATATATTACAGTTCGTAGTAAAGTTATTCTATTTTTTCTTTTTTGATAATTGTCATATGAATACACATAAAGACAAGACACTGCTTTAATTTTGACACACCCATCACCTTCATCATCATAATCTCACAATGACTGCTGTTCCCTTCGCCTCCCCTTATAACTATTTATTCCCTTAGCCTCCACCCTCCCCGATAACGATATATTCCCTTAGCCTCCCCGATGACGATCTATTCCCTTAGCTTCCCTGATAACGATCTATTCCCTAAGCCTCCCCCAATAACCACATATTCCCCTTGCTTCCCTGATAACGATCTATTCCCTTAGCCTCCCCGATGACGATCTATTCCCTTAGCTTCCCTGATAACGATCTATTCCCTAAGCCTCCCCCAATAACCACATATTCCCCTTGCTTCCCTGATAACGATCTATTCCCTTAGCCTCCCCCGATAACGATCTATTCCCTTAGCCTCCCCCAATAACCATATATTCCCTTAGCCTCCCCCCTCCCCGATAACGATCTATTCCTTTAGCCTCCCCGATAACAATCTTTTCCCTTAGCCTCCCCCCGATAACCATCTATTCTCTTAGCTTCTCCCCGATAACCATATATTCCCAAAGCCTCCCCCGCTAACGATCTATTCCCTTAGCCTCCCCCAATAACCATATATTCCCTTAGTCTCCCCCTGATAACCATATATTCCCATAGCCTCCTCCAATAACCATATATTCCCATAGCCTCCCCGATAACGATCTATTCCCTAAGCCTCCCCCAATAACCATATATTCCCTTAGCCTCCACCCTCCCCGATAACGATCTATTCCCTTAGCCTCCCCCGATAACGATCTATTCCCTTAGCCTCCCCCGATAACGATCTATTCCCTTAGCCTCCCCCGATAACGGTCTATTCCCTTAGCCTCCCCGATAACGATCTATTCACTTAGCCTCCCCCGATTACCTTATTCATAAATGTAAGTGTTACTATGTAGATTCCTAATCTTAATTCCTACTGGCGGCTCATTTTTTAATCGTTCTTCCTGCTCAAATATCGAAATCTCATAAAAAGATACTACCGGTTAGATATACTTTAATTTAAAAAAACCATCATACTTAATGCTGTATGTATGATGTTAGATCACTCTAGGGCTGTTTGACACAGAAACGTTATATCAAGTCTTAGAAAAATTAATAAAAAGATAGATCATCAAAATGACATCCAAAGTATTTTCTGTCCTATCAATCCACGACATTCATTAAATTAACAATAGTGCGACATGTTTTTTTTTGATGATTGATAGATATATCAAAGTACCGGGAGTACTGAAGACAAAAACATCACGGAATCAAATTTCAGGTGTAATCAATGGGTTGTTATTCGACGGTTCAAATTTTTGCGGTTCTACCGGATGCATGAAGCGGAATTTATAAATGTTTTTTTCGGATCCCGCTATTTCTTAACTTTTAATATAACTATTATTTGTGCTTATCCGGAAACTTACCAAAAATTAAAAACAACAAAATATCGTCATGTTATCAAAATTTTAATTCAAACATCCAATCAATTGAAAATAGGACAAACTATGAACAAAAGAGATTTACACGGAGACTCATGAAAAAGTACAGGAAGAATAAGACCAGGTGTTCCGGAAGAATTGGTTTCTTTTACATCATAGATGACACCCATCTAGGAATAGTCAGGGCCTTAAGCTTGAAGCGCAGGGGGATGACTGAGGAAAATAGGAAAGCAAATCCAAAACCAATATGAGGATGTACACTTGTACCATAATCTACTGAAAATAAACGGTTATTAATTTATTGATATCTAGATGTTAATGGTTTCGAAAATATAGAAATTTAACTTTGATTGAACCTGAACGAGTTACACAGAATATTGTTTAGTATCAAGGACGAACGATACCCCCAGTTTGTCTCATGAAACAGAGGGAGATGAGTGAAACTTAGTTTTGCTCGACTCTCAAAGTTAAAGTCAAACTCGATCCCTATTACAAAATATCTGTTATATCACATAATGAAATTACGAGGAAATTAAGATTAGTGTAATTCAGATTTCCTTCGAGGTGATGCTGACGATAAAAGAGGGTTTACAGACTAATAATTAACAATTGCTAGAAACGTTGTTATTTTCAAAGAAAGAACATTGGCGCGATAAAAAGTATATTGAAAGTAATATGGGTCTTTGGTTATTTCATGACATCTGATACAAGCCGAAGACAAAATCACGAAAATTTCAAGTTACCAAAAAAAGCAAACTAAACAGTAATGCAGTAAACAGGTGTCTCCGGAATTCAACTCTCCTTCGACAAATTTTCCTCAGTTTTAACCATATGTGATATAGTGAATTTTCAACAGGTTTGAAGCTTCTCAAAATCAAGGAAAATTTCTTATCGCGTTTTTCGCCTAAAACTTCCCAGAAAATGTGTTAACCATCATATTTTCGCGAATTTGGAAATGTTTGCAAGCAAAGATCAGCATTTGAAAAAAGTTGAGACTACAATGACTATAGGCATTTCATTTACATGTATTCATTTATGATTATGAATTTTACACAGGAAAAATATATTCAAATGGATACAAATGTATCTAAAGCTCTTAAAAACATTGAGTTTGAAGTCCCTTTTAAAACAGGAAAGGAAAAAAGAAAATCAACTTAATTCAGTGCTTTAATATACAACTTTACAAAAAAAAAAAAAAAAAAAAGAAAGAACAAAACAAGTATACTATAGAAAGGTACTCTTACACACCCATGTTAACTAATCTGCAAAAAATAAATAAGAAACCTTGCCTCTCCCTTGTCCCCCATTTTCGCTCCTCATCCGGTCGGCGGTGGTACATGACCTATCGGTATTATTATAAAAAAATGGTTGGGTGTCAATTTTCTCGCGTGCATGGACTCATAAAGAAAATTGAACACCTGTCATGTAAGTGACTTGATTTATCTTAGAAGTTCACGTACCACTTGTAAGTGGTTCACTTCATTTATCATTCCACGTTCGTGTTCGTCCATCACCGAAATAAAATTTCCGTAATTTTTCGTTGATTCATTGATAACTGTTATAAATGAAAGTCAAATTAGCTGCGAGCGCCGCCTGGTGGGAAAAATGTACTAAGATAGATCACCCAGTTTCCGATAGACAAACTTGTCTTATCGTTACGCGAGTGGTATAAGGTTACCGATAACCGTACTTACTAGACGTGACATATTTACGAGGTAGGGCTTATTACGCATCACATTTATTACAATGTTTTAAAACCTCAATATCGAAATATAATTGCCATTTTTTTTCTTTTTATTAATTGTTTGAATATCGATTGATTGATTTCTATTAAATGTCCTTAAATTTCACTTCTAAGATTGTTTTGACGGATTCCGTAAATCAAACTTGTAATAAGGTAAGTATTTCAGGGCAAGGCCATTACCATGTTACCATTCCCTTGTAGATTTGTGTCAAGTCTACCTGTTCACCGATAATGTAATGGAACACGTCGTAAACGACATGTAAAGCATGAACCGCATTATATATATATATTTTTTTTTATTTTATCCTCTTTAATCTTTTATCACCAGCTGGAACTTACGTCAGGTAATTACAATAACGGTTGACATTTTAATGAAAAGGAGCTTATCTGATAAATATCTTCACTTCCGGTCAGGAAATGATTTTATCAATGTTGCCATTGATGACCGAAAGTTATACGTGTTGATAAGCAAATTGTACTTCACACGTTAGATATACTACCGCTTTCTTCTTTTTTTCTCCGAAGCCAAAGTTTGTAAACACCGGAAGTGTTACTGATACCGTTTTCTGGATAAATAAAGATTCGGTCTGTCGTTGGAGATGATTTGGCAGCCTCGATCAGCCATCACCCGTGATATTTAATCAATATAGCTAGACTGGCTATTGTCGAGATACTTGGTTTTTCTAATGATTTGACTATTTCTGTTCGTTGTCAGCTTAATGAAATTGTCTAGATCTATAGTTGTCACCAGATAATTGACAGTCTCAGATACCGTAGACGTGTCCGTTTCCATCTGTCGTCGACTCATCAGGCTACAAAGATTTGTCAGCTACACTCCATTAATCTGTTGTTGATGACCTTGAATCACCAGTCTTCAGAAATTCAGTGTCTTCTCTTTAGACGCGACCTCGTGACACTTTTAAAATCAAACAATATTCTGTCAATTTCAGACACTGGGGGCAGCCATCCTACAGTAAGTGTGTGTCACGTGATTACCAAGGGGAAACTATTAATTTTAATGTCAGGTTTCATAAAATTAATATTAACGAAGAGTGGGTGTTATTGTCTGGTAGATGGCATTACTACCAAACGTCGACAACATCGTACAAAGCATTCGTTTGATGACGAGACATTACCTCAATATTTCTCTCCCCACTAGAGACCATATTATGTCCTTCCATGATTCTTAGGTCTGATTCAAATGTTGTGAACAAGACGTATCTGTGTTTCAATTTCTCAATGAATTTATTTGGTATTGTACATGTAAATATAGGGTCGTCATAGTTTTTAATGTGTGTATATTCAGAATGATGTCTGCGCACGCGTACATATAAACTATGCTAGACAGCTGTCAATATGTCTTCTTACGCATAAATAAGATTTTTTTCATATTTTTTGCTGTCAATGCCACTGTATAATATAATGAATTTCTGCGTTATTCTGTGTGATATTATTGTCACTTTCGATTCAGTAACCTGTGTGACATCCGATGTCCAGACTGGGCGTTAAGTTAACCATGTAATTGTGTGACACGTTTATCCTGACAGTCCGTTATTGTTGGACAGAACAAAACTACAGTGCGGCCTTATGTGACCTTATCTTGTAAAACTACCGGGCTGCCTTATGTGACATTGTCTTGTAAAACTACCGTGCAGCCTTATGTAACCTTGGCTTGTAAAACTACCGTGCTGCCTTATGTGACCTTGTCTTGTAAAACTACCGTGCAGCCTTATGTGACCTTGGCTTGTAAAACTACCGTGCTGCCTTATGTGACCTTGTCTTGTAAAACTACCGTGCTGCCTTATGAGACCTTGTCTTGTAAAATTACCGTGCAGCCTTATGTGACCTTGTCTTGTTAAACTACCTTGCTGCTTTTTCTAACCTTATCTTGTAAAACTACCGTGCAGCCTTATGTGACCTTGTCTTGTAAAATTACCGTGCAGCCTTATGTGACCTTGTCTTGTTAAACTACCGTGCTGCCTTATGAGACCTTGTCTTGTAAAATTACCGTGCAGCCTTATGTGACCTTGGCTTGTAAAACTACCGTGCTGCCTTATGTGACCTTGTCTTGTAAAACTACCGTGCTGCCTTATGAGACCTTGTCTTGTAAAATTACCGTGCAGCCTTATGTGACCTTGTCTTGTTAAACTACCTTGCTGCTTTTTCTAACCTTATCTTGTAAAACTACCGTGCAGCCTTATGTGACCTTGTCTTGTAAAATTACCGTGCAGCCTTATGTGACCTTGGCTTGTAAAACTACCGTGCTGCCTTATGTGACCTTGTCTTGTTAAACTATCTTGCTGCTTTTTCTAACCTTATCTTGTAAAACTACCGTGCTGCCTTATGTGACCTTGTCTTGTAAAACTACCGTACTGCCTTATGATACCTTGTCTTGCAAAATTACCGTGCAGCCTTATGTGACCTTGTCTTGTAAAATTACCGTGCAGCCTTATGTGACCTTGTCTTGTTAAACTACCTTGCTGCTTTTTCTAACCTTATCTTGCAAAAATACCGTTCGACCGTATGTGACCTAGATAAGAACGTTTAGTACGACTTTGTTCTACCGATTTCATCGATTCTGAAACTGTTTCTCGTTCATGTAGATGAGGATTTCTCTGACGTCACTGAAGCTAAGCGAACCTCTGACGTCACTGAAATTGAGTGAATATCTGACGTCACTTGTGCTTGTGCTGTGTATAATGACGTGGATGCTGTCTTTGTGTTCTGCTCGTAAGTGGTCTATTTTTATAGTTTAGAGTTAAATATCTACTACTGCCCTCATCTATATCGTACATGTTCACGTCATTATTTTCATTTATCCTGCGACTGGTACTGTCGGTGTCGAAATACGCCTACCACATACATTTTTGCTGTATTAGGCAGTGACGGAAAACAGCTGTACTTGAGCATGCGCGGTAATTCGACAGAATTACTCTCAGAATTTACTTAAATATTACGTTAAAAATTTGAATAGTTGCTGAAATAAGCGATGTAACTTGTTGTAGTGAAAATGTTGGTCCATGAAAAAAAAATCGTTGTTACGTTGTTTAGAACTATATTTCCATGCGGATCACTTACTTTGGCGTCCGTCATCAGGCAAATCAGCGTAGCGTTAACGTCAGATAAAAACAAATTGGACAATTAAGTTACAATAGCCTGATTTTCAGTCAATGTTGCAGGATAAATAGAATACATGGTCAGTGTCTTAAAATATTATTCAGAGGTTCGCAACTTTTATCTCTCTTCAAATCTGGTCAAAATGCACTTCGTCGTTCATGACTAGTAACGATTTGTAGAACAAGTAGACGGATGTACGGACGGCGGGCGGACGATGGACGGATGGCGGAAAGGGCTTGGTGAAGTATTAAGTAAATAAATAGTAAATAAAAATAAACAAATAAATAAATATTTGTCTTCTATTGTTTTTCTTTACATTTTATTTAAAATTAAGTTTTACTGATACACATGAAATCTATTAAGAGATGACATTGATTTAGACTCGTGCCCATGTTCTGTGTTGTAGGCGGCCTTATTTGTATGAAGTGTCAAAATATCACGAATAGTGGTAACTGTAGCAACACCACCATGTGTAACGACGGCGAGGTATGTACTATGACTGCCGTTCAGGTCACGTGATGTAAGTTACGTCAAGTCCGATAGTTAAACGTTATTGTAATTGTATTATAATTGTTTAAAATGACCTATTACCTCACCAAACGTATCGGATTATCACCCACTGAATGTAGGTCTATAATACAAACACTGGCGTTTTATTCCCTCAGTGGAAGCGAGGTTCGGTATGTCGGCTTTATGGCTTGGCTTCACCATGAGAGGATTTGTTGTAATAAAAAAATAAACCATTTAAATTTTCTCTCCGATGAACATGCTTCCATTTTCCCTTTCTTCTTCCCTTTTTAGAGATTTCTCCCAAGGGAGCTAAACATATGCATTTTCAGAACGTAAGTTGTGAGTTGTCTCCCTTCCACAACCCATTATATTCATATCCATAACAGGTGACAGAAATTGGGTAAAAAAATCTGTAAATTATTCTAAGAAAAGAATAACTTAAGGGGCATTCCAAACCCAACTCCGGTGCAAAGGTGCCACTGGGGTGGATTTATCATATCAAACAAAGCAAAATGGCACTTTTAAGAGTATGTGTGTGTGTGTTTTTTTTTTTTTTCATTTTCAGCACGAAATATCCACACCCGGTGTCAGAGAATGTTATGAAGAAGGTTGTTCTCAGTGGGTGTTAAGACAGGTTCAAACTGTCAATATACAACTTAAAACTTTCTGTTATTTAACTCGTAACCATTTGTCTTGAAGACGCTTAAGCTTCAAGTTCAACGTTCATCAACGCAGGCATTATCCACTGTGGAAAATATCTTACTCGATTTATCACATAACTACCCTGTTATCAGTGTTATAACACCCATTACATAACTACCCTGTTATCAGTGTTATAACACCCATTACATTACTACCCTGTTATCAGTGTTATAACACCCATTACATACATACCCTGTTATCAGTGTTATAACACCCATTACATAACTACCCTGTTATCAGTGTTATAACACCCATTGCATAACTACCCTGTTATCAGTGTTATAACACCCATTACATAACTACCCTGTTATCAGTGTTATAACACCCATTACATAACTACCCTGTTATCAGTGTTATAACACCCATTACATTACTACCCTGTTATCAGTGTTATAACACCCATTACATACCTACCCTGTTATCAGTGTTATAAAACCCATTACATAACTACCCTGTTATCAGTGTTATAACACCCATTTCATAACTACCCTGTTATCAGTGTTATAACACCCATTACATAACTACCCTGTTATCAGTGTTATAACACCCATTACATAACTACCCTGTTATCAGTGTTATAACACCCATTACATAATTACCCTGTTATCAGTGTTATAACACCCATTACATAACTACCCTGTTATCTGTGAAATAACATTCATTACATAACTACCCTGTTATCAGTGTTATAGCACCCATTACATAACTACCCTGTTATCAGTGTAATAACACCCATTACATAACTACCCTGTTATCAGTGTTATAACACCCATTACATAATTACCCTGTTATCAGTGTTATAACACCCATTACATAACTACCCTGTTATCTGTGAAATAACATTCATTACATAACTACCCTGTTATCAGTGTTATAACACCCATTACATAACTACCCTGTTATCAGTGTAATAACACCCATTACATAACTACCATGTTATCAGTGTAATAACACCCATTACATAACTACCCTGTTATCAGTGTAATAACACCCATTACATGACTGCCCTGTTATCAGTGTTATAACACCCATTACATAATTACTCTGTTATTAGTGTAATAACATCTATTACATAACTACCCTGTTATCAGTGTAATAACACCCATTACATAACTACCCTGCTATCAGTGTAATAACACCCATTACATAACTACCCTGCTATCAGTGAAATAACATCCATTACATAACTACCCCATAATAACTCTTATTACATAACTTGCATTAAAACATAAAGTTACATGTATTAAAACAGATATGATTGGAGAATCGTTTCCATCATTTCAATTATGACGTCATTATTTCATGGTGTTATATTCATCAGGCCTTCGCAACACAAACATATCTAGCATCACTGACGTGTCCTAGAAGGGCGAAACAGCTGTATGATGTAACATCACTGACGTGTCCTAGAAGGACGAAACAGCTGTATGATGTAACATCACTGACGTGTCCTAGAAGGACGAAACAGCTGTATGATGCAGCATCACTGACGTGTCCTAGAAGGACGAAACAGCTGTATGATGTAGCATCGCTGACGTGTCCTAGAAAGACGAAACAGCTGTATGGTGCAGCATCACTGATGTGTCCCAGAAGGACGAAACAGCTGTATGATGCAACATCACTGACGTGTCCTAGAAGGACGAAACAGCTGCATGATGCAGCATCACTGACGTGTCCTAGAAGGACGAAACAGCTGTATGATGTAGCATCACTGACGGGTCCTAAAATGACGAAACAGCTGTATGATATAGCTGCACTGACGAGTCCTAAAATGACGGAACAGCTGTATGATATAGCTGCACTGACGAGTCCTAAAATGACGGAACAGCTGTATGATATAGCTGCACTGACGAGTCCTAAAATGACGAAACAGCTGTATGATATAGCATCACTGACGAGTCCTAAAATGACGGAACAGCTGTATGATATAGCATCACGGACGAGTTCTAAAATGACGGAACAGCTGTGTGATATAGCTGCAATGACGGAGTCCTAAAATGACGGAACAGCTGTATGATAGAGCATCACGGACGAGTTCTAAAATGACGGAACAGCTGTGTGATATAGCTGCACTGACGGAGTCCTAAAATGACGGAACATCTGTATGATATATCTGCAGTGACGAGTCCTAAAATGACGGAACAGCTGTATGATATAGCTGCACTGACGAGTCCTAAATTGACGAAACAGCTGTATGATATAGCTGCACTGACGAGTCCTAAAATGACGGAACAGCTGTATGATATAGCTGCACTGACGAGTCCTAAAATGACGGAACAGCTGTATGATATAGCTGCACTGACGAGTCCAAAAATGACGAAACAGCTGTATGATATAGCTGCACTGACGAGTCCTAAAATGACGGAACAGCTGTATGATATAGCATCACTGACGAGTCCTAAAATGAGGAAACAGCTGTATGATATAGCATCACTGACGAGTCCTAAAATGACGGAACAGCTGTATGATATAGCTGCACTGACGAGTCCAAAAATGACGGAACAGCTGTATGATATAGCTGCTCTGACGAGTCCTAAAATGACGAAACTGTCGTTAAAAGCAGTTTGGTTCTTTACTTTGCTATACTTGATATAATCCGATATTAGTATTGAAATGTGTTATTCATGTATATTGTTGTACAATCTGATTGATTTGATAATTTGACCATGAATCTATCTAATTAAATGATGTTTACACGAATGCTTGTAATAGATCGTGCATTCGTTACAAAACGAATTAATATAATAGAAACTCGTGATGTATTTAATTTTTACCTCGAAAGCGCCAGGCAAACTTAAAAATCCACGGGACTCATTACACAAACTTCGTTTAAAATTGAAACTCTTGTTTAATATCTATTATTCATATATTCATATACTATTTATTTGAAAACGACACTTCCGTATACATTTTGTTAACGTCCAACAGGAAATTGTCCATACTTATCATATCCTAGTAATTCAATAATATAATGTATCAAAAGATATAAATTATGTTTGACGTGAGGAATGTGAGTATTGATAGCTAAGTACAATCGTATTGTGGCCAGTCCTTTGAATTTTTTCACCAATGATATCTCAATGCCACCATTTTTATCATTTGAAGACTCTTATATTTGTCTCTTTTTATAACAGTGTTAGCTTTATAAGAGTTCCCGATATCATCTCCCAGACTAGTCTTATCGATCTCGAATACCAGCACGAGCGCCGGAAGTACTTTATAGCCACAGCGGAAGTACGCTTTCAGAAAGCACAGTATAATATGAATGACCAAAATTTAATAGACGTTTCTGGTTTACGGAAAGATACGGCTTATGATATCGAACCACAAACGGAACTTTGATCGTTCCAAACCCCTATACAGAGTTATAGCTTCTGGTAGCGAAGCAAACTACCGAAACATGTAAATATAATATCCTGATTTTTGTTTCGTTTTGCCAGGATTGTTACGCACGAGAAATAGTAAGAAATGATGGGTCAACAATTTTAGAAGCGGATTGTCTCTCCCATCAGGTAAAGACGAAATAACTATAAACGCTTATTTATATCAAGTTTGTCTTATTTTCCTTTTTTATTTTTTTGGTTTTTTTCTGTCTGTTTACAGTAATTCTACAGCAAAGTGTTTGTGATGAAATTCTAATGACCAGGGATATTAAACGTCATGCCGTATTGAAACGTGGTATTTTTAATAGATACTGGTCGTGATATTGTCATCAGGCCCTACTTCCTCAAATCTTTATCAAGTATCTAGTGATTTCTTTCAAATTATCCTCGATACTCCAGGGGTTACAATCACCACATCCTCGATACTCCACGGGTTACCATCACTACATCCTCGATACTCCAGGGGTTACAATCACTACATCCCCGATACTCCAGGGATTACAATCACTACATCCTCAAAACGCCAAGGGTTACGATCACTACATCCTCGATACTCCAGGGGTTAGGATCACTACATCCTCGATCCTCCAGGGGTTACAATCACTACATCCTCAATACACCAAGGGCTACGATCACTACAGCCTCAATACTCCAGAGGTTATGATCACTATCGCTCTCTACAACCCTGGAACATGTCATCGCAAAATTGAAGGCACAAGTAATATGATTGGTCAACGGGTTCCAGAAGATAAAAACTGACCAATCACAGGCTGATACACTCCTCTGAAGATGACGGATTACTGTTATGCGACCTCGACTTTCGTTTGATGTACATCAAGTGATCAGAACTAGTCTTAACCACATGAAACCCATGGAGTATCGAGGATGTAGTGATTGTAACCCTTGGTGTATTGAGGATGTAGTGATCGTTACCCCTGGAGTATCAATGATGTAGTGATCTTAATCCCACTCTCTTTGTAACACAGCATTGCTCATGACTTCCAGTAAGTTCTTTGTAATACAGTTGGACACGTGACTGCTAGTTACACATCACTGTTGTTGACACAAACGGAATTCAGTTGATATCCGGGCACTCATGTCCAACCAACGATCTAAAAACAGGTATTAAAGTGACAAAGGGAGAGAAGGGAAAACATATGAGCATATTTTTTAATGCTTTTTTCATATTCTAGGGGCCAAAGGTTTTAGTTACGCACGCATTACCTTTCCAAGAAGTGATTGAAGTTATGACCTCGTTAATTCAGAAATATAGGTAGACATGGCTAAGGACCTCCTGTCTCTAATGAACACCCCAATACGTATGCCGAAATCACAGAATATATGCCAGTGGTGTTATACGGTACCCATGACCGTGTCCACACAGAATGGCCTTCAATGGTTTACTGTCTAGTACGTTATAGTAATTAACTGTGTCACATAGCCAGACATAATTATCCTACCTAATAACTCAAAATCAGAAATAAATACCATTGTATATAAAACCTTCATCGCCTCGTTTTCGTGGTCAGGTTTGCACAGTCCTCCACAGTCCAATCGTAACCGTGGGTAGACGTGACGAGACAAAGGCGGGTAAAAAACACGGACGTGTCGTCACGAACTGTAACAAATGCTGCACAAAAGACCTGTGTAATGAACACATTTGTGACGTAGGTAAGATGTAGGTCACATGATTATGTCTTGATATACCCAATACAGAACATTGGCACGTGTCAGAACATTGGCACGTGTCAGAGAGCATTTACCTAGTATTGCTGAATACACACGCTTCATGTCCGAAATGTGTCTAGTTCATTTGACTCACAGAAAAGAATTAGCCCCTTTGTGCTTCGTGAGACAAAATGAAAATGAAAAAACTCAAGTCAGAAAAAGCACTTATCTTAACATGGTCCTACCTTCATTAAGCCTCCTAGACTACACGACTAATTTCCAAGTGGTCAACATAATTTTATTATTCAAACTTATAGAAAGTCTGAACTGTGAAGCGTTGCCTTTTACACCTTATGAATAAAAGCTTGCCATAGCATAGTTATTAAGTAAGTGGTATATGGTGATAGGTCCATGACTTTGTATTAAAAACATAGAAACTTTACACTAATTTCCCTACAGATCCCACTTTGTCCATCCTGTTCCTAAATATAATTATGTAAAGAACAATTCTGTTCACTTTTTCTTCATTTGTCATTTCTATTGATATCCAAAGCCACACTTTATATATAATCGCACACAATAATGTTTCTGTTCACCGGAAGCTGTACCTACAGGTCCGATTTCAACGTCGCCAGCGAACTCTATCGTAACTACGCCAACGTCCAGTACACTAAGAAGTTGTTACACTTGCTCTGACGTCACGAAATTTACCGACTGCACGGTGATCTCGACATGCGCAGCAGGGCAGGTATAACACTTCCGGTAAAATAACAGTGTGATATATAAGGATATCATCCCATTGTAGGACCCACGTGAATCTGTCTGCCTGTTTGTCTATCTGTTTGTCTGTATGTCTGTCTGTCTGTCAGGCTATAGTTTTGTATGTCTGCCTGTATGTCTGTCTGCCTGTATGTCCGTCTGTCTGCCTGTTTGTCTGTTGTTACAACAAAATTTCACTACCGTGACCTAAACTTATGTTTGGTTGCTAAATTTTGAACCTTGACATTTGAAATATTTCAATTGATTTCGATAAAGTACAATTACATAAGATGCTATGATAGCTAGAATGAAAACCTCAGATATTGTAAGCTGCTACTAAAAAACGTGATTGCTTAAAAACTGCATTGCTGCCATCATGAGCGAGAGATTATATCAGAATAAGGCCTCACCATTCTTTCTGATTATTGTTTTCAATCATCTCCTTCATAGAGAGTAAACAATTACGGTGGATAACACAAGAGTTGTCGTCCCTAATGATAACGAACACAAACAGACCATATTGGGTCAATATTCATCTACACTGTAACAAACTACTGATACAAATCATGATAGATTCCCTCTAACTTCCATCTACAATGACCGATTTCATAATTGCAATCATTTCATTGTGATGAAAAGTGTTGAATTGTTCTTTTTATGTCATTCATTGTCCGACTCATGTACATACCTTTTTGATTAAATCATTATTCCTTATCGAAGGTGTAACCCGTGCTGAGGAGCAGACATTCGCACTGCGAGTCATCGCCGTTTCCCAAAATGATGACGCATGCGCTATGTGACATTAATTGTATTTTTAGTCACACTTATCGTTATCCTGACGTGGTCATTCAAACATAGGTGTACATAGAGATGCGGTACTTTTTTTTATTGTACAATAATGATAATCATACAATATATAAAATTCTCCCTACTGTACAATATTTATTAGTTACATTCATCACTACTACTTGAATTTTACAGCAATGTTACACCACACGTGCTACTCTAGGAGGAAACACACACTACTCCATGGGATGTGAAGACAATCAGGTAAGATAACGGAGACAGAACGTGATAGGCGTCACGGACTCTCGGGGGGTGTACACCATCACGTGACGAGGTCCTCGAATACGTCACCAAAAGACGTTCTATACACATTGTCAGATTTCGCGCGGTTGGATATGAGTGCAAAATCATTTGCTCTGATGGGTCGTCCAATAGGTGGGTCATCTGTATTTGTACGAGGTGCACGTGCAGCTTGATAAGCTGCCAAGTCAGTTTAAGGAAACACATTATATTTTTTCCGACATTGAACATTTTCGCAGTATCCATATAAGGTGAATATTTATCAAGTCATTGTGTAACACTGGTAAAATGCTAGCCGCAATATACCATTCGGCTAGAGAGAACATCTCTTTAGCTCGGTTGGTTGAGCGTCAGACTAGTAAGCAAGGGGTCCCGGGTTCGATTCCTAAAGGAGGCATTGAGATGAAAAATGACCTGTTACAATTGTTTTATCCTCTGGCCATGTTTCAGATTTGTCCGCTTTATACCAGTGGTAGTCAATCGCCTTTCTGCAAACAATGCTGTGACTCTGACCATTGCAACATCGGCCTTTGTGGGTTACATGGTAGGTATAACATTACAAGGGAAGTAACCCGTACACGAGATGAGTTAAAGCATCCGTGAAGACGTTTTACAGTAGCTAAGCTAGCTTTGAAGCACGCCAGGCGTGTTAGGGGAAGTTACTCTTACAAAACAAAGTACAGGAAAGATCAAGGATTTTACACCCGATTTGGGGAATATGTTGGGAACATATAACTTTCTGAAATTTAACCTTGAATGTGTGAAGTACACAAAAATCGCAACTGTTCCTGTCAACTTCCGGTGTGTCTGGAAGTATGATCTTGGCTAATCGGAAGTTAGTTATGTATACAATCAGGCGGACACACCTACAAGATTATCTACCTCAGGTGTAAGAGTTACGCTTTATATCAACTTCCGGTGTAAGAGATACGCTGTGTGGTGCATTGAAATCCCATACCTATTTGATATAAATTAATATGTGATACAGCTTACATCTAACTTATTTTGTCTCGTTTCAGTATTACCAGAACTTGTAATTAAACCGTTTAATCGAACATTGGAAGTGGAGGACGTCACCAAGCTTCGATGTGAAGCAGACAATTTATCCAATGCCACGCTCACATGGACGTTTGAATCGCCTGTAATTTTACAAAAGTTATTTGTGATTGAATTAATGTATATACTGCGGTCCGGCCTGAAAATGTATTTATAAAAAAGATTCTGAATAATTATCATGAAATAAAGTAGGCTATAGTCAGTAATCCTATTAGACACTGAAACATTTTAAACCAGACACAATTCAATTCTGTATTACAGGTACATGTAATTCACACACCACACACAATATGTAACTAAATCTGTGACAATAACACACCACATATGCTATATACAAATCCTGCTAGATTTAAAGACAAATCCTGATTTCATTTTTTCAGACTGGTTCCACGGTTTTACCAAAGCCGCTGACATTCGGGCCGAGAAACACAACAGCATTCTTTCAGATAACAAATAACCACTTCGGCGAATGGACGTGCACAGCGACTAATATCTTTGGTAGTGCCTCTGCGTCTGCTTTCATCTCACATTGTTAGTATGACCATCCTCAATAGCAAGCTATCATGTAAAAGTATGACCTAGGGACTTTATTGTATTGTATCCGAGTTTACGATCTAAGGCCATTATCCAAGCCCCAAGTGTAATGACGTCATCAGCTCTAGTGATTTGTGTGTTGTGGTTTTGCGTCTTTGCAGCAGCTAGTCATAAATATACGTTGTCCACGACTGATAGGGTTTAAAACAGTCATCACAACGAAACCCAGGCAGTCTATATCAGGATATCAAGCCTGGTTGAAGTACACAGACAACAGGGAAAGCACTCTTTACCATATTCTATAGAATGGCTTGTTTTAGTCAGGGGAGATAACCCAATACGTTCAGCATTGTCGTCAAACACGTGGTATTGCCAAGTAGGGACGTATAATCTATATTACAAGGAAGTTAGAACGAAAGTCGTCTGAAGGAATCGAGGCTTTAACCCCACTTGTCGACTTTGTAGGATGACGTCATGTATATAGTATACGGACATAGTAACCCGTGTGGGAATGCCACAGCACAATGTCAGAGATGAAGTTGTGTTTTTCTTTACTGTGTAAATTTCGTTAATAAGACATGAAGCTCGACATCGTTCTGTCTGATTTCTGTGAAACTTACATGTAGAATTGTGCTCTTCCTCGGCGTTTAGGGATTTGAAGTCGTAATGAATTCTGATCGTCTTCTTTTTCAGTGTCGTCGTCATGAAGGTGTGACCACATCAGGAATTGTCGGGTCCCCACTGGTTATGTAACATTAAAAATGAAAATAAAGAGAATGCATTCACACAATTGTTCTAATCATATGTGTCTTTTATGAATTAACCCCTGTTACGAGTAAACGGTCACAAAGAGGTCAGAAGTAATATAACTAAAACAACTAATTCCATGATCCACGAGGACACAGAAAACGGCCAATACGTTCAGGTCCTCGAGGCAAAGGGAGGTAATTTAACTAATACTACAAAATTCAGTAATCGAACGAGACTCTGATCTTTTATCAGGTTAATTATACTCACTGTTTTAGGATCCAGAATGAGATGACAGTGAAGCTAACGGACGCAGACATGAAATGAATTTAGCTAAACATTTTGAATGAACGCAGGCGATAAACTTTCATCACGAAATTCTAACCCGGCAGCAAAGAAATTTCTGTATACGCGTACTGTTAACGTTTACTGAAACCTTTATCACGACCTCCATGCCAAGTATTCCGTTTTATTACTTTCAGCAACGTGGAATTTAAAAGACTTTATCTTGAAACATTTAGAAAGCATTTTTCGGTATATTATCATTACAGACATAACTCTTATGTGTCCTTAAGTAGCCCTGGTGTTTAATAGAACTTAAACCAACCATAAACTAAACTATATTAAAAATGCCGCCGTGTCTACGAAATGCTTTTCATTTTCTTCAAAAGTTCTCATATTGTGGCCCTGTGATGCACGATACTGTGGTCCAAGTGACTAGATACAAGACGGAAAAACAAACGTGTGCTGAGAAACTCTTTCTGGTACATGATTAATTCACAAGTTTTATAGGAGAAGATGTTACAGAGAAGTGAAAAATATAAATGTCCAAGCTGAGCTTCGAACACTTCAGTCGTAACCGGCCATTTCTATCTGAATTATGCCTTCATGTTGCACTTCAATCTTTTTTTTTTCTCTCTTTCTTTTTAGGAATTAATGAAAGTAACAGAGAGATTTCATTGATTTATAAAAAAGGAGCAATGAACAAACAAATATCAAACTAAAAGTTAGAGAGTTCGTATTTCGGTTAGAGAGTTTACATTTAAGAATGGTCGTTTAGAAGCTTTAATATACCGACTCTTTCAAACGCACGGTTAACATATGTGGGGGTAGTAGAAGAAAGAAGACACTTTCAGATGAATTTTAAATATTTGGAAAGTAAACCTTATAGAATGTCTCTGTGCTGTCAGATCATCTTATATAGTCAAGGTGTACTTAGATCTGTTGATGTTTGGTCTCTACGGTCACTTACATGAAAACTAGGATTATCATATAAATACAGGTACTTTTTAAAACAATATTGTCGTTATTTCTTGAGTGCATGAAGGCGGTGTATATTCTGATATGGATAACGTTCATCTACAAACTCAAATGAGCCAGGAATTGATTTAGACATGATTTATTGTAATCTATATGTAGAAATATAAACTTTTAGAACAAAAATCAAATTTACATGATTATCTCCAAACTATCATTGCAGTCGTAAATGATGCTAGATGACAGCCGTTTTGTCAATCGGTAAACGGTTGTCATAGTTATGATCGCGATTTTAATATACAGCTATATAGTGTTATTTAAATCAGATTTTGATAAAAAAAAAATATCAATACTTAAGTATAGTTTGTAAGTGTTACCTTACCAAATTAAAAAGTCAAACATAGTCCTAATATTTTATATTCTGTCCATGAATGACAACTGAAAGAATTTCAATGCTTGAATAGACATCTCTTACATCTTACGTGTACTGGTGCATTATAAAATTATAGGATTATATTTTTCGTGAATAAAGATTCCGAAGTCAAACATGGCCTGACCAAGTTTTATTGCTAACAAATAGCAATGAATTATTTCGTTGATATTTTATAACCAATGTATCTGAGAGGAGATGAGGTCATTATTACAATGCCTCCGTTAGGATTCGAACTCGAGAACATTGACTTACTACCAGTCCGACACTCTTGCTGAGCGGCATACTCTCACAGAGTTACTGCCCTTAGTTTCATATAGTGGCTGTTAATGATGGTATCGCGATAAGCTTAACAGCCCATGGAAATGTCGAAAATAGATAAAATATTAATTATTTGTAAGTAAATTTAAAGAATAAAATACTGTCACGTGGTTTTTTAAACAGATATAAGTGAGTCCACGAAATAAGACCAATTCTGATCCGGAATAGAGCTGCCGGTTTCCATTTCGAAAGTTAGTTAGAAGTGAGTACACCTCTCGCGAGAGTTCGCGTCAGTAAAACCGGCAAAAAGGAGTAAAGCATCCTACCAAGAAGATGTCAGGGCTGCTTGGATTCGAATTCCTGGACGATGTCCGGCGAATGAATAAACGACAGGTAAAGATAAACAGTAATTAGTTGTACGCCTCACGATTTTCACACAATGAAGGCTGCTATCTCAAGCTGGGAACAACAGCTGTTTACGCCGGCGTAAACGTCAACGTGTATTTATGTTTAGCATGGCTTTCGTCCTGTACATATGTCCTCCTGTTTCCCGGAGGGGGAATCAAACGACAGTTTTCAGGATCATTCATAAATTTAGGTCCTATGTCACAAAGAACATTAAGTGAAATGGTCAAAATAAAACCATAATGTTTTAAGTGTGTCCCTTTAAACACAAAATGAATACACCAGGAACATTTCAATGTCCTAATTCTACACATACCTTGTCTGGTTTCGCCAGATTCTCTAATAAGTCTTTCCGTCTTGCAAAATACATGTGTAATTTTTAATTTTCATTTTTATTTTATTAGTTTTGATGGGCCCATAGCCTCTTTGCCCACTCTATGTTTTAAAACTCTGTTGTGAATTATGGTTGAAAATTGAGTAGAGACGTCCAACAAAGACAACCCAGATTGTTTTGATGGTCTATCAAGTTTTTTTTGTCTGTATAGAGTTGATATTGATCAATTCGGAAAAGTAAATAGGGCATCAGAAAAATTGAACTTATAAGTACCAATGCTCTAACAGATCGGGCTTATTATATAACAGTGATTTTTGGGTCTCAGATATTTGAGTCTTGGACTCCGGCTTATCCTGTCGTGGGACTCACTCTAATTTGGAGAACCCACTATTTCTCTTAGTATGCGACTCATCAAAATTAAAAAAAGAATCTTATAAAAACTACTGTATAATTGGATGACCATCTACAAATAATTGTGTTAACATTGGCAAAATGGATGAGCAAACTTAAAATAGAGTTGATGAAATAAAGAAAAATGACCTTTCTCCATGGGTTTTGTTTAAATTTCATTGTTTCAATTTTTGTTGCTTTATTAAAACATAGATGTCTGGTCACTTAAGGAATTCGGAGAGTTTGTAGCAATTCTTGCTACCCACAGAGGAGCCATATCTAGCATAAGTTTGTATTGTCAGCTTACATTAAAAAAAAAACCAATCGAATAGATTGTCAATTTGAATTTTGATATCAGAATATATATATGTGCATGTATTTAAGTTTTTTGAAAACAATTTCTTTGAACACAAAATTTAAGACAGCTCATTGTTATTACAGCTATATTACCAGGCGTTAAACTTTGGCATGATTGTGTCGTCAGCGCTGATGATCTGGAAAGGCCTGATGGTGGTGACGGGTAGCGAGAGTCCCATTGTAGTGGTGCTCAGGTCAGTGGCTTTAATACACTTAGATTCTCTATAATATAAAATATTTGGTGAGTAGACCTTTCAAATGCTTTCCTGGCTACAGACATTCTGCAAAAATAAAACACAACTTAACACTCAAAATGTGAAAAACAAAACAAACACAAGATTCCAGATGTCCACAAAAAAAGTAAAGCACACACACGCAACTAAAGACACCTGATGAAAGAATGACGTGTGTACAAATCATAGTTCAGTGATATCCAGGAAGGTTTTTCACTTTTGAAATGATGCCTCAGGTTTAAACCATAAAAGAAAGTACCAAGGAATATTTCACCTGAATATGATTTTGTTTACTTTTTTATAGGATTGTATTAAAATTTGAAAATGATGTATAGACATTGAAAAAAATATAGAATAAAGGAGTCAATGATACAGAGCTTTTTATCATATTTATATTATTACTTTTAAGGTCAAAACATTGCATGTCTGAAATAGCAGGAAATAATACAAATAGGAAATTAATACATATTTACAAAGTAAAGGTAAACATATATAGACATTTTTGAAATTTTGAATACTGTCTTTGTATATGTATGGACACATATATGTGTGGTGTAGAGCCAGCGTTCAGTTTTGTTGCTTATTCACATTGATACCATTGGTTTATCGGTTTTCAGTGGGAGTGTGACATCATTGCTTTGTGCTATTGATAGCTGATGTTTAACATCAATTTTGTTGATCTGTTTCCAGTGGGGATGTGATGTCATCAATTTGTGTTGTTTGTTTTTAGTTATCAGTTTCTGTTGATCCGTTTTCAGTGGGAGCATGGAACCAGCGTTTCACAGGGGAGACTTGTTGTTCCTGACAAATTACCAGGAGGAGCCAATCCGTGTCGGAGAAATTGTTGTATTTAAGGTTGAAGGACGAGACATCCCCATTGTTCATAGAGTATTGAAAGTTCATGAAAAGTAAGAAAGAATTCAAAATATATGGATAAAAAAGCTGCAATAAATGAAAGGAAAAAAGTTCAATTGAAAGAAAATATGGAACTTACTGTGTAGTTATTTTTGTGAATGTTAAGAAGTATTTGGAGTTTTTTAGATTAAGCCAGATTTTCTGTACTATTTCTTTCCATTTTGTACAAAGATATGATCTATTTAATCCTTGATCTAATTGTCTTGTATTTTCCCTTTAATCTTATTTACAGGGAGGATGGAAATGTGAGATTTCTCACTAAGGGAGATAACAATTCTGTAGATGACAGAGGACTTTACGCCCCTGGCCAACTCTGGCTAGAGAAAAAAGATGTAGTGGGTCGAGCTCGAGGGTAAGATTAGCCATTTACATCCTGTACACATGTTGAAATATTTATGTCATACATTTTTGTGATGACAGTGGATGTTATTTTGTTGTCATTAGGAAAAGTGTTTGTATTTATTGAAATGTAGACATTCAACACTTTACAAAATTGTCATCTGTAATTTTAGTACTTTAGGTGAAAATATTGTAGTCAAGTTGCCCTAATGAAGCCTAAGTTTGAGTAACACCGAGCAGACCACATTGGTAAACACAAGTAAACCTGTCCCTAGCTTGTTTACTCCTTTGGTCATTTTACCCCTTTTCTCATTTGCCCATACTCTCAAATCACATGCATACTTCTGGAATAAAAACTAAGGTCACTGGAGCTAATCTATTTGTCACTGTTCTTCTCTGTGTTGACTCTACACTTGAACTTTGCAAATCTTCTTTGATTTAGAATGTATTAAAAAATGTTGCATGTTCACATGCTGTGAAAACACTGGTTTAAAGTATACCATATTATGATCAACATTCAGAAGGTCAGAAACCCTCACAGTTTTTCGTGCAAACTCCACCAGTATTATTTGGTTTCCTTTCCAGATTTGTACCTTATGTGGGCATAGTGACTATACTGATGAATGACTATCCAAAGTTTAAGGTAAGATGTCTGGCTGCCATTTAAATAGTACTGCTTTTGTTCTACAGTTAATACCAGGGGCCAAAACAACCGATTCGTAGAGGGCATAATACAGGAAATTCAATGTTACATTTGTTTTGTGTTTCCACTTATTAGTATTTCTGTATAAATTTAGATATCAACAATTCAAGGGGGCACTCGTCTTTTTATCTCTGACAGTCAAGATTCAAGGAAGGGAAGTAACTTACTCCCAATCACTGTAATTGTTTTATCTATGTCCAATAACAAGTCAACATCCCTACCTTTAGACATGTGTTGGTACTCTGGACTTATGAGCAGTGTATTTTCATAATGTTACTACTGTTTTTCACTTCCTCCAGTGTAATGTTACTGCTGTGAAGTGTTTTTCACTTCCTCCAATGGTGACAGTAGGGATAATATAAGAAATGCTGAATCACCTTATCAATGTGTTAAAAAAGTTGTTCCCCCAATATTTGGTGTGATTTGACAAAATAACACATTTAAATCTTTTAATGTAAAAAAAAACAACTGCAGAAGCAAGGTTTCTAATGAGTTAATTCTAATATCACATGATAACCTTGTTATTCCATGAATGTACACATATCATATTTTTGCACATTAAACACATGTAATATAGCATATTCATTCTTTTGATGCCACATTTAGTAATGAAAAATAATGAAGGGGTTATGATGTAACACAGAGCGGATATGACCTCAAGTTTGATGTAGAAATGTCTGTTTTCTCTCATCTTTGCATGAAAAATCAATAATAAAAAGGATCTTTAATTCATGAAAACTCATTTGATATGTGATTTATGAAACTTGATACAAATTTTTCATGTTTAGTTCACCAGCAAACCTTTGAAAACTTCTTGAACTTGTTTCATGATTTCACATGGAAACTCATGTAAGATCCTATGGATATTGTTTTATATGCTGACGGAGGCGGTCGTATGTTGGCATCATCTTTTCCGTCTGTCCGTCCGCTCTTTCTAAACTAATCATCAGAGTTTCATGAAACTTTCTCAATGTCACTACTACAATGGGTAGATGTGCATGAAGGGGCGATTTTTCGGTTCTTTGATTTTTATAAGATTTATGCCATTTTCAACTTTGTATCTGTAGCTTGCTCTTAGTGGAGCTTTGTGAACACAACTCCTCCTAAACTAATGATCAGATTTTCATAAAACTTGCTCAATGTTACTAGTACAATGGTTCGATGTACATGAAGGGGCAATTTTCGGTTCATTGATTTTTGTCAGATTTATTATACAGACATTTTAAAAGCGATAATTAAAAGTACCAATCTTGGTCTTTATATTTTGTGGTGACATATATTGTGTCCACGGCACTCTTGTTAAGACTGTAAAAAATCATGGATTTGTAACAAATAAGCATGCATATTTTTTTGTGATTAAGTATCCAAAATAAAGTTATGAATTGTATAATCTAATGCATAATTGTATCCACATTTATTTTTACAGTACGCAATACTTGCCTGTTTAGGACTGTTTGTTCTCATTCATCGAGAATAAATTCAGCAAAGGGAGGTAACCCAGTGTATGCAGCATTTGGAGAGAAAATCAATCTGGAGTTGTTTATGTCAGGATATGTTGACAGGGAGAACAAAGAGAAGTGAGACATGGCAATGTCACATCCTAAAAAGTAAAATAAGGAATCATCTTCACAACTTTGGAGTCATTTAATTGGTAACATTTCCTCTGATTAATTTCCGATCATTTTCATTTATCGCCCCATCACTAAGAGCTGGTTCTGTAATATTGCAATCAGCAATATACATACTGTTAGAAAAGTTCTACATCTTATTGCTAGAGAGACTAAAATTTCCTTTATTTTCTTCTTAGAATTTCTGTTTTTCATTGTTAAATGAAATTTCACGTGACATTTTCCCACAAGATAAGATCTAAGGTACATAAATGACACAGCCCTGTCAAAACAATTCTTTATGTAAATCAAAGTAAATCAACACCATCTGTGATTTTGAGTGAATGTTTAAATGTGTGAAGGAAGGATATGTGACATAAATATCTGTGATGTAAATATCCTTGTCAACACATTCAGATATACAATAACACTGATATGTAAAATGTGAGGAATGCGTATATCTAAGGGGACAAGTTGTCCCAATGACAATGAATTGGTGCAAGTTTAAGAGTTTGTAATCTGTATGAATGGCATTAAGGAGTGTATGTTGTCATGGTGATAGGGTGTATAGAAGTGCTGGTGTTGTAGGTGAGGATGTTGAACAGGTGTAGCAGTGATGGTGATTGGGTGTATACATGTGCTAGTGGATTAAATGAGTGAGAAAATTAATTAAGAATGACTATGTAAAATTGATCACCATTCAAATGTCATATTGATAAATACTACACATCTATAGTGAACATGTACACATTTCTAAGCTTTAAAATTTTATGATAAAACTTTCTAGATGTTAGGGGGATATATTTAAGATTGAAATTTTTGATGTATAAATTTCCATCATTCAAAAAGACTCTAGTGATAACAATGATGAAATGATACATTGTTCAATATTCAAAATTGTTTTCTATGTTTATTACTAATTGTAGGAAGGTTCCACAAAACTAGAGTAGCAATAATTTTATATGCTGAGTAATGTAACATTAACATATTGTATCTGAGATCATGTTAGTATCACGATGAGATTGTATGAGCAAAAGATGTGTAGATCATGATTCCAGATGTGTTAAGGTTGTATATAACATTTACCAGTTGGTGTGATTTATATTTAATTCTCTAGTGCAATATGCTATGTAAGAAATGATGTGTGATAGTGTGATACATAGAGTTCAGTCATTTTTTATCATAATTTCGGCGTGTATTGTCCTATAACATTTTGTAAGTTTGATTTTCTCTTGATAGTTCTCGCCCTTGCTGAGATTTTCAATTAAAAGATTTTTTCGACGAGATAGATCATGATAATGAATAATTTCCTAGTCTTTCTTTTTGATGTGACCTGTACATGCAGCAGTTTTTTAAGATCGTCTGAGCTAGTAAATCTATTTTGTATATATAGTCTCTTCAATAAAATTATCACACATACAAAATAAAATTGCTCTGTATTAAATCAAACAGATTCTTCTCTTGTTTTTTTACCTGTCTGATATCAGAAATGAAATCTTAGTTTGGTATTGGACTTTGCTATCCTACTGTCCTCCACTCATGTTTTGTTAAATTTGGAACAAAAACTTGTTACTGATATCCTTTTGTCAATTTGTGATCTAATGCCTTCAGACTGTACATTTGGTGAATTGTACTGAAGAATGCTGTAAAGATTTATGAGGAAATAAGCTTCCTTCTCGGTACTGGTCACAAGATATTTTCCTTCAGGTTGATGCTGTTACAATTTCTTTGTATCCGCCAGTACACAGAAAATAGACAGGGTCTGGTATCTGTGAAAGCAAACTACATTACTTCTCTCAAAATAGACAGAAAATATATCTAGATAAACTGTAGGTGTTGAGTTGGGCGTGTCCTTATTCTTGCTATAACTGGACAGAATATCTCTTTCAAACTTGGTATGTTTGTTGTTGGTTCACATTGACCCGATGTTGGACACAGTTTTACCATATTGTTCCACAATTTTTATTATTATTACAGTCTTAATGACCTGTCAACACATAAAAGGTCATTAGCGCCCTCAAACGGTAAAACACACAACGATCCAAAAAGGAAATAACATCAAACAAACTAAAACGTAAAAGACAAATATATTAAAAGAAATTCAAATGGTTATATTATCACAAAAGATTAAAAAATGGAAGTCATAGTCTATAATACAGACCAGCATCCTTCAGATAACCTAGAATTTTATAAACCTCAACAGTTTCCAAAAGGGTCTTTTAGACTTGTAATGTTACGGTAAAAAATTCTCGAGTAGACAGAAAGTCAATGCAGTCCAATAAAATATATTTAATCATGACTGGCAAGGACAACTTCGTCTCGGTTGTCTCTATAGCCTGGAGACCATGCACTGATAACAGGTTTAATGGAGTGCAAATTGTTATTGGTATATGTATTCCATTCCTCCTGCCACTGATCAAATTGTTTGATAAATGGTTTAAAATCAATAAATGAAGTTTAAAAACAACAGGTGGTAGAGATAAAGCTTCCTTTGTGGCACGATATGCTTTTACATTGCCTGGTATTCCCATGTGCCCAGGAACCCAGCAAATAGCAATACGAAAGTTAAAGGCAAGTTCATGATATAGTATTAATGTATTTGGAATGAAAATATTTTCGATATTTCTATTGCTGAGACTTTGTAGAATAGAAAGAGAGTCTGAATGGACAACAGCTCTCATTACTTTGTTTCTTTGAATATGTTCAAGGTCGAGGTAGATAGCTCATGATTCTGCCGAGAATATTCAGGCCTTTGGTAGCCTTCATCCATAGGTTTCATCTTGTGTAACCATGGCCATAGCAACTTTATCATTATCTTTTGAACCATCAGCATATCAATGTAGAAATGTTTTATTCTAACTACAATTTCGAGAAGGATGAACGAAACGTTCAACTGTCATTGTCTGATTTCTTCATTTCATGAAGTGAAAAGTCAACTTCAGGTGAATTCATGAGTTAGGGTGGAATTTCTATCGTTCCAAATGACTGAATTTGGTCAATATCAATATTTGTGTTTTGTAAAAGAGTGGAAATCCGAATACTGAATGGTGGAATGGTCTTTGGTTTGTTTCTGTTGAAACAGGGTTTTATATTTTGGATCAAATATAAGTGAAAAAGCAGGGTTTGAAGAATTTGACTTTAGCTGAATGGTGTATTGCAAAGCCAATTTATTTTGATAGCTATATAGTGATGGTTCATTAGCCTCTACATGGAGGCTTGCTGTAGGTGTGGTCTTAAAAGATTTGAGATATGAAGGTCTAGCAGATCCATACACAATGGAACCAGTCTAATTTTGATCTAATAACAGCTCTATAAAGTCTTAGCAAAACTTTTTTATCAGCTCCCCAATCAGTGTGGGACACAACCTTTAGAAGATTCAGTGCCTTAAGGCATTTGGCTTTAAGGTATTCAATATGTGAAAGGAACAACCTGTCGAATATTACACCGAAAAATCTGCTTTGCTCAACAACTGGAATGGGTACACCACCGAGAGACAGATTTGGATCGTTGTGTTGTTTCCGCATTTGACAAAAATGCACACACTGTTTTTGATTGTGAATATTCAAATCCATTTTCATCTGCCCAAGTTTGTAGTCGAATCAATAATCAATGTTGTAGTTGTCTTTTGATGGTATTCATATGCTTAGATTGATAGCATACGATGAAGTCATCGACATAAAGAGCACCTCCCATTGAAAGGGATGTTTTGACAATACTGTTAATTTTAAGTCCAGAACTCGCTGAACTAAACATGTCTACACACATCTGGGTCATTTGATGTTAAGTGCACAAACCTTGCTCCACTGGAGTCTGAACCCTCCAAACAGTGTCATTTAGTAATGTAGTTCTTCCTTCTTAAAACGTTTTTCTTGGGAAAGTATTTGAATGATGGCATTTTTTTTTAATCAGTTCTACTTTGAATGTCTCAATACTGTCATGTTACAGAGTGAAGGAATATTATTATTGTTATCAATGTAAAGGTATCAATCTTACCATCATTACCAGCCTTCAAAACATACAGTAATGTTATAATAAGATTGAAGTTTTTGCCCTGTATGTCTAAGTTGGAAAGGTTATCTCCCTTGAAAATATCACCATGACATTCACTACAAATTTCAAGGGATATAATCATACCAAGTCATTAGAAATATTACCTCCATTAGTAGATGAAGATACAAGAGAGTACAAAACAACATTGTATTATTTATAAGGTTTTTAATAATCTAACTGCATGATTTTTATCAAAATAACTGGTCCAACAGACAGACAGAAATTACTGCTGACATTCATCATCTACAGATATACAACCATGGATCACAACTTGTTTATCTATAGTAGAAATCTTTATACAATAAAAGTAGACAGGGACATCAAAGTATTCACAAAACCCGTAAAAATAACAAGTTATTATGAAGAACATTCATTGCATTCTTTTCTAAAGAGAACATGCTGACATATGTCACTCTAAATATCATTCATGTGATTTCAGTTCGGTTACCTCCCTTTGAATTCACATTCAAATATAATTTTTAGGTTACCTGAGACAAAGTGTCATGGTGACCTATTCTAATACCATTCATTTGGCGTCGTGTGTTCATGAACAATTTAACACTTTCGACTTCTCAAAAACCCCTGATCCAATTCAATGAAATTTTGCAGACACCTTCTCTGGCCTAAGATGAACCAAAATTGTAAATTATACAATCACCATCATCCTCCCACCCCTCTGCCCCAGGGACGGGCCAAAAGTATGATAGAATCAAATACTCTTCATGAATGGAAGCATCTTAAGATGCTTTAATTACCAAAATGAATCTCATATTTCTTCATGGGTAGGAATATTGTATTTTAGACTTTACTGTAATTTTCATAGAAAAATTGCATTTTTGAGCATGACATTGGTCATTTCCCACTGGAAATAACTGTATAAGAATTATCAGTATAGAATGACAGTTTAGATGGTATGTATGTATTGACACTGTCTATATTCAGTGTCACTATTTCTGTTTCAAGACACTTGATAACTATTCTTTAACCTTTATATTCAAGATTGCTTATTTCAGGTGACTGTCAAGGCCACTAGGCCTCTTGTTCTACTAAACATCTCAGTCAATGTCTATGTTAATCATATGATTTCATGTGTCATAAAATGTCTGGATTTTCAATTTCGCTGTGTTGTTTTCTCTATTGTGATATTCCTGTTTGAGGGATTTTAATCATTTAACAAAAAAAGGGGAAAAGATGCATCACAGTAATATAGAATCAATCCCAAAATCTTCATGAAATTACAGTATATTTTGCCTCAGGCACATAAAATAATCAAGTGAGACCTACTCGTATTGTCTATTTCTAAAACCTATCCTCAATAACTAACAGTTTTATGAAAACTGTATAAAGTTCACAACCCATTTTTCATGTTGCATGAATTTGAGAACTCATTTATAAAATGTTATTCAGAACAAATATAATTTTGGCTATATAACCATCATCAAATCAAAAAGTTATTCTGGGATTTACAACCCTGGTAATATGTTTTACACGTGATTAAAAACAAATTAACAAGTGAATTCAGTATCAAGTTTGAAACAAACCTCTAACAACCTTGGAACTAGACATTCTGTCCTTGAACACAAAATGGATGTAAACATCAAATCCTACAACCTATAACAAGTCACAGAAAAAAAGAAAAATAAAGTCTGTTTCTGCTGACTGAATATACCATTTTACTCTGTAGGTCCAAAATAGAGTCTATTTTGCAAAATTCCATTAACCATTTTACCATATAAGGCTGATATAAAGTCTGTTTCAGGAAACTCAATCCACCAAGTTACCATAAAACACCAAGATAGAGTCTGTTTCACAAAATTCAATCTACCATGTCAAGCCAAAATAAAATCCGTTATAGATAACTCAGCTTAATAACTTATGATTTCTAACATTTAATAGATTAAGGACAATGAACTCTACCTTCCAAGGAAATTATTTGCCAACACATTTATATGGAATTGACTTGTTTTGAACACATGGCAATGTCAAACAAACAGAAAATATTTAATGTTTACCAACCTTGTACAAAAATGTACATTACACGACTTTCAGTAAAACCTTACCATACAGTTTTATTTTCTTTAGGTAGTGAGATGTCTGTATGTTTCTTCTCTCGATAATTTCCTGTTTCTAATTTCTACATAAGCCCATCTGTACAATTAATTTTTGTCGTACAGTATATAAACCCTTCAAAATGTATTATATGTAGAGTTGAAAAAATTTTGTAGTTTGTATATATTCAGTCATATCTGTGTAATTATAGGTTAGTTTGTATATATTCAGTCATATCTGTGTAATTATAGGTTACCATGGGAATGGGTCACGATACACAGAATTTTCTAAATATATCTGTCTAGAAAGATTTCATGTGAAAGGTAGAAATCTTGATAATCTTGCATATGTTTAAAAATCTTTATACAATGCTCACAAAAATATTACATAAAATATCACTTTGTCCATCCTCACTTCTCTGGTCAATCCTATCAAAGTATTGGGTCAAGATAAACAAAAACTATTATAGAGTAGGAGCTAGACAACATATTTGATGATATCCTGTGAAGTGTAGAAAAGTAAACTGATACGTAATCTCGTATATCATAAACATGATCTACACTAGTCATACTGTAATGTACAAAAGTCAGGAAATAAACACATGCAGTAAGTACAAGTTTGATATCAACAAACATTTCTCACACTTCCTGTGGTTTTAACTAGTGTTTAACACTGAACATATTGGTCCCAGGGGTCTCCAGGAATGTCAAAATTTTTGGTTTTTTGGACAGAGGCCATTTCAAAACAAAATGAATAAAAATTTGATTCAATTAAAATAGTTTGTAAAAGTAAACATGAAAAATGAACATTTGTTTTGCTAGGAAATCCAATTAAACTGAGAGTTAGATACGACATATTATCTACAGATAAGTGATACAACATATTATCTACTGATAAGTGATATTTAGGACTAATATTTCAGTGCAGGACTCGTGTATTTCCTGTGTATCTCACTCCATTTTTGAGAGCCCAGTATATCTCTTTACTACCAGACATCTCTAAATTTTAAATATGGTGCTCTTGACTAAGAAGAGACAGTGCAAGCTTCCTGCTTAGTACAAACACATTATACCTGAATGGTAAAATAAATATGGGTCCTGCTGGTCATTGGACCATAAAGACCTGTAGTTGTAGCTTGGATTTCAAAGTAAACTGAAAATCACCATTTAATCATGGCCATCTTGGATCATTTCAGGCAAGTTTGATCCGAGACCCAATGTTGAAACTTTAAGTTTAAAAGGTGTTTTTCAAGATGGCTGCCATATAAAATTTTGTACCAACCTGGAAAACAACACTTAAGTTACAACCACTTCAGGACCATTTCTGGTAAATTTACCTGGATCCAACTGGTATAATTTGTCAATAAAAAGGAAGTTTAGCATGACCATGTTAGGATCATTTCTAATAAGTTTGAGCCGAATCCCAGTGGTGGAATTCAGAAGACATTTGAAATATAAAATGTCTTAGCCAGCAAGGACATGGAAGAAACATGATTAGCTTTACTGTATTTAATTCTAATGTTGTAATGCAAGGTAGTATTATCTTGTGTCTCTTTTGTACAACATTTATTTTGGAAATGAAATAAAAAAAAAAAAAGTAAAAAGTTGTTGATTAAAACATACATATAAATCTGACTAATCTTCTACTTAAAAAATTGAACTGTGACAAAATTAAAAAGTGAATTTTCATAAAAACTGAAAAGAGACTAAACACTACACAAATATTTAACAGTGAGAGGTCTTGGAAATCATTCTAGTATTTCCTTAATATTCTTTATATATACAAATATGTACGGAAAATTATAAAGAAAATAATATCAACAAAACTTTTCTACAAACAATTTGGATTTTGTAAGACATTGTTTTGTTTTGATTCAAAATGGAACCTAACTAGTACATACAATACTTAACATGAAGAATTTTATAAAAATTATTTCCCAATAAAAAGCACCATCTGAAAGTTAAAACAATTAAAACAACACTTTTCAAAGTTTTTTTTAAAAATCTGACAGGTTTTTATCTTTTAATAACACAACATCACTACCACACAATTCTCAGCACCAAATCATCATGTTTATGGTCCAAGTATTCGGACATATTTTTTTATTCACATATGACATACATATGAAAATAACTCTTTTGATTCTATAATTATTATTTGAATGCCATCCTAGGTATAGGTCACATATTTCCATCACTAAATAAAGGGCTTGAGTTTCGATGTTCATCAATTCCAGACTTCTAATTGTTTATAACCAGTCAAAAAATAATTACACATTTTATTGCCACACATTGAACAGTCTCTTGACTTTGCCTCTCTTACGCCCTCCCCAACCTCTAGAAAACACTTACCCATGTGTCCAAAGTCAACAGAGGATTTCCTAATCTTCCATCAACACAGGTATAATTAATTGGAAAAAAAAGTCAGTATAATTGGTTTGGTAAATACCTCAATCAAAGTAGTGTAAGCTTACTTCAGCAGTAATGTTATTATAGTGATTCTTGTACTAAAATAAGAATGAACTAATTCTTCATGGTGTTAATTGATGCTGGTTATTTATAATAGTGACAAAGTACATTTACAAAGTATAATCCAAACAAGTTTGACTTTTTTGGAATCCTCTAGGATAAATCATGATAATACACTGAAAACACAGGCACGCCCTCGTGATAAAACACAGGCATGTCTTGATGATAGGTTAAGTATGGCACTTCTTACATAGAATTTCACAGGTTTGTACGGAAATGTTCTTTAAATCTAATGTGGTACTTCATTTCTATTATATAGCATACCACACTTATTTCAGATAAATCAGAAAACCGATATGGTGTTTCACCATCTTCTCTATTATCTATTAAAGCATTTTGTTGTCTTTTTCAGACATGTTACAGCGCTTTGCTGTGATCTCCAATAGTGTTCAACTCGGTTTTGAAAGCTGCACTAGCTTTTTAAATCTATTAAAATATTTGAATGTCTTTTTTTTTAAAGAGTTCTCTTGAATGAAAGGGTACGGCCTCTTTAAGTCATGGTTTCCATAACCGTTGGGTTACCCAACAGTAAAGGCACTGCAGGGTCCTGTCCTTTGCTATCCCTAGTAAGATTATACCAGGAACCACCAAATCCCCCCTGAATTTACTATATCATAGTTTCCAGAACCTCTGGCTCCCCACCTGTGAAAGGATGAGGATGTGACCATTGTTTTTGCTCCTGTGGTAACAAGGACGCCTGACTAGACATACCGCACGATGAACTATCATCGTATGAATACGTCATGTTTACATCCAGGTCATCAATTTCCTCGTAGTTGTTGGCATGAGGATAGTTCCCCGCTCTTGTCCACACAGAATTTTGAGGATGTGTCCTCTGATACATACTATAGTTTGCATACACATTATAGTTGTTGTCCTGGGGTGGAGGTGTTCTAGGGTCACACGGTTGTCGTGGAGGAAGTGTCAGGGGGTCCCGAGGAGGCGTGGTGTGGTCGCGATGAGGGGGATAATGACTGTAAGGCATATGGTATTGATGATGTGGAGAGACCTTGTCACCATGGTGATGTGTCGGTCGCTTGGCAACCTGACTGTAGACTACTTTGTCCTCAGGTAGAAACACATCATCATCACTAGATATTGTCACTTCTGATCGGTTACCATTAGTAACAGTTGGTTTGGTTTTTGATCGTCCATTTTGATTGTTGTGAAGAGAGCCATCCATACTTTCGTCGTCAACCATATCACTAAGGGACCCATCCTGTGAAAGGGACATGAAATGTTTATAGGATGGGGGCGGGGCATAGGGGGGTGGGGGCAAAGATCTAGCCGAGTGATTGGATAAGGTAAAGTTGGGTTGTATGTATGTTTTTTGTCCACTGTTATTAAGCAGAAATGGATTCTCATACAACTGAAAGTTCTCACGTAACACTTTCTCACACTGGATGTCTCCTGGTCTTGCATACATCCCGTTACCGAGGAGACCTGGCAAGAGTCCTGCGTTTCCCACTACTTCAAATGCCGAGCCTCTGTGAACAGGGTCTTTTGGTAGTTTATTGTCATCACCACGTTTGATTGGCTGTGGAGGAAGTTGACCTTTATTGACCCCTGACCTGTGCTGTAGTTCGGGTAGGTGGGGAGGTGTTAATGATTTAGACCTATGGACAGGCTGTGGAGGTAGGAAGTAGTTTTTCACTGATGGTCGTGATTTAGGCATCTGTTTAATATTTACATCTTCATCTATTTCGCTTACATCAACAGACTCGCTGCCTACAGATTCAATTTCATTACGTCTGTGATTGGGAAGGGAGTGTGAGGTACCCATAATAATTTTGTTCGGATGGTGATGATTGGTTGGATTTTTAGCCTGCTGTAATGGAGAGCCAATAGAATTTGTTTTAATTTGTTGTGTATTTTGTAGTGTTTTTCCTTTTGGTGAATCTGTCAGCTGTTTCATCATCACACGGTATTGACACTCTTGTTTGTCTGTCAGCCTCTGGTTTGGCTGCGGTGTGTGTGACCTCACAGTTCGTGGCAATGTACTTGTTTGACCATATTTAAGGTGATAGGGTTGTGGAGTTATGGCCCTTCGCTTCAGGTCAATGGGAATGGCGTCGTTCTGTGTTTCGAGTTTGCTTTGGGATTTCAATGTCTCTGTTTCCTCCAAATATCGCATGTGAAGGCTTAGAACAGACATTAATTGCTTAGAGTCTAAATTGTGGAGAGTTACTGCCCTTCTCTCCCTTCTCCTGTGTTCCTTTAACTTCCCTTTACCTTTCTCAGGAAGCTGCTCACTTCCTGGTCCTTTAGCACTGCGAGCATAAATCTCATCAATTGAGTCACATGACTTAGACCTCAGTAAACGATTGGTAGATGGGAAGTCAGATAAAGGAGTCACAGTTTGGTCCAGATTCTTTAGTATCCCTGCAGGCTGGGCATATATTCCATTGTGTTTTTGACTAACAGAATCAGAAAATCCTTTCACTGCAGGATTGATACAATTTGGTGCAGAGCTGATGTTTGATCCTGTTTGAAGTGTCACTTCATCCTCGCTGGTCAAATCAGAACAGGAACTGCCACTGACGGTGAAGATTTCCTCGTACGTTTCCTCCTGTAACACAATTGTCCATATCAATATTTCTGTGTACATTACTTCAGTGTCAGGTTTTTGGTTCAAGATTTTTAGGTGCTAGCTATACAGTAAAAACCTCACTTCAGCTCAAAATATATCTTTTAAAAAACAGATTTCATAATAAATAGATAAAACATGACAAGAGATCAATACAAGCTAGTACAACAAGGGCGATAACAGTTATAACTACCACTTAATATGACAGGGGAGATAACTACCTGGACTGTAATAAATTACCTGTAGTGTTGACAGGGATGTTCTCTCCAGCCTCAAAACCAGAAAAGCGAGGATTTTTGTGGTGACACACAAGATAAAGACGATGGCAAACAGTCCAATTTGTACGTACAGGAAGATAGGCAGGATGTCTTCTACAGAAGTACAGCTGATGGTGCCATCAAACGTGTAGAGACTTGGGTCTGTAATATCAGGACAACTTATGTCGGTACCATTTAGAGCATTGTTACATATTGAATATCAGATTCCATCTGGCAATAACAGATATGAATGAATAAACTGACATACGTAAATCATATACATGTAATATAAATATGCATAGCAGCTCAATATTGAGTCTGAAACAATTACATAACTGGTGTGATCTAATTAAACCATCTTAAAACATCAGTGATTTTTGCTAATGGATTGATAATAATGATTATGTATATCACAATGAGACAAAGGCAATGGCAATCATGGTCAGTATAAATGCCTACTGAATTTAAGAGGAACTGCAAAAAAAAAAAAAAATATCCAGACAAGTTAAAGGTCTAGTGACTGGAAGGTGCCCATTATTTTCAATATTCAATGATCAATATAATTACTGATCCCAATACCACCTAAAATAGAAAATCTAGATATAGTTACATTTGTTTATCCTTTAAAAGGATAATTTCAATTCCGTATGAGATTTAACCACAGATCAGAGAGAATCTCGGGACTTACTAGTCACATGACTGAATCTTAAAATCACTGAATACCATTCAGAAAAGTAAATTGAAGTTTTTGTACTCTGTGACCCCTGTCCTCGATCATCCCACTCCCTGAGGGGGTCTGTCTATCATTAAGTAAAGCTTCTCACTCTCATTTGGTATAAGATCATTGTTGCAAATTTGATAAATATATTCAAAATTGTTAAACCATTAAGATGGATAAAAAGGAAACTTTTACGTACAATACTTGATGAAGGACAAAGCTCGATAAGTATTATTTACCTCAGGTTGTTATGTATTGGATGGGGGAATTTTCGCCTCATTTAAGGGAAGAAAATTGGTGAATTAAGAATAAAATTTTCAGGTGAAATAATGAGAATAACAATACATTGGCTTATATAAAGAATAATTTCAATTGGTACTATTATCAACCCAAAAAATCATTACAAAAAACCCATCTACAAACTCAGATATTTTTGTGATAATATAATGAGAGTTCTCTTACCTGAACTTGACTCTAAGAGAAGAGCATTGCGACGGTAACTACTGGTACAAGCACACACCCTTCTGTTGTTGTCATGGATACAGTCCTGAAGACTTCTGATTGGCTGGAGGATGTGGGTCCCTGTCAGCACAGCTAAAGCTGCACAAAAGGCACCAACTCCAAAACACAACACCACCTCCACAAAGACCTACAACATATTGTTAGTGGTGAAGTAAGGACCAAAACAGACCTACAACATATTGTTAGTGGTGAAGTAAGGACCAAAACAGACCTACACCATATTGTTAGTGGTGAAGTAAGGACCAAAACAGACCTACAACATATTGTTAGTGGTGAAGTAAGGACCAAAACAGACCTACAACATATTGTTAGTGGTGAAATAAGGACCAAAACTGACCTACAACATATTGTTAGTGGTGAAGTAAGGACCAAAACAGACCTACACCATATTGTTAGTGGTGAAGTAAGGACCAAAACAGACCTACAACATCTTGTTAGTGGTGTAGTAAGGACCAAAACAGACCTACAACATATTGTTAGTGGTGAAGTGAGGACCAAAACAGACCTACAACATATTGTTAGTGGTGAAGTAAGGACCAAAACAGACCTACAACATATTGTTAGTGGTGAAGTAAGGACCAAAACAGACCTACAACATATTGTTAGTGGTGAAGTAAGGACCAAAACAGACCTACAACATATTGTTAGTGGTAAAGTAAGCACCAAAACAGACCTACAACATATTGCTAGTGGTGTAGTAAGGACCTAAACAGACCTACAACATATTTTTAGTGGTAAAGTAAGGACCAAAACAGACCTACAACATATTGTTAGTGGTGAAGTAAGGACCAAAACAGACCTACAACATATTGTTAGTGGTGAAGTAACAGGTCAGGACCAAAACAGACCTACAACATATTGTTAGTGGTGAAATAAGGACCAAAAATGACCTACAACATATTGTTAGTGGTAAAGTAAGCACCAAAACAGACCTACAACATATTGTTAGTGGTGAAGTAACAGGTCAGGACCAAAACAGACCTACAACATATTGTTAGTGGTAAAGTAAGCACCAAAACAGACCTACAACATATTGCTAGTGGTGTAGTAAGGACCTAAACAGACCTACAACATATTTTTAGTGGTAAAGTAAGGACCAAAACAGACCTACAACATATTGTTAGTGGTGAAGTAAGGACCAAAACAGACCTACAACATATTGTTAGTGGTGAAGTAAGGACCAAAACAGACCTACAACATATTGTTAGTGGTAAAGTAAGCACCAACACAGACCTACAACATATTGTTAGTGGTGTAGTAAGGACCTAAACAGACCTACAACATATTTTTAGTGGTAAAGTAAGGACCAAAACAGACCTACAACATATTGTTAGTGGTGTAGTAAGGACCAAAACAGACCTACAACATATTGTTAGTTTTGTAGTAAGGACCAAAACAGACCTACAACATATTGTTAGTGGTGTAGTTATCACAAGACAAAGAAGTAAGGAACTTAGATAGGAGAACCAATACTAAGTTTGTTTCAAACAGATGTATATTTTTGGAGTGAGATCTGATAATATTCAACAGAGATCCTTTATATGTGGTAAAAAAATGTGGAAATGAAGGCCTGGGGTAGAAACATGTTGACAGCATTTAGGCCACAGTAAAGATGATAACTTTCGATGTTATGATGTCTGTATTTCCTCATAAGATACTGATGTTTCTTATGACACAACAAAGACGTTATTTTAACTTTGTAAAGTAATCACAATATACCAGGGATAATCCAGGAGGCAGTCATGGGACCCTGAACACTTTAAACTCTGTACTTCCATTATCGTAAATATCACACAGAATGACATGCAAGATTATTGTTGTAAAAGGTATACTTCTCTCAGATTCCAGTAACTTCCCTAATAACACAGTGAATTAATTATATACAATACAGGGAAGCTATTACAACAAAGACATGTTCACCAGACACCAAAACAAAACTTGTTTGGTAACCCTAACAGACTGCGGCAGTAAATAAACACAATATTCTGTTTCATGTTGGTATTATATATTTAGTGAGTGTTGGTCCAGATCACAATTTTTCAAAGTGTTTATGACTTTGTTGGTTGGTTACAGGTTCTGTGTATTGGTGACTTTTTCCATCACAAGATTTGTGTCACTAGTAAAACACATTCTATCAAAGACCAAAAATATCCTGTATGTTACTGTGGGCACTTCTCAAACTGTGGGTAAGTTGTAGGAAAAACAGGAATCCAGGACTCCAATAAATGTATTCCTAAACATGAAGGCTTTGTCTAATATCCTCTGTATTGCCCGACATTACACTCGACTGCTAGCTCTATGACAGAGAGACAATGAAACACCACATACCAAGTTGACATGATGATAATTGTTAACCTACACACCTGTCTGATGGACCACATATACCTGTCCTATATACCTGTATAAAACAGATTTGCTCCGATCACCTGACATTTTCATTACGTCCAGGTATATGATATGTCATCTCCAACTCCTCAACATGAATGTCTTAAAAAAATTCTTACATGTCAAGAACAAAATCCTCGAAATTTATATTGATTTGAATTACACATACACAGCAACTAACACTTCCAGTCTAAAGCTTTGATCTCCAGGGTCTGATATTTCATTAGTTTGAATTAGAACAAGGTCCTTGACACTTACGTCTCAACATACCTCTAGGTCATAAGGTTTGGTTCTGAGATGTTTCCCATGGGAAATACTACACAGGTGGCTTTTTTTATGGATTCGTTTGTTGGATTTTATGTTTAACGTTGGAATAAAATCATATAAAAAAAAGATAAAAGTGATGAGAGAGAAGACAACGATGAGCTCCTTAACTCCTATCCTCAAATTCCTAGAGTTTCGATCACTGATGATCTTGGTGCAGAGACTGTTAGTGATCATAACCTCAGGAACTTCAATGATAATCAAACATTTACTGTAACAGCTGTTATTTTCAATGGATTCTATCTATCAAAATTTTCTAGGATAGCATAACATTTCTAAAAAATAGTAGATATTTGAAAATTGAATCAATAGAGAAACAAAATGTAGTCCACTTCATAATTTTGATAAAATATACAATCCCATTTCTTTCAAGCTTTTGTTAAAATTACAAAAAATTGAACCTTGGAGAAGACTGATTACTTTTTGTTCAAATTCAATGTTAATATTGATATTGCAAACAAAACAGTCAGCTAGTAAAAAAGAATGTTCCTAGTTAAACAGTATTTTTACTTGTTACTGTTTTCTTTAACAAAAATTTCTGATTTCATGAGACTGAGTTTATATAAACGAGTGGCATTTATTGTTGTTTTCCATTTAATAAAACAAAAAATAAAAAAGTTTTTTTTAAACAAAAACCCTAATTAAGAGTGTAATTAAAAAAAAAAATGTTTTTTCTTTCTTTTAACAATAATGACATCAATAAGCCCGCCCGTACAGTATATTCAGTAGCATTTCGACAGTAATTAACTATCTGATATTATTTCATTGTCCTGTGATAAGCCCACCCCCTGAGTTATAGATAATGTAACGTTACTGGGGTTTCATTGAAAGACAAATAAACACTACTCACCAGGGCTATGTGTCGTCTCCAAAACAAGATTACTATCAGCAGTCCATCCACACTGATCTGTAACAGACAAAACTACCTCAATTAGAACTCAACACAACCAGGATCAGGTTCATGAAACAGCCAAACTGATCTGTAACAGACAAAACTACCTCAATTAGAACTCAACACAACCAGGATCAGGTTCATGAAACAGCCAAACTGATCTGTAACAGACAAAACTACCTCAATTAGAACTCAACACAACCAGGATCAGGTTCATGAAACAGCCAAACTGATCTGTAACAGACAAAACTACCTCAATTAGAACTCAACACAACCAGGATCAGGTTCATGAAACAGCCAAACTGATCTGTAACAGACAAAACTACCTCAATTAGAACTCAACACAACCATGATCAGGTTCATGAAACAGCCACACTGATCTGTAACAGACAAAACTACCTCAATTAGAACTCAACACAACCAGGATCAGGTTCATGAAACGGCCAAACTTATCGTGAAGACACATGTATATCATATATATTTATGTTTTAATAAGATTGACTTTCTTTCCTCATCTGTAAAAGTGTTAAGACGTATAGGTGTTTGGGAGAAAACTGAAAAACTTTGCTTATTTCCTACGAGTTATTATCAGTTTTGGAAATCCATTTCTGTTTTGTTACAGCTTCAAGTGTTCATTGAAAATCAGTCAAAATATTTCATTTGTATGGCCTGCAAAATAAGAAAATAAAGAATGAGATCTTCAATAAAATTTGATGTAAAATCTGTACAACATAATGCTCTCAGATCTGTATTTATAAAACACTTTTGAGGTAACCCCCTCACTGTCATAGGTCAGACATGTAAAGAGCTAAATGAAGTATTTAGAATAATTGATAAATTCCTTTACCTGGAGTAGAAACCACCATGTGTCACTATAAACCCCAGGATAATTGTTCACTATTGAATATAGAGGATGTTAAAATCCCATACAGAAAATAGCTGAGAGCCGACACAAAAGGGCAAAAATTTGTGTGTGTCACACAAGTCACATTGAAAATTCAAATCAAACCTATACAGCTTTCTATTGTCATAATCTTAATGTAGTTTTACCTTACTTTCTGCCATTAAATGAAACTTTATAAACTGACATAAGCTGATGAAATGTGTACATGGATATTCATTTTAACAGTAAGGCATTTTTAGATTAGTAAGTTATATAGATAATCTACCACTGGGAAGTACAGGGTGTTACGTTTGGTAATTATGTATAAATATTTTAATCCAGACAAGGCATATTATTTACCTGTCCCAAACAGACCCCAGAAAACTTCCTTGATAGAACTGTTCTCATCGCTGAATATGCATATATTTCAGTAATTCAATATTCACTGATATTTATGTACAGCTGTCACACCTCTGTCCTACAGATGTCTATTTTCTTTCAGCAGTGTGTGTCGAACTACTTCTGTTAACTGTATATATGTATCTGGTAAAAAACGCATTCTGTCTGATGAAAAGGAGTTTTTTTGATGAGGCTGTATGGGTGAATGAAGACCCTCAACCCCAACTGTCCGTAACATTGGATGTACCAACCAACCATGGGGTTTCAGAATCTTAGCCATATGTCTGAAACCAAATCTGATCAGCTGTGTTAACACCATACTGTCTACTACAGGATCCTTATACAGTATTCAGGGCACAGTCTTATATACCTTTTACTGCCTATCTGGGGAATTCTGTCTCCCTGACAGATATATACTGTATGTCTTATATCAGTGTCCTAAGTAAAGAACATTTTGTACCTATTTATATGAAATTCCTTTATATTTTACAACACAGACATTAGAGGAAGTGAAAGAAAATCGTAAAACTTCTACTGATGACTATACAATGGTGGGTAATATACAGGATCTCATACCTTTACTGGTGGTTTTTTTTTACCTTCTAAAGTATAGTTAAAGGGATAAACAACAAACAAAAAAAACATATTTGTAAAACATAATTTTAAAATCTATCAAGTCATGAAACGTTTTTAATGAACTCCCGAGCTTTACACCGATTCCTTATCAGCTGCAAAGCTTTATTTCATATCTTAAATACTCATCCTATATGAACTAGGAATTTTTTTTAATAATGTTTCGAGAATTTCTTCTTTTTACATAACAAAAACACCATTAAATTTGAGCGTAGGACGAAAACAGTCTAGTTCTGGCTACAAAACAGTGTGATAAAAGCCTCTGTGGATAAAAGGTGAAGAATACGAACACTCCAAATAGAAAGAAATCCCAGTCTTTAAATTCTCCTTTACATAAATGCGTTTCAGTGAAATAATGACCAAATCGTGTACACAACAGGTTTGTGAACTCTTGTCCTTCCAGTATAAATAAGTCTAGTGGTGATCAAGTTTAAATGGTCCCCCATTATAACTGTAACAATCAGTTCACACCTACAAACTTTAAACATTCACCCACACTTCACTCAGACCAGATGTCCAAAATGTGACCGCTGATTGGTCAGTCATCAATCAGTTCTGGACGCTGGTTAGTCAGTGCAACATTAACATCCACAGGTAGCAATTAGTTTTCTCTATGTGACCTCTGACCTTCCTACCCTGTCCTATAACCTCTGACCTGGTACCCAGCTCTCTGTCCTATAACCTCTGATCTGGTACCCAGCTCTCTGTCCTAAAACCTCTGACCTGGTACCCAGCTCTCTGTCCTATAACCTCCGACCTGATACCCAGCTCTCTGTCCTATAACCTCTGACCTGGTACCCAGCTCTCTGTCCTTTAACCTCTGACCTGGTATCCAGCTCTCTGTCCTGATGTAATGATGGTGTTGACTCTGTTTATCATCAATAGATACTAACAAAACTTGTTACTGTAATATTATAGTACAAAGTATGAAGGAATTTGATTCTAACCAGCCAAACGTAAACTGTTATATTTGTATAAAGCCAAGGCGCAGGTCAGTCTGGCTTGTATATAAAGTAATGAATTTGATCTCTCTCACTCAGCTGAAAGATTAAGCTACCGAGGTTGAGTAATAGATTATCATGCTGGAGACCTTGATTCTTGTCACTTGGCAGTGATGTTATACTTGAATTCCACTACCCCACTACCCCAAGGTTCGGACATTATACCATTTATCTCGCAGTAAGTCCTCGGGTCAAAGTGTTAGCTCTGATTCAATAGAGAGTTTGATTATCATATACAAGAAAATGAAAAATCCTTTTAAACATTTATAAATTTGTGGGTGGGCTTATCATTATAAAACTACAGTAATAGACAGGTAGTCAGAAGGGTTGTGATTGGAGTTAATTTTTTCTAAATATGTTTATGTAACAACCAATATTGTATGTATTTTCCGATAAGCCCATGACTTGTATAAACCAATACATGTTTAGTAAAGTCCATTTATCAAAAAAAGAATGTGACCTCTATTTCACATGTAAGATTGTATACAATCACCCATGTTTTCTGTCCTACATTGTTATCTATAGTGATAAATCTACCATTACTCAGAGAATTCCTGGATATACAGTGTGATTTGTAGTTAAGTGTTGTCATCAAAATTGTTTTTGTATATAAAACTATATAAATAGTCCTTGAAATCACTTGGTGACTTTTTCTCTTGGAGCGATATTTATCATGTTCCAGTATTTTTCATTATGGGACTCAACGTTTTTCAAAAGAACTTGAAAAAATAAATTGCAGATTGATCACTATAAAAACTAAATGAAACCGACCATACAGTATTGTGTTGGTTGTGTGCTTGAACAAAACATGTTTTACCCTAGTTGCTCTGGGTGGCATGAGACATACCTCCTGCATGTTGTTCATTGATGAAGCCACCGACTAGAACAAGGAGACCCCAATACAAAGTAACCCTGACTGTCCATGTGATAACACACCAAACAAACAATATTGTATCTAATATGAATTTTATGTTTCTATGTTTTAGTAATTAATTGTTTAATGTTTAATTAATCAGAACTATATAAGTACACTGTGTAATTAGTTGGTGACTTTTTCTCTTGGAGTGATATTCATCATGTTCCTGTATGTTCTCTCCAAACAACGACCCGACCGATCATATTCGTAACAAATAACAAATCTTCTGAACTACATCAGGTCTCTAATCTATCAAAGCATATCTCTATTATAATACATATCTCTGATTTAGGGACATTAGTACGTCATCACTGTTCATTCTCTACACCTTATCACTTCACACCTGTCCATAGTCCCAATTTATATAAATGTAGTATAATTCTATATAATATGTGTCCCTATTAGTAAAATGGCAATGACATCTATATCTGGACCAATCTTTATTACATTAGTTCGGCCCCCTGACTGACAAACCCTGATACCATTATTATTGTTGTACTCCTCATGACTTTCTACCTTTGTGTAGCTGACCATGACCATGATCAGTCAACCACAAAAAAGTACATATAAGTATGAGAAAACGAAGGTTTTAAAGGTAAGTGACCTCCACAACACTAGAGTGACCTGACCCGGAATAAGGTTTGTTCTCTCTCTGTAGAAGTAGTCTTTATTGTCAGGTAAAATGTTTATAAAAGTGCAAATCCATCACATCTCACCAGAAAAGCTTACATGTTTTTTGTAATGAAGGACTTGTATTGGTGCTTAATTAAATGGCTTGCTGGGTTCATCGCCATGTGACAAGCCATGGTCATTTTAACTGGAGTTTCCCTGTAGCAGCTGGTGGCTATCTCACTGAACAACATACAGAAGGCCAGTCATATGTCATCCAGGGTTACTTATATATATTGCCTGAGGACACAACCAAGACAGAATAGATAGGTCAGCTTCTCAGCTTTCAATCAAAGTACTGAAAGTCCCGTAAAATATATTGTTTAAAATTTATTAATAGTTCAACCACACTGTGCTTCTTTTTTGAAATATAAAGTTATCGTATTGTTATTAAAAAATAACTGATTTTGGATGCTTTTAAAATTGTGATTTGAAAAATCGTGGCATTATTTACGCAGAAAATTGCCGCTAGATGGCTCTAACTCTTTTCGATATTTCTGTCAATGAGAAGGCC